TACTCTACGTATGATAAGGTCTTGTGTTGCATTACATGTTAGATATACTTACACGTTCTCTATTTTAATGAACTCGTTTATTAGTGGCTGCTAAGGAGAAGGTAAGGTAATTATTAAAAGAATTGTTCAAGACTCAAGAATCAAGACTTTCATCTATTTCGTTAGCGTCTCATTTAGTATTAAGTGTTTAACCCTTAACACCTTTAAATACTGTAATTGATTAATAATTTTTTTAAGTTTTATCCAAAAGGCTTTGTATAATAGTGGCTTCATTAGTATGTGTTGCCTGTGTTCCCACAATTGTACATTACTCTTGCGTTCCTTGTACACACATTCTTCTGAATAAACATTATTATTATATATTATGTTTATAAAAATTATAACTATGTCTTAATAGCCTGTTATTATGATTGATGCGGCCGGATGCTGCTGGTTTATTGTGCACCCCATACTCATGCTGTGAGCAGTAGTTTATTGTGCACCCCATACTCGTCATGTGAGCGGTAGTTTATTGTGCACCCCATACTCGTCATGTGAGCAGTAGTTTATTGTGCACCCCATACTCATGCTGTGAGCAGTAGTTTATTGTGCACCCCATACTCGTCATGTGAGCGGTAGTTTATTGTGCACCCCATACTCGTCATGTGAGCGGTAGTTTATTGTGCACCCCATACTCATGCTGTGAGCAGTAGTTTATTGTGCACCCCATACTCGTCATGTGAGCGGTAGTTTATTGTGCACCCCATACTCATGCTGTGAGCGGTAGTTTATTGTGCACCCCATACTCATCCTGTGAGAGGTAGTTTATTGTGCACCCCATACTCATGCTGTGAGCGGTAGTTTATTGTGCACCCCATACTCATGCTGTGAGCGATAGTTTATTGTGCACCCCATACTCATGCTGTGAGCGGTAGTTTATTGTGCACCCCATACTCATGCTGTGAGCGGTAGTTTATTGTGCACCCCATACTCATCCTGTAAGCGGTAGTTTGTGTAAGCCATACCCTCGTGAGTTTGTTAAAAGCAGTTTTACAGTGGGCGCAGATTTGTGTTAGAATGGTGGTTATGTAATTAGGCTACAGTATTATAGCTAATGTTAGGGCGCGTGGTTAAGAGATAAATAAGAAATATGGAGCTGGAGGAGCTTACAGCGTGTCCGAACCACGGGATACTGCGCTACGATGTTAGGTAGTGATTGATGAAGATTAAGCCACCCAAAAGGTGGCACGGGCATGAATAGCACGTTCCTTGGTGTTTGCAATACTGGCACCAAGTTTCAGAATGAACCGAGGATACAAATCTTAGCCTACGATTAAAACTCTTGCCATGACAACCGTTAGCGTGAATAACATAATGTTGAAATTGTTCTAGTGTTCTCACAACCTGGGCACTTTTTGTTGAGGTTGTTCTCTAGCCATGAACACCGGCACCAGGATCAGCCTTGGACTTTACCCATTACATCCACTACTTTTTTTTTTTTTTTTTTTTGCCCCTTGTTTCCAAGACTGACGCTCTACTTCCAGTCAGTTGGATCTTGTTACTCACAGTTACCGTTAACTTCCACGACCTTAAGCTCTATCATGAGGCACTCTACTATATCCCGGGTTTATCTTTTCACTAACAGTTCTGCAGACAAAGAGTCACAATAACGTGGCTGAAATATGTTGACTAGACCACACACTAGAAAGTGAAGGGACGACGGCGTTTCGATCCGTCCTGGATCATTCTCAAGTCTCACAATCTGCTCGAGAATGGTCCAGGACGGACCGAAACGTTATCGTCCCTTTATTTTCTAGTGTGTGGTCTGGTCAACACTAACAGTTCTTTTTCACTCTCCAGTCTAAAGTAGGTGGCTGTTAACATTCAGTACCCGGACACTGTCTCCCCGTGACCCGTGGGTGCTGTCGCCGGACACCGCCACGCTCTACTGACGTCTGCCTCCACCTCGTCTCTTCGCTCCCACTCACACTTGTCCAACCGGTTTCTGCAGTAATGATGCGGCTCACAATTACACATCTGCAAAACCACTTTCGTTTCCCCATAAGTCATGTTACGTATTACAAAGTTACTACCTGTGTTTTTGTAGAAGTTAGCCAGCGAAATCTATTTGGGTGTTCATGCTTGACTGTTTATACAGCTCGAGGACTAGATGAGCATTAATACATGTAATAATTCAAATCAGCCTTTGTATACTCCGTCAGGATATAGGTAGTCCGATTCCCCGTGTACCCTATTTTTTTTATATACCACCGCCCATCCTGTCTTGGGTCCGCACCGCAAGAAGACTTGTCCCTTAAATAAAAACTACCTCATCGGAAGACGTCCTTGAGGTTAATGCGAGAGTTGAAGGTGCTCGGCCGCTGACGTCCCTCCACCCACAACTGAGTAGATGCTGTGTCACCATCAGATGAACTTGTCACTTTTAGTTCCATTACCAGAGTACCTGGGTATCTGAGTACCTGTGTAACTCGGAATTCATGTATTTCCAGTGGGCAAAAACTCAACTCCTTCAAAATAGGTATTTGAGGGATGCAGATTATTGGGTTACACATCTAGCTACCTATAGATAAGTTACCAAAGACATTTAACCTCGCATGGATAAGTTACCAAAGACATCTAACCACCCATGGATAAGTTACCCAAGACATCTACCATGGACGGATTATCCACCATTAAGCCACTGTATCATTCTTTGCAGACGAGACTAGCATTTTCACGAGAATAGACAATATTGAGGACACGGCACACCTCCAATATCATGTTAATAATAATAATAATGAGAAAATCCATAGGAGCCGTGATGTGGGTTCGAACCTATGGAGTAGGTGTTCCCACGCACACTCTCTAGTGACTAGATTACAACATGGTATAAGGATTGCAACCTGGAGTTCTACTAATTTCCCGAGACTTCTACTGAAGCCAGAACAGGATTTTCAGTCTCCCCCAAGCACTCTGGCTGTCATCTAGGAATTTTTTTACCTCTACCTAGGAATGTTCTACCTGTTCTACCTAGAGGTATTTTGGAGGCAATGTATCCGACTGGAGGAGTGTTACTAGCGAAGTACATACCACAGGGTTCAGTTCTTGCACTAGTAATGTTCACCATCCACATAAACCATCTATTGTACCAGGATCGCAGAATTAAATGACCATGTTTTTTGTTGATGCTAAGCTACTAGGAATGATAGACGACCTAGATGATTGTCATGCCCTTCAAACTGATCTAGATAAAATAAGTGCTTGCAGTACCATGTGACAAATGGAATTCAGTGTGAATGAATGCCATGTTATAGAATGTGGAATTGAAGAAAATAGACCACACATAACTTACAAATTATGTGGAAAGGAATTAAAGAACTATAACACAGAACGAGATCTGGGGGTGGTATTGGATAGTAGACTGTCACCAGAGAAACACACAAAGAACATTGTGCGAGGAGCGTATGCGACGCTTTCCAACTTCAGACTCGCTTTAACTACATGGATGGTGATATACTATAGAAACTGTTCATGACTTTTGTTAGACCAAAATTGAAATATGCAGCAGTTGTATGGTACCCATATCTCAAGAAGCACATCAATAAACTGGAAAAGTTGCAAAGGCATGCAACAAGATGGCTTCCAGAACTGAAAGACAAGTTAAGAGGAGAGGCTAGAGGCGTTAAATATGCCAAAGCCAAAAAATAGAAGAAAAGAGGTAATATGCTCACCACCTGCAAAATAATAACGGGAATCGACCAGATGGACAGAGGAATTCCTGAAACCAGCAACTTCAAGAACGAAAGGACACGGATTAAAGCTAAAGAAACAAAGGTGCCAAAAAGATATTAGAAAGTTTTCTTTTGCAAACAAGAGTGGTAGATGATTGGAGCAAGTTAAGTGAGATGGTGGTGGAGGCTAAAACAGTCAGTACTGTAATTTAAAGCATTATAAGACAAAAAATACTGGGAAGATGGTGTAGCCCTTGGGGCTGAAATCCACCATGAAGACCCCCATCCATCCCCAGATCTTTAGTATCAGTTACTGATACAGATAATGGCTCCAAAGAGCCTCCACTTATGGGCTCACCATAGCCCATGCTACTTGGAACTTTTTGTTCTAAGTAGCTGAATCTTAAACAACAACAATGGGAAGACAGGACACCACGAGCATAGTTTTTATCCTGTAAGTACACTTGGGTAATTACACACACATTGTCATTGTGAGACCTCGGTCAGTGAAACACGCTGGCCCGAGCCACACATTGTCAATATATTGACCTTGGATGTCTAGACCATCGATCCTATGTATAAAAAGTGTGATATAAATACACCCATGAGAGGCTGCTCCTGTTTATACCCATATAAAAAGGAACTGCCTCATATGGGCCCATATGAGGCAGCTCTGATTTATATCGATTTTAACAGATGCCTCATATGGGCCAACAGGCCTTCTGTAGTTGTTATTATGTTCGTGTGATGATTGGTTGACCTGGTATACTTCATTACAACTATATAGAGTTAAGAAAACCATATGAACATCACTGGTATACATATCATGGAATTATGATGGAATTTTATGCAGTGATGATTACTGCATTCGCATAGTAACATTTGTGATGATAACCGCGTTCACATACCATGGTAACCATGAAAAGATTGCAGGATTTTCTCATGTGTCAAGATAAACTCTATTACATCCACAGAGCTATTATATCCATATTAGCATCATTAGTGTACAACCTAGAAAATTATAATTGAAAACGGGTGACGATAACTGCATTACCCCGAGCATCAATGTATGACAAGCACTTTTTAAGGGTTGAGGAAGAAGTAAATAATTATCTAGGTATAGCATTGTCATTATGACTAGAACACTTCAAAAAGGAATTAGTACATACTTAAGATGCCAGAATGAGAACAGACGGCCATTAAGTTATACTGTAGTGCTGCCAAAATGCAGAGAGTGCTATGGTTTCTAGCTTCTGATTATGATGTAAAGGTCAAAGGAAAAATGTCAGGTTTGATGGTGTAAAGTTTGTTTATGGTTTGACTTCTCTTGTGATTCAGTTACACCCATAGGTTTTCACATACATATTGTTTGCTTTATTATTAGACAAGAATATTACATTTTTTAATCAATGACAGCATCACCCAGTGATCCTAAGACAGCTGGTTGTATAATTCAATAACTTCTTGTGGTAGTTCTTTGCGGCCAGCGCCATTTATCTGTGGAAAGTAAATAGACATTGATTACTACTTTTATTATATACACAATTTGCATATATTGTTTTAAAAACTCAGTATTGAATGTAATGATATCTCTCTCTCTCTCTCTCTCTCTCTCTCTCTCTCTCTCTCTCTCTCTCTCTCTCTTTTTTTTTTTGGTGGGCCAAAAAGAAATAATTTAAAAGAAATTAAAAAGCAGATAAATAATTGGTTTTCCTTGCAATCTCAGAAAGAAGGATTATACTTAAAGAGATTTAAGCTTAAATAGTAAAATGGACTACATATTTTCTAAGAAACTACTAACAAAAGGCAAAAATTTGCACAAGATGCATTTAGGAAATATACATTGGCTATGTAGACCTTAGATATTCACAAAAATGTACTAAGTTAGGCACATGTTGACTACACAAAGGCTCACCTTGACTGATGATAAATTTGGTGTTGGTGGAAGAATTCTTACAGGTGACTGTTGATGGGCTAAAGCTAACCACACATGATGTGGATGACTCTGTGCCAATTGTTTCACCAATACAATCCCAGCATTGCAGAGTTCAATGGGCTGCCGATTGTCCAAGTATAGCATTAAAACATTCACAAATTTTGCCATTTCAGTAACATCTAATGTTAATATTCTTACAAAATTTGGTAGTGTCCTTAATAACACCTTCTGGGCACGATAAGCAGCTGTCATATAGTAGCCACTCCTCTTGGTCTTCTCTAAGCTTGTACGACTCTGACTTTGGAGAAAGGACAATAGTGATGGAAATACTTCTTTCAAAGTACGCTGTCGAAGGAAATCCCCACTGGTGATAACCATTGTTGATAGCACTTCAAGAGCGCCCACCATCACTACAAAATCAGGGTCCTTCAGCCTTAAAACTAATGGTTTCCATAACTTATGTAAAACTGGCAGTCTCTGATCTTCCCACTGAGATAAAGCTGAACAGCCTGCCTTAATTACTTTCATCACTAAAATTTTAATTTTCCTATCCTGGAAATATAACAAATGAGAACATCTTTCCAGAATATCCACAACAAGCTCAATATATCTTGGTATTTCTCTCTTCTCTTCACTTTGATCTGGGCTGTCCTCACTTACTTCATCATCCTCATCCTGCTGACTGTTATGCTTCTGAAAATTCTCGCCACAACTGCCCTGTACATGCTCTGTTTCCATGATATAATCACTTTCTTTAATGCCTTTTTTAACAGTCATTTGATCTTTGTGGTAGTTCTCTAAAAAAAGGGCAATAGGTCCACGTTTAACATATGCTGTAGAATGTTGAAAAGCCTCTTTCTGTTTTGTTTCAGATTGTCCAATATTAACAGTGTTATTTAGACATATATTAACATTACTAGTTTCAAAATCCTTTGAAATCACTTCAGCTTTAGACTCATGTTTAACAACAGCAGTAACGTACACATGCAAAACTCGCACCAGAGGTAAAGCTTGTTCATTATGATAAGTGTCAAGGCATGCTAGCACATCCTCTACTAATTCTTCCGTGAAAGATATAACATCAATATTAGCATATTCAAGAGAGACTTGAAGAACCAGAGGTGCTGTAGGATATTGAGGCAATTTCTTGAGTCTCATAGAGAGTGGGTACCAAAACTGAGGGACACTATTTTCAATGAATTTAGCAACATTTTCATATCCGCAGGATTGTGCCATTTCTTGCAAGGTATTGATGGCAGTGTGACCGACCAACACATTAGCTTCCCCAGCTTTCTCCATTACAGAACACAGAACTTTGCTTAGGAATATATCAAAATTAGTGCCCATCATTTGAGCACAAGAACTCAATAAATTCAAAGCATTGGCAACAAGCACCACATTACTTTTAACAAAATCAATAGAAATATTGTTCTGCTTGTTCACTGGAACTAAAGAGGCACCTAAATCTTCTGTGGTGTTAGGATGTGCATCATGCTGAGTGAGAACACAGAGTGGGGCACTGAAGATTTCTTTACACATAATCACGTCCAACACATTGTGCACGACCTGTTCACTCTCCTCATGTGGAGTGCTGCTCCTCTCTTTCCCTTTCAACTTTCTTTCATCTCTCCCTGTAAAATAATAATTAATGTTACCAAACAAATTGAGAACTCGCAATATTACTTTTATTACGTATAATTAATGTAGTACAATTTTTGAATCATGTAACTTAAAAAATTTACAATTCAGGTACTGAAGTAAAAATCATTACAGTACAGTATATGGGAAAAACATTTGAATACATAAGTTTGAGAGTGGATAGTGAATGAATATAATATAGTTTGTTCAACAATATCTTCCTATCTCACTTCTGCACAGTTTTTAATATAGCAAATGACTGCAATATTAGAGCAGATATATTAACTTGCATAGCAGCCAGATGTAATACTGGAGAGAGCAATAGCAATTAAAGGAGCTTGTTAGATTACATACACACAAACACATCATACAGATGTTTGTAACTGCAATCTAGCCAAGCCTAACTTGATTAAAATGTTGACCAAACCACACACTAGAAAGTGAAGGGACGACAACGTTTCGGTCCGTCCTGGACCATTCTCAAGTCGATTGTGATTGATAGGTTTTTGATGTGACTGATTGTTGACTGATAGGTTTTTGATGAGGTTTTTGATGTGATTGATTGTCGACTGATAGATTTATTGATAGATTGATTGTTTATTGATGGGTTTTATTAGTTACAAATGAAAATTATATGGAGTTTAAATTATACTAACCTTGGATAATGAGGGAAAGCATAAGAAGTGTTTCCTTTTGAAGAAAGGTTGAGTGTTGCAGGAAGTCTAAACACAGATCCACCACTACAGTCAGGTTACTGTGGCATCCAATCAGCTGACAAACAGTTCCTATAACCTCAAAGATTCTAACATCTTGGAAATACTTGAAAGACTTCCCCAATGAAGGCTTAATGGTTAACAATTCAAAAGGATCTGAAAGGTGTCAAAAATAATGAAGAATTATGCAAACATAAATATGTACGAAGAGCAATATAATGGAAATTAACTTGAAACACTAAGTTGATGGTAAACTTTATTTGAAAGACAGCAGCTCCAATCTTGTCCTCTCTTCCAAAATGCATCAAAGTGATCATTATGGGACGTGAAAGAAAAATTTGAGGTACTCTACCTGAATATGGGCCACTTTTTGCAAAATCGGGCATAAGCCTACCGGGTGATTGCAGACACTTTCTGTGGTGAAAGGGTTAAGGCAAAATATTATCTACAAATAAAGTCAATTCTCAACTTGGTGTTACACTACGTTATTGTCTGCACAAAGTGTTCTATTCAACCAATTTAAATGTTAATTTTAATAAATCTGAATTACTTTAATGTACCAATTGTGGTTAAAAAGAACAGAACCTAATACAATACAAATATAATCAGATAAACTTTTATAACAAGAATTGTAAGTATTATAAGCTTACAAATGCTAACCATGAGCATCGGTCCTTTCCAACAGTAGGTCTGAGTCCATGGTATCCAGGGTAAGTGCGATGGAGAGAGATTGCAGTAGGCGGTGAGAATGATTTGGCCACGACATTAGCCGTGTTATTCTCTCGCCTAAAACTTCTAAGCAGCCCAAAAGTTGACGCACACTTGTCAAAGTTTTAGTGCCATCTAATGAGAAAAGAAAAACAATGTGTACTGTACTTTAAATAAAATTCAAAGTTCTAAGAAGTACAGAACTTGATTTGAATTTACATATAAATTACTATTATTATTTTTATTATTATTAAACTGGTGGTCTTGCACATAACGGCTAGGATATTTATCCTGTGGCAAGGATTATTTGCTATGTTTACCTCATTGTTACTAATTTCCTTCAAGCATTTCCTTATTGTTATGTGTTTATACTTTCTGGTAGATTTTTCTCAGTTTTAGGTTGATCTCTGATCCCCAAGCTTCTCTTACCTTGTAGGGAAAACCACTTGGCTACCAGTAGGCTAGAGTGGGTCTCAGAGGACCGGTGTAATTCCATACAACTTGCCCATCCCAGTGCTAGTTACGAGGAGCTACTGAAGGACCCTCCCGGTAAGATCAAGAACTTCCTTCAGAGGCTACTAAGATTCTCAGAGGGTTCAAACTGTTAGCGAAAGCAATTCCCAAAACATACATGATGAACATTCCTACGAGCCACATCATCTCGGGTACAAAAAACATACCCCGTATACTAACTAAATTCAGAGCTAGATCAGCCTACTACCCAACCCCTTCCCCACTGCAGCTGGGTCTATAAGATGTTTACCTTTGAATATCCACTATCAAATGTTAAGGAGCACTTCACAGAGTGAAACATTGTTCGCAATAAAGGTTTGTTCTTAATTGTAACCGAGACTTACTAAAGAAAGACAAATGCATTACGGTACCTTGTTGCCTACAAACTGTCGGTAGTTGTGTTGACAGAGCATATACACGCTCTTCCAGTAATTCTAGTAAGCCTTGTTTTGAGGATGTGTATTTGCCCTTTACTTCAAGGGCTTGAGTAACTGCCAGCAGCGCCTCCTGTGCTGCGGTCCCAACATCTACAATATCATCACTGCGCAGCCCAACAATTACTTCAACACCCAAAATTACAGCTCCTGTTAGTGACCTGTTAAATGGATACACAATTTAGCTGTCCAACTGAAATCAAATAAATTTCAGAGAATTGATATAAGATTCAAATTAATTTTCATCCATTTGGAGGACACAACTTCATAAGGACTTGCAGTTATTAATAATGGAAACCAAACAAGGTAAACTAAACTACTGCATATTAATCAATATGAAGTATGCATATCAATATTAAGTATATATATTAATCAATATGAAGTATGCATATCAATAAAGCTTGGCTGATTACTTGAAAACATTTGAAACAAATTGATTCTTTTCAGTTTCTTCTTTCTGTGCAGGTGCCCTCAAGTAGTTGCTCAAGAGGTTAAAGCACTGACACTATAGACCTACCAGACCTTGGACTGGTATGTTACAAACCCCACCATCTCTCTACCATAGACCGTGCTACTTGGAACTTTTTGTTCCAAGTAGCGAATCTTTAACAACAACAACCACCGTCTCTCTGAAAGAGGCAAGTGTTTACCTCTCGGTGAGACAAAGAGCTAGGTCTTACAGTACAGTGAGACCTGCAGTGAGATTATCTTTACCTGCAACACTTGCAAATTAGCTGTTGTGCCCAGTGTACGAGACTAAGCCGTACCCTCCAATGTGAGTAGGTTACCAGTCTTGTCAGTGACTGCACCAAGAGTATCAACTTGTCTGCAGTACTGCATACCCATTCCCTAGTAATGTCTATGGTCAATATTTGTTCAGCTGAGGTCTGAAAAATAAGAAAATATGTTAGATATCATTAAAAAACCAGCACTGAATGTAATGAAATGCCAGGTTCTGGGTGAGCCCAGGTGGCTCCCTGAAGCTACTTTACCCATATAACATGCAAACCTGTCCCAGGCATAGCTCAAAGGAAGTGTCTTCCAACCCATTCCTTTCCTTCTGTTGTCTGGGAACATTACACATAAACAGATTCAACCTCTGGCAGGAAAGACCAAATTGTGATATGACGATAATTGCAGGCCACTAGTACTCGATAACCTCATTGTACAGTAAAAATTAAAATAACAATTTTGTTAAGGGTCTATATCATCTACATTACATCCATATAAATGTATTATAACCCTATTTTCATTATTTGTTTACAAACTTGGGAATAATAACTAAAATAAGCAAATGATGATAAAGATATTGGCCCAGGGATCAACATATGAGAATAATCGACCTTACAGGTTAATTATGTTACTCTCATTTTGTTTCTTCGCTCATACCTCCCAGTCCCCATGATAATGAATGTATCAAATATATGTACAAAATAGAACAAATAAAATAAAAAATAAACAATGAAACATTTAGATTAATACATAAATAATTACCATACCAGTATCTCTTCCCCTGGTTCAGGGAGTGCAAATTTGTTGCTTTCAGTTGATGTTAGTTGCTTTTCCTTTCCAGTCTCATGACCTTTTTCACCAAACAGCTGCTTCTGAAGCTGGGCCACAGTTTCCCCCTCCCCCAACCCATCCACATGCTTCTCTAAGAAGTTATCTCTCATCACCAACACAACAAAGTAGCTCCAGGCATCAACAGCAACCTGCAATATCAAATACTCTATTGTATACAAAAAGTTTTGACATCTTACAGTACATATGTATTTTAAATAAACCCCAGCATTAAATGTAATGAAACCAATTTCCCTGAAGTTATCTTCCTGAAATTACTTCACACTAAAAGAGAGAGAGCCAGTTCATTTATCCTATTTAATTTACAGTATTGTACGTACATCCTTAACAAAATCAGTTTAATTATTAATCAAGCAAGATACTTACTGCTGTAACCTTGTGGCCCTGCTTTTCATCACCAGTGGCAACTTTAGTTAAAGCTGTGACAATACCAGGCAAGAAATTGGCAAATGTGCTACTCAAGATATCCTGTTGCTGGTTGGAAAGTATATCAAATAATTTCTTTTGGCCCAAAACTAACAGAGTTTCCATGGCTTGAATCCTGGAAAAAATAGAAATAAAAGAAATAATAAAAACGGCATGTACTATAGATACCCAACTTTCCAATGTCAGTAAGCAAAATACATTTCCTTTTCTACATCATTCAAATTTACTTAAAACTTTCAATGAAGAAACCAGTGATGAATGTGATGAAATGCCAATTTCTGGGTGAGCTCTGGTGGCTCCACAAAGCTCTCATATACTGACAGCATACTATCTACTGTCACGTCAGCTGTGGAGTTCTATTGGCCTACTGGAGACTAGAGCCAGAACCTGGCCCAATCACAGAGGGGGGTAGGGAGTGGTGACAAGCTATTTATGTATGCCATCACCAGGGAAGGCTACCAGAAAGTCAGCAAGTCAAAACAGACCATTGCTGGCTTCACCAGAAACCACAGCCTCTAAAACCACACAAGAAAATCCCCAAACGATGTAAACAAATGATTGAATTCTTTCAGAACTAGTGCTATATCAGTCTTGATGGAAGCGCCTTCCCACAGGTTGTTACCGTTTCCTTACTGCTTGACTTTCGTCTTCCTCATTAACTTCCATTCTGTGTTGCCTAAGATCTTACAGATGTTGCATTTTCCTTCACTCAGGTTGCAGTTATAGGTGAAGTGGTCATATCTGTCATTTAAAGCACTGTCGTAGTTGAAGGTATATTTCTTTCTTGATTGTTTGTTTACATTGTTGGGGGAGTTCATTCAGCAGGTTGTGAGGCTTTGATCTGTTCAGAACCCAGCAGTGGTCTGTATTGGTTTATAGACTTCCAGGGCATCTTCCTGGTGAAGTGGCAGAGTGTCACCTGCTTCCTGCACCTCTGTAAGGGGGACCAGGTTCTGCCTGTGTTCCCCAGTAGGCTGAACTGAACTCTATGGCTGATATGATCCAGTAGTTAGGGGCCGTCTCAGCGAGATGGCTTCAGGGAGCCACAAGATACTCCTCCAAAAACTCCAATATAAAAACATTAAAAATAAAAATAAATAAAATATCTTTAATGCATGTACTTACAACTTAAGCTTAGTGCAAGATGTGTGGTGCTAGGCTGACCTTACCTGGAGCAAACCTGGAGAGGGTTTCAGATCTTCAACTCCCCGAGCCCGACCTGGGGCCAAGCTCAACCTTGGATTAATGGTTACAGTTTTATCACAATCAGAAATGCTGAGTGGTTTGTAACAATGCATAAACATGTACAACTGTAGTTATATATAACATGTGTATACAGTGTTAATAATAGTAAAATCAGTGTTTTTTTTAACCCAAAGAATATAATATTGTGTGCATATTAGTGACACAAATTTATTTCTCTATATCGATGCTTTGCATGTTTTATTATACAAATTTCTCAAATTACACTACACACAATTGCATACTATGCATATTGTAGGGGGCCTGGTGGCTGAGTGGACAGCGCTCGGGACTAGTAACCCTAGGGTCCAGGGATCGATCCCACCGATGGTGGAAACAAATGGGCAGAGTTTCTTTCACCTTGATGCCTCTGTTCACCTTCACCTAGCAGTAAATAGTTACCTAGGAGTTAGACAGCTGTTGCGGGCTGCTTCCTGGGGGTGTGCTTGTGAGAAAAAAAAACTGATTGGCAGTTGAGAGGCGGGTCGAAAGAGCCTGAGCTCAACCCCCACAAGCACAACTAGGTGAATACTATAACTGCAAAAACTAGTGAAAAAACAAATCAGTGATACTAAAATAAATCAGTATAAATATATTCGCTGCAATTCAAGAGACCTCCACAGGGCGTCTCATTCATCAGTGATTGTGAATCAGTGATGTCATCATCATATTTCACCTCTCCATCACAGCCAAGGCTGAATATTTTTTTTTTTAAGGTTCCCCATGATCAGGGAATGCATTTTAACAAAATTATACAACAACAAAAAATGTAGATTTTTCCGTGTGCACCTCAACTTTGTCACATTTAACATGCTCACAGTGCAGGGGTTAAAGGGTTAAAATACGGTACAGTATAACTTAGCTTTCAATCCCAAACACACAAAGTGAGCAAATAAAAATCACATTTAAAATGAAGGTGATACTGTTCTTACTTATTTAAGCAGTAAAACACCAAATTATATATTATTCTAATTAATCAAGTTTTATAAGTAATGTAAAAGAGGAGGAAGCCAAGGGACACAGGTAAAAGATTCTATTTCACTAATATGGAAGTACTGAACAGTAAACTGGAGTACTTACTTCAAACTGCGATTCTTTTCCTCCTGCATCAGCTTCAGAGATATGTAGATAGCATGGCCAAGTTGTGGCTTAAAACTATTGCTATAAACCTTTTGCTTGACAGAATCTACACTGTTTTGGATAAGTAGAGAGACTCCTGCCATGGCTGTCTCCTTACATTCCTCACTTATCTTCCCCACTTAAAAAGAAAAAAAAGAGGAGGCCTTTTACTGCATTTAAAGCAAATATTGTAAATTATAATTAACAAATTAAATGCAATGCTTTAAACAGTTGTATCTACCAGTTATATAAATATAAGAATAATAGCTTAAAGGCTATTATTAGGCTACAGGTGGGAGAGGTGAAGCATTAAGCCAGAAAAGTTTTCTAAACTGTAAGAACAATGTAATACTGAATAAATCCACAAGGGCCATGATGAGGATTCGAGTGCATGGGGAGTTGTGTAAAACCCTGGTTTGTGCTTCAGAGAGGCTGCAGGATCCAGTAAGTTCAGTAGAACTTCGGTTTTAACTCTTTTGACCATGTCGTAGCTTAGTCGATTAAGGCAGCGTCTGGGATGCTCCCGGACGTAGGTTCGAATCCTCATCACGGCCCTTGTGGATTTGTTCATTTGATGCATCACGTTATTGTGATTTATGTGTGTAATGTAATATACTATACTGTATGCTAGACCCATAATAGTTGATATTCAGAATTATGACAAAGTTATTAACATTTTATATTAAATGAGGAGCATACAATAATCCTCTGTCATAAACAGATTAATATGATCCACAAGATGCAGGGAAATGATTACCACTTGTATGTGCTTTTTAACACAGCACATACAAGTGGCTAGATTTCTAAATGTTGTTGCAGTCATGTGGATGCCCTTGCTACCTCTCTGTGGTAACATAAGCGTTGTGAAAATGTCAAATGCAAGTCATTACATGTGGGGTATAATAATGGTATTTCCTCAGCTAATCACTTGTAAAGTGGGATAGTACATGAGATATATATAGGAAACAGGAATACTCAGAAAATATTTAAATAGTCCACATGTTCAACCATTACCTTTCTGAGGATCTGTTTTGTCTGTCACAATGAATATGAGCTGCGTGAAGATTTCTTGGAAGAATGTAAAGTCATCAATAATGGAACGACCAAGGATGACATGCACAACTCCAACTATCTCTTCTTGTAAGTCCCAGGAACTGAAAAGAAGTAAGAGAAATCAAATTCAGCTGTGACCTGCTCTATATCTAATTATATAGATTATGAGCTATATCAAATTTATAATCGTGATCTTCCCATAATATGCCAATCTTGAAATATTATCCAATACTGATTATTCTATTAGTTTCACGATAAACCAGGGGACTCCTGGTTCAACCTTGAAGACGAATGGACATCTGGACACCTCCGCCTGGGAGCCGCCGGATCAGATTCCATTTGGATTTGATGCTGCCATTTGGCATTCCTATGAACGGTCCGGTTTGTTACGACGCCTGGCGCACATATTACTAGGGCTGCGGGGACACTTAAAAGCTTCGAAATCATCTCAAGATAACCTCAAGATTGGGTCACAGAATTGTTGATAGATTTTGAACATTTTCTGGCTGGTTCTTTCGGCGGGGTGACAAGCCCGGCTCCTGCTTGGCTGAGAGGTGCCGGGAGTTGGTGGACCCAGTGTGCCCTGTCATGGTGGGCGGCTGGCTTTTGCTCTGCCGGAGGACACTGGGTGACTTTTACGTTTTAGTTGGGGGCCGAGTTTTTGGTTTTGCTACCCAGTGTTCTCTGTGTAATTACCTAAGTGTAATTATGTAAGTGTAGTTACAGGATGAGAACTACGCTCATGGCATCCCATCTTCCCAGAACTCTATGTTCCTTGGAATACGACCCCCGCGAAGAATCGTTTTTACAACTAGGTACCCATTTTACCGCTGAGTTAAACAGAGGCTACAGTTAAGGATTTGCACCCAGTAAATCCTCCCTGGCCAGGATACGAACCCAGGACAAAGCGCTCATGGAACGCCAGGCGAGCGTCTTACCACTACACCAAGGAGACAGTTAAGGGGAGCCGGTCGGCCGAGCGGACAGCACGCTGGACTTGTGATCCTGTGGCCCTGGGTTCGATCCCAGGCGCCGGCGAGAAACAGTGGGCAGAGTTTCTTTCACCCTATGCCCCTGTTACCTAGCAGTAAAATAGGTACCTGGGTTTTAGTCAGCTGTCACGGGCTGCTTCCTGGGGGTGGAGGCCTGGTCGAGGACCGGGCCACGGGGACACTAAAAAAAGCCCTGAAATCATCTCAAGATAACCTCAAGAAGGTGTGGAGTGGGGCCGGTGCTTGTCACCCTGAGGGGCTCCTGGGGGCTTCCCTCTCATCTGTTCATCTGTGCGTTTATTTGTCACGAGGCATATTAGTTTCCAGTGATAGGCGTCATTCGTTTCGTGATTAGGTTTTGCGATTAACCCTTTACAGGTAAGCCGGGGTGCATCAGATCCCATGATCGTCGTCGCCCCTAAATTCACAACAACGATAAACCCCCATTTCCACTTCCATCTTATCTAAACTGAAACTAACCATACATAAACCAGCCTCACCTGGTTTACCAGCCCTCAATCTCACATTATGAGTTCAGAACAGTCAACTGTACTATGGAACCAGACCATTGTAAGGAATATCCATCAAATATCTTGTTTTCTAATTAAAATTTATGTATCCTAAAAAAAAAAATGTCATTACCATTTTTTTCCACTCTTGAGAAGCACAATAAGTGGAAAGAGAAGGTATTCCTTGAGGTGTGTGATACAGCTAGCACTGACGAGGCCTTCTGCAGCGTCCTCGGCGTGTGCCACCTGCTCCACCCCGTGCCTCAGTGCCCGCACACTCTCCACACTCCCTTCCCTCGCCACCCTCACGCTCGCTGGCTTTAACAAGGCAAAAGCTTCCTGAGGATTCATGTCTGGAGAGCTCGCGCATCTCCCGCGAGATGCTCCACGCCTGTGTTTGTTTACCTCTCAGTCAGCTGACGGCTCCTTCAACCAACGTGGCGCCAATTTTGAAACACGTTAAATTAATTAAATATTTTTATTCAGGAAAAGTACATGTATAGATGATTAGTTACAAACATAATGTTGGTTTGATTGATAGAGCTAGTACATACAAAACCTAAAGCCACTAATATGCAAAGCGTTATTTTGGGACTTTTGGGACTCAAAAGTCCCAGATGTGGATGGAATTCAATCTAAAGTCATAAAGGAACTGGCAGAACTATGCCAACCGCAGAAACTCATTTTCAGAAAATCTCTGGACCAAGGGTTATTTCCCCTAGATTGGAAATATGCAAATGTTACTGTACCCTTATTTTAAAAAATGGCAGAAAGAGTTTTTGGCAAAAAACTACCGTCCACTCAGCTTGACATCACACACCTGCAAGCTCATGGAGAGACTCCTAAGGGAGGGACTCATCCAACATCTCACAGACAACAATCTTGCAAAATCAATGCAAATGGTTTGTTAAAAATAGATCCTATCTTCCAAACCTGCTCACATTTTTGTAAACAGTAACCAGCTATTCAGACAAAGGACTTCCAGTAGATACAGTTTACCTGGACTTTGCTAAAGCTTTTGACAAGGTGCCACATGAAAGACTAGCAAGGAAACTACAGGCACATGGAAAAAAATGAGAAAATACTAGAATGGATAAAACAAAGAAAACAAAGAGTTGTGCTAAATGGGAAGGATTCTGACTGGGTGCTCGTTGATATTGTCCATCCTGACAGGTTGTTTTCTTGGTGGGTTTAAGAGTTTGTCTCATAGACGTCTTCCTCTTGGAGAGGGTGCTTCATCCTGAATTGTGCAAAGCTCTGAGGTTGGGTCACTTATTGATTATGAGGTACACTAGGAATCATGTACTTGTACATATGGCATGCCAATGACACCTTTCACAGCTGTATTTTCTGTGTACTGCATACTGTATACTGTAGCTAGTATATCTTTGCCAAGTTCAAAGTCAAGGGTGCTGAGTCTTGACTTAATTGTGGTAGCAGTGTACAAAATTTTTAACAGATGTAACTGAATTTAACTCTAACCTTAGAAATTTAATATTAAACAACAAAAATCAATTAATTCTAACAGGCAATTTTAATATTGACCTCTGCCAGCATAACCCTCAAGTTGCTAGTTTCCTCAACTGTATGAACTCCTGCATGCTTATACATAGATCACCAAACCAACCGGAATTACTGAAACTGCCCCTACTCTTGACTACATCTGGACAAACCTAACCTCTCCTCTTACTTTAGGAATAATCACTGATAGAACGACATACCATTGCCCCCACATTTCTTCTAACCAGTATTAATAAACCACTTTTAGACATTTTGAAGATAGGTTTTAGGCTGCACAATGAAGCTTCCATAAGCAACTTTATTGCAGCTGCTTGCAACATCTGGGAGACTGAACTCAGTACTACAGCAAACATCAACCTAACTTTAAAACATTTCTTCACAAAACTGAGGCTCTATAATACCAACTGTCCAATGCTAACAAAACAAGTCACAACAAAAAGGATGACAACCCATGGCTTACTAAGGGTATACAATGGAAAGGGCATTTGCCTTTCCATTGGAAAATTTCAGCAATGTGGAGAGGGGGGGACCTGCTGCATGGGTAACAGCTTCTCCTCCATATCACCCTACCCAGGCTTTGTACCCCTTGAGAGGACACTCCAGCCTCAACAACTAGAGTGCAACTCCATGATCTCCCGAGACTGCAGGATGCCTACTACTACTACTAAAATCTATCAACAAAAAGCATGATAATGAGAAGTATAGATCAGGGGTCATTTCCAAAGAAGTATCTAGGAGGTGCTCACCATTGCTATCTATGATTATTAGGAGTGCCAAAAACTACTATGAAAATTAATTTAATGAAATAAAGGGAAACATGAAGTAAACATGGACTACTATTTTCCAAATATTAGGATCAAAGAACAACTTCAATAATTTATTTATTCAATTTATTGATTTATTTATATACAAGAAGATACATTGGGTTGTGAGAGTTTCTGAATCATCGGTGAGAATCATTGGTGTTTGAGTATTACATTCTTGCAGTTACAAACACGCATAGTATTTCAGGTAGGTCCTAAATCTAACGAATAAAAGCATTGTAGCAATTGCTAAAGTATTAATCAATTCATTGTAGCAAAATTTGAGTTCAACATAATAGCTACAAAATAAATTAGTAGCATTGATTATACTGGTGAAGTTGCAATTCTTAATTACAAAAATTGGGCAAGTGGGTAGCACAAGATACAGTGTGAGTTTGGTGCATAAAGAGAGGAAACTATGAGGATGTAATTATGAGGATGTAATTATGTATCTTTTAGTTTTACTTTTAAATAAAGCATAGGTTGGCAACATTGGTACTCTTTTTGGGAATGGAAGCCAGGGACAGGCAGGGACTTAACATGGGACGAGTATAGGTGTTTGTAAATCATTTTTTCAAATATTTGTTTATAGTATCGGTAGAATTGATATTGGTCTGTAATTGTTTATGTCAGCTGCATCACCTCCTTTATAAACTGCCATTACTACTGTATTGATTTTTTTAAAAATATCAGGAAAAGTATAACACTAGAGATTTGTTGAATAGCACAGCTATGGGTGGTGCAAGGGCATGAGCAATACTTTTATATACCATAGTTGGTATCTCACTAATGTTCCCAGCAGCACACTGGACTTGTGATCCTGTGGTCCCGGGTTCGATCCCGGGTGCCGGCGAGAAACAATGGGCAGAGCTTCTTTCACCCTATGCCCTTGTTACCTAGCAGTAAAATAGGTACCTGGGTGTTAGCCAGCTGTCACAGGCTGCTTCCTGGGGGTGGAGGCCTGGTCGAGGACCGGGCCGCGGGGACACTAAAAAAAAAAAAAAAGCCCCAAAATCATCTCAAGATAACCTCAAGATATAGCATTGGTTTTAAGTGAGTGAATTATGGACATAATGTCTGTTAGGCTAACAATGTCCCCATTCTCTTCTAGATTATATCACAAAGCATACTGAATTTCCAACAGGACATGATCACTCTTTTCCTAGGGAGGAAGGTACTGAATGTCAAACATATCCTCTTCTTTCCTGGTGAATATTAAATCCAGCATTGATGGAACATCCCCTTCTTTCAGTCTCGAGGTGACGATCCTGTATATGAATGTCTCCAGGACGAGGCTTACAAATCTACCTGTCCAAATGTCATCTGTTCTTACTTTGTGTGGTGTTTGTATGTGGGTGTGTGTGGAGTATGTGCATGTATGGGGGTATGTTGGGTTTGTGTGTGTATGTGTTGTGTGTGCGAGTTTATATTATACAGTGCCACATTTTACATTCTTCGTTAATGTAAAAAGTATTCCTGGATAAGAATTAAGTTTTAATATCTGCAAGTCAATATGGAAAATATACATACAGTATTTCTACACACACACAATTACTCTGTACAATCAACATAATTTATGAGCTCATTCTCAATTAAATTCTATTATAAAATTAAAAAAAATTAAATTGGAAACCATTTGCTGGCAACCTCTTGTCAATAATGAACTACTGAATAACCATTAATCCCAATCACCATCACTACCATCCACTTCTTTGGCTGATGCTAAAGGTGGAGGTGGTATCATAGCGGCCATCTTCTCCATGGTTGTCATACGTCCACTGCTTTCTGGAGCTTTGGAATCAACAGCAATGTTTGTGTCTTTCTGAACAATACCAGATATGCCCTGTAGAAAAAGTATACAACATTATAAATTTAAACAATTAACCAATTATAATATTACAACTAAAAATTCCTAATGGACCATAAATTGAAGTACAGTACATGGTAGTGGGGGAAAGATAGTCTGGGAGCCACCAGAATTCAACCAAAAAGTGGGGTTTCATTACATTCAGTAGCTCCCTGAAGCTAATTAATGTAAGTCCCATGGGACTTACTAGGGAGGAGGAGAGGCAGCAGCTACACAAGCCTGACTGGGACAAAGAATATTGACCCAATACCAATCTGCCACAACCCTGTCAGATTCCCAAAGTCTACCTAGCCCTATATATATATATGGTGGATATATATCCACCGTATATGAATGCGGTGAATATATAGTATTCACAAACATACAGTATAATAAATCTTTACTCCAAAAAATTTGTTTGCTCTACATTCTCTCTAAACAGAATACAATATCAGTATTGAATATCAGATTAATAAATTAATTTACAATACAGCAAAATATCTGTTATATTTAATCAGAGCTGTTGGTTGATTACCAACAAGCAATATTCCTACATAATTTTTTGAATTATGGTAATGCAATACAAATATTGACTCAATACCAATATTGTATACCATAACATAGTTGTTAATAAAGCATAAGTATATAGCGTATAACTTACTTTTCGTCGCTGTGAGAGTCTATTAAACAAGTCACTCATGAGGTCACCTGCCGGAGCTGCTGCAGCCTGTAAATATTATAAAAATAAAACCTGCAGTCACCTGCCACCTGTAAGTATGCCTTATTTACAGCTCAAACTTAACTATGGTAGTTATTTATTCAAGGGCACGTTCAGCACGAGCTGAAATCTAAATATAATACACTGTATTTTGACAAACCTCTTTTTTCTTGGTTTCTCTTTTATGATCCTTGCTGTTCCTTAGTTTGGCTTTTCCAGCACCGCCTGCTGCCTGTATGGCCTTCATCAGGTCACTGCGAGCATCCGATACCACAGCAACAGGTACACCCTAAAACATGTTCAGTATGGTTTACTGGTGCAACTGGTAGAACAAGGGCATTTCTATGAACATACTGTCTACCATAATGTAGGTTACACGTCTGAGAAAGGTATACGACAACTGATTATGAAGATAAATAATAAGTTACGTGTGTAGAGATTATGATATTCACAAATATTGATATATAATAACTAAGTACCATGTGAAAGTTTGAATTCAGGCAGAACACACTAAATGCCCCCTAATCCTTAAAGGTTATCAAACCTTACGTGGAGTGACACGTAAAGACAAATAAAAATGCATAAGGATCAGGTTACTGGACAACTGAAAAGGCATGGTCAATGAGAAGTTTGACCTGCGGACTTGCTTAGGCAAGTTCACATCTATTTGTTTATATTACAAATTATATGTACCTCTGGTGCTGTCTGGTTCCCAGATACTCCTGATACAGGAGGGGGAGGAGGAGGAGGAGGTGGTGGTGGTGGTTGTGGAGGCAGTTGTGGTGGTGGTGGTGGCGGTGGCGGAGGTCCTGCTGGTGGTGGTGGTGGTGGTGGTGGAGGGGTTTGTACTTGAGCCAGAGTACTACCGTTCAATGATGGTGGTTGTGGTGGTATATTTGAACTAATACCAGAGGGAGCGGAAGATGGAGGAAGAGGGGCACTTGTACTTGCTGGTGGAGGCTCACGAGATAAGGCCACAGAAGATACGTCTGTGTTATCCAGGCTGAAGGTTGGTAAATCTGGCATTCCAAAGGATGGTGCTATAGCTGGCCCTACATCAGCATCATAAAGAAGGTCATTGGCAATCCCTGGAAATAAATAAATAATTTATGAAATTATACAGAAAACTAGTTTGTATTTCTTTTACTATTGCCACATCACACAGATATTGTGGTAAATCACTACTCCTGCCAAGATGAACGAGTAGGCCTACATGTCCGCCATTTTGAGACATAGAACTTCGTCATTCTGCAAGTGAGCGCATTATCCCGCAGTACATGACCCCTTCACATGTGTAAATAAATCATAATACTGTAATGCACTATGACTCGTCAACATCCCCAAAACAAAAATAATTGCACCAGAATTAACACTCCCAAATTTATGCCTCATGAAAATTAAGTTGCTACACATCCACCACATTCCATTAATAAAATACTGCAAAGTGAACAAGGAAATATCACCAGTCTGGTTCTTATAATTACTTCAAAATGATTTCTACATACAGTGGCTAGTAAATTACAAGAATAAAGGGAAATAATGGTAGCTAATGGCATGAGCGGGTAAGGCTTGCAAGGGTTTACCGGGAACTAAAGTTTACGGGATCCCCAAACTGCCATATAAGGGCACGAACTTGAAACCCGCATTCTAAGAATACGAACTCACAAAACCAGTCCTTTACTTCCTTACTTATAGTATAGATATTTCCTTTAAAACAGGGATGTAGAACCAATATGCATTTATAAACAAACACAGTAACCACGTGGGGCCGGTACCATATTTTTTTAATTGCCGGGACTCGAGAAACAACCAAAGTGCTTACATTACATTTATTAAAACACAGAAAATGGGATAATACACTAAACCTATTTTCTACAGGCATTACTTTTTATGCAGGTGCATTTATCACATCCATGGAAAACAGAAAATTTACTACTGAACTATGACAAACCAAAACAGTTTTTTTTTAATAAACTGAAAACTCACCAGGTAATGATGGTAACTCCATTGGAAGGTCCAAGTCAGGGAGGTCCGATAGGTCTGGCAGGTACTGGTATTCATCTTTTGTTATCAGCCCCATTTGATCCCCTTCCTGAATATGGAAAGTAACTTTTGAAATAAATGTACAGTATTAAATAAAACCACAGTACTTAATATCTTGAGAATAGTATCACTTTAACCACTGTAATGCGCAGCTATAAAATATGACAAGCTCTCAATGCTCTTTGTAAACTCTCACCTGAAGAGTTGTTGGTGCATCTTGTAAAGTCGGCCCCGAGTTGGAAGTATCAGATCTACTTCTGGAACCTTCACCACGTGTGCCCGACACAACACCCAAGGGATCCAAAACCATATACTTTTTATACCTAAAATAAAAACAATAACTTTAGTCCTCATATTTAACATTTATCCCTTCACGGATAAATGAAAGTAAAGCCAGCCATGTTCACAGTTCTCACACCAGTAAAGCTAGCCATGTTCACAGTTCTCACACTAGTAAAGCCAGCCATGTTCACAGTTCTCACACTAGTAAAGCCAGTCATGTTCACAGTTTTCCTAACTGCTATATCAGAACTGACTTACGGATTGTGTGTTGTATTGAATAGCAGTAGTGATGAAACAGAGGAAAGATGGGGTGGTAATCTACCCAATCCATCTTCTTGATTTGTATCCTCTAGTCCCCGTACTGTGAGCGAGGTTCCACGTCTCTCACGTACATGGTAAAACTGAAGCTTTTCCTAAAAAATAAAAAATAAAAATGAAATAGCATTGAATGCAACAAAATGTTTATTTTTGGTGGAGGCCCGATGGCTCCCAGGAGCTACCTTGCTGAGATGGCTCCATACTAAAAGTCACATCAACTGCAGAAATTATTTGGCCTTGCAGGGACCAGAGCCAGAACTTGGCCCCTCATAGAGGTGCATGGAAAATTTACAATACATTTTCAAATTAAGATTATATTCTATGCACTGAGCAAAACTATGAGATCAAAATGAATCATTCCTCTCTTTAACATTGGATCAACAAACTGGATATAGAACAAAAAAGAAAAAAACTGGCAAGATGAGGTACAAGAAATCTTACTTGAAGGTTAGCTGGATTAAACAAAAGATCTTCCTTTAGCTTTACTGGTGTTGAGATAAATGTTATTGGACATTCTCCTCTATGAACTGGATGATATGGTTCATATTGGTCTCCACCAGGGTACTGTGCACTGGAAAATACCTAAAAATAACAGTGCACATTTTAATGATAAAACTTTCTAAAAAAAAAAAACAAGAGTATTAATGGCATTATGAGAGTGTAAGAAATATTTAATTGTAAACCTAATAAATAATTTTATAGTTGATGCAATAAATTAAATAAGAATGAACATGCAGTATTATATTTGGTGGCAATTAAAAATGTGTTACAGGAAATGTTAACTATGAACCTTAGGTCATGTGTAAGATCAGTGGTTTCTCATTTAATAATGTTGGACAATTCAATTGTTTTGGTGAAGTAAACCATAAGAAAATGTTCTCAAATTAACCCATAAGGTGTGATAGGTAAGATACACTGACTTGTGGACATGCGCACACACTTGAATGACTGCCTCATGGCTGGCTGCTTATAGCTCAGTAAGGCGTTCTGTTTAGCCTATCGAGTTCATATTGGAATTCATTATTTAATACAAAACAAAAAAGACTGCTGCTTTAATACTTAAGAACTGCCCCAATAAACAATACAACCCTCTCCGAAAAGCAAACGTAGTACCGTATGTCAATTTACATGCCCCAATGAAAGCTATCATTTTCGATCTACTTAATTTGGTATGGCCACCACAAAACTTTTGAGAAGACTGACCTGCCATCTACAAGCTGGTGCCCTTAGAAACCATATGCAAAGTGTACGTAACACAGCACTCATTAGGAACATGCTAGTAGAAAATACTATACAACAATCCTGGCATCCACCACTGACTGGAGAAGACTGCAAATCCTGAAAGCTATACACATTAAAGAAAAATGACCCACCCTAAATATACAGAGCAATGACTTTGATTCCTTGCCTATGCTCAAATCTAGACTTCACCAAAGAGCACCAGATAGTGAAATCTCTAGTTTTCCCTACCCACTGCCTTAACCAACGTTACATACATACATTACATTACATATATACATACATACATACATACATACATACATATATATATATATGTATGTATATATACACATATAGTGTACATATAAGCTCAGACAACAAAATTGGATAAGAGAAAACTAGACAACATACACAAATAAAAGACAACTAACCAACAAAATCTGAAAATCATCAAATAACATGAATTTCATGGTTTAATTAAAGACTCACTGTATATATTATACAAGGCTTGACAGAGAAAAATTCTAAGGTCAGTTATAAAAGATTATATTTTATGTTGGGCCAGCCTGATTCACTCTAAAAAGAAAGAAAATAAAAGACTACAACAAAATAAAACTGAGCTTACCTGTGTGGCTTTAGAAGCTCCTGTCAGTTTATCAACTTTGGCCTGAGCAGTGGCCGCCCTCTGCTTCAAATTTTGCAGACGGCATGATGTTTCTGATGAAAATAGTTTTGAGTAACAAATACCCATATTTTAATTTTAAAACCCTAACATTGTTACCCTTATACCACAGTTAAAGTTGGAAAGTGCATACAAATAAGCTGGAGTCTTCCCCTTACCGAGATCTGGCTGTGGTGTGAGGATTGAAATGGAAGGCGTGCCTATCACCACCCACACAAAAACAATCCCTACACCTCACTTATTTACTAATTTTCTACATTATATTCAACTTCACTATCTCAATACTAAGATAAATACAGTGTATTCCCTTTTGTTCCTTAATATGTTCAAAATCGGAGTACTGTATTTTGGTATCACAAAGCATGCTAGTGTAATGGTTTTTATTGAGGTAGATAACTTTGATCTGCCGGACTGTACTGGGAGTAGGGGATTATTGAGAGGGGATTTTTTCAAAGGATGTCAAGCAATTGCCATTGACATCTACAATATCCCAATGTTCGGTGGCTAATTTATTGGGAACTACTGGCCATTAAGATGTGACATTACTAGAAATTTTAGCAGAGCCAGCATTCTTTATATTTAGTGAATGTTTTACTTCAAATGCATCTAGAGCTTAGAAATTAGACTAGTGTTCGGAGACTTCTTTGGAAACAGTGACTGTTTAGATCTGGTATCAATATGTTAGGGAGGATGGTGTGTTTGGCATGCTTTGGCGGCATTTTCAACTGATTTGCAAATACAGAATTCTACTTGATGCTGATGTTCAGAGATTGAACATAGCAACCTCATTTGCACCACCTTACATAAGTACTGAACAAATATCACACAAGGACACCTACAATTTTTGAGAGAAAAAAGTAATACAAAATTAAAACTATATGGCAGTTTCATCAGATATGTAATGTATTATGAATATGTAGAGTATTGTGATAGGTAGAATTTGATGAATATAGTTAAGATACACTAAGTACATTTTTAAGGGATCAGTATCAATGACCAAATACAGTGCAACCTCTGTCACCTCTTGGGTTGCAACACAAGCTTTGCAGATCAGATTTATTGGGTACTCACCTACTTAATTGCAAGCTTGTTCGGTCAAGTTGGCAATGTGCAGATTTATTTAGGAAGCAGAAGTAGAGTTCACTGATGTATTACATCAAAAGTTTAAAACTAATAAAATGGTCTTAAGCAAGCATTATTATCGCATATTATTATCCTGTGGAGACCAGAGATCCTACTTCAATCCCACCCATTGCCATATTTTCTTAGATAAATTACATTTTTTGTGATTTCAATGTGCATTACCAGACAAAATCTCTAACCAAAAATGTATAATGTGATGTACATCTAGTATTTGAGATTTTTTTTTTGGCTCTCGGAACAGGATTATACATCACACAAATGCATCCTTAAGGCCTTTCCAGTTGCAATGAAACTCTGGCTGCAACAAATAGGACCTGATCTCATATAGCTTGCCATACTGAGGTTGCAAAGTAACTGAAACTACAGTAATTAGAGGGCCTCAAAGGAGCTCAAAGTTAAAGCATATTATCCAGTCCAATCTATATATCCATCAAATAATAAAATAATAAATTTGTATACATTACTAGTATTTATAAATTCAAACTAATTGTGAGACGCAATTAAGTGTTGAAAATTATATACAATATCGCTATGATTTGTTTAATACTACTTGTACCAAAAATTTGGTCTACTATTTTTTGTTACTTCAGGATCTACACATGCAGTACTGTACAGTACTCTCATTTATTGTCGTGTAAAACCAAAAATAGAGCAATAATAATTGTTCGTGAATTAAATCGGTCTACCTGAACTTGTTTATTTCAATACTTGCCTTCTAAACGAGAAGTGATGGAATTGAAGACATCATCAACCACCTTTTCTAAGTGCAAGAGAACGTCCACGCAATTGTTTACTGTTAATACTCTGCTTTGGTCTGCAGGTACTAGAGGGATCTCATGTTCGTGGAAGACCATACTGATGAACTAGCACATAAAAACCTGAAGAAAATGGTTTATAAATACCTTTTCATTCCAGAAAAAAGCTTAAGCTTTATAAATGTCTTGTAGTACGAAAAGTATATTAATTTTAAAGTTGAAAAGTATAAATGCGGCCGCATCTCACGAATGACTACCCCTTTAAGTGATACAATGCCTACAGATCTGATTAATGAAAGTTATTTTATAACATGGCCCATTAGTAAAACCTTCAGTGGATAATGATGAAATGTAAGCCTTTATGAGGTTCAGTGGCAAGTACCCCCTTTTACTTTTCAGTACAAAATTTCAAGATATGTCCAACCTTCAAGATATATTGGATGGAAACAAAACAGACACAAGGTAATGTCCTACCCAACAGCAAAAATTTGGGTAGAGGCAGAAGAGCCAGCAGAAGAGACATAAGTTGATACAGTAATAAGATTTTTGTTGGGTGATGATGGGTTTGAGGTAATTTGCAGTGGTTGAACCTCATACACAGATACCATACACCAGTTAAGGATAGATTAGCGAGTAGTATAATGAGAGGAGAGCAGAGTGGGGGGGGAATATAATATCTGATTTTAGAGTATACTGATCGTTTTTAAGACTTTTTTTTTTGGCCTACTGGAGACCATGAGCCAGAACCTGGCCCCCTCAAGAGAGGTGCAGGGCGCAGTGGCACTGTAAAAACCTTTTGTGTAAAGTTATTCATGTCTGCCACCACCATGGGAAAGCACCCAGAAAGTCTGCGAAACAACACAGTATTGCATGGTTAGAAACGAGACTGCAGCCTCGAAATCACCAAACGAACTCCCCCATCAATGTAACAATTGTTGATACATTGTAGTATTGTATCAAAAATAATTCCAGAACCGAGTCAAATCTGGTTGAGGACCACAGAGCTAACACTGCAAACAAGGCATGACAGGATAGCTCTAATTAAAACCTTTCAAATGCCTGAATTTACCTGAGATTGAGGTATTTTCAGGTATTAAGAAGTGGCGGTGCCACCCCCACACCTGACCAGCCACACCTAACCAGCCATACCTGACCAGCCACACCTGACCAGCCACACCTAACCAGCCACACCTGACCAGCCACACCTAACCAGCCATACCTGACCAGCCACACCTGACCAGCCATACCTGACCAGCCACACCTAACCAGCCATACCTGACCAGCCACACCTGACCAGCCATACCTGACTAGCCACACCTACCCACCCACACCTGACCAGCCTAATGCGCTGGTCTACACTGCTCACTTATATACTATGCTATATTATACATGAATACTATGCATACCTTACACTTGAGTGGTACAATACCTGAATACAATTTACTGTAGGTGTTGCTGGGAACACAATCACTACAACTCCTACATTAAACTAACATGACATATCGATGCCTTTAGATAACATTTTCCCTGTAGATATATTACCACCGACTATAACTAGGTGAGAGAGTCTGGCATCGTCATATAGGCAGCGTGACAGTTAGCCTCGAGTGTACACACACAGCTTATTATAGCTTAACCATACTTACACGTGTTCAACACAAGTTTGTTAAGGAAACTGTAGTGAGAGTGTGTTTACTCTCCCTCCCTGAGCTCTTACCTCTCTCACGTGACCAGCACCGCCCCTCTCTCTCTTTTGCCTCTCTCTCTCTCTCTCTCTCTCACGGTCCTCATATTAGAGAGGAAATAAATTATTTAACGGTGCTTATTACAATTATTATCAGTGTTCAACACAAGGTTGGGTAATTACCTAATAAAAGTGTAGCTATGATAGAGTCCAATAGGCTCAGGAACCTATACACCTGTTGATTGACGGTTGAGAGGCGGGACCAAAGAGCCAGAGCTCAACCTCCACAAGCACAATTAAGTGAGTGCAGAAGAGGGGTTACATTGCTCTCAGACGTTTCGTACACAGTAGCCTCTGTATACAAATAACAATTTCGTTCACAGTACGTTTCGTAATTAGGAACCCTTTCGTACTCACCTAGTTGAGTTCTAGCTCTTTGGTCCCGCCTCTCAACTGTATTAGCTTTGTGTTAGCCTAATTCTGTTCTCGAGCTTATGAACATCATATAATAATTCATTGCGTCACGGGACAAGCAGCCAGTGTATATATAAATGTTAAGCTTATATCTAGCCACCACCTCCCCCCCATGCTCGAATTTACTAACCACAGCCCAGAACCCTAACAATTTATTTATTTATTATTTATTTATATACAAGACCGTACATTGGCTTGAGAAAGTATATATATATTGGGGTTTGAGTGTAACATTCTTGTAAAGCCACTAACACGCATAGCGTTTCAATAATTTTGTTAATTATTTGTTAATAGTTAATAATAATAATAATAATGTTTATTCAGGTAAAAGTACATACATGCAAAATCAGTTACAAACAGAATGATGGATTTCTAGATAGAGCTATGGCTAAAGTTCTTACTTTTTTAGTTTTAAGTTCTCAAGTAAAATTCTCAATTAGTTTTAGTTCTCAACTGTTTTAGAAACTTTTTTTAGCCATATTTTGTATGTGGTCCTGGAAACTCAGCTTATTATCAATGAGAACGCCAAGGAATTTACCATATACCCACAGAAATCACAATTGTGTTATGCATTGTGATTTCTTGTACTGGGAGGGTTGAGCTTCGGCTCTTTGGTCCCAACTCTCGACTGCCAACCAACTGGTGTACAGATTTCTGAGCCTAATGGGTTCTATTTACATTTGAATTTACCTGAATTCAACCGATGGCCACTAATACTAGTGGCTTCGACGAGGACAGAAAGCCAGCGGCTAGTCAAATGTCCCCCCCTCCCCCTCCTCATTTGCCCTGATGATCTATTCCAGTTGTATTTTAAAACCCAACAGTTTTTTGGTATTTATGGCTTCGGCGGGTAGGCGGTTCCATAAGGAGATGCTTTTTCACCCTATGGGTGAAACAGCATCTCCTGTTCTCAGTCCTACACTGTGGCTTGTTGAGTTTGAAACCGTTGTTCCTCTTAACCCTGTGACCCTCGACCGGTTCTGGTACTATGAGAAATGACTTTGCTCTAGAATGGTTTTTGTTTCCCAGTGTTGCAATTTCTCCAGAGCAGCTGCATCCTTCTGAAGATGAGGTCTCCATGCTTGGATACACTAATCCAAATGGGGGCACACCAGAGATTTATACAATTGAATGACTACCTTCTTTACCTTAAAGGTACACTTAATTATTCCTAGGGTTTGATTACCTTTTTTTACTGCCACACCCAATTGTGCAACTTTCAGTGAATGATGGATTCTGATTGTTTTGGAATTATGGATTGTTTTGTGCTCCAACTTAAGTGTGGTGTGGAATCTAGGATTAATTATAAAAAGTTTGTAAATAAAATGTCCTTTTATTATGGTCGATAAGAGGGGAAAGTTTTGGTAGCGATACTTTAGGGCTAAGGAAAAGTAGTCATAACACTGTAAATAAAATTGTACATAATATTTTAATACACTTATAGAAAAAAAGAAATATTAACACAGATTGCAGTGGTTTACTCAGTAAACATGTAATCACCAAAAGTATTGAAGACAAGGCTATAATTTTAAATCCTGTGAATAGTTCAACACCAATGAATTCATATAACTATTTATGACTTCTATATATAATTCATAACATTGCATATATGGGAAATTTTGTTCCAAGTGCAGACCAATTAAATTGTAATGGAAACATAGAAACTCATCCCCCTGTTGTAAGTTAGGGACACTTACATGACCAATTTTCATCCACATAACCATACAATGGAATGTGTAGCATACCCTCAAATGATATCCACTCTACCTGAAAGAGCAAAGGGAACCTTCATTGCTCAGAGGCCAATCAGGAATCATTGTTCCTCACTGATCTTATTCAGGTGCCTGTGAAAGGTGGAAGACGATCAACTGAACATACATACATACTGGGAACACTGCTAGACGATGTCCAACTGAATAGACAGTCTAAACTCTACTAGAAAAAACAGCCTTGCCTCACAATCAACAACCATCTTGCTGCTCCTCACTCACTGCCATGTATAGTTTCATGACAACACCACTGATGTGCAGTCAGAACTATCCTGACACTATCTCATGAATTACTATATACTGTTTACTGTTAATGTGTGCATTAATACCCTATACATATATAGTCCAACATTTGTTAGTGTTATAAAAATCAAGAGATAAAATTTTATATTTTAGAAACAAATTTGAACAAGGTTACAAAGCTGAACTGTCAACCACTATATAGCAAGTCACTGAGAATATTGTCTGTCATAAACACATCCTTTAATAAACCAAGAAAAACACATTGGCAAATTGTGACTCATGCGGTGCAAGTGTTTACATTTTAAACACTTTTTGTATTATAATCATACATTGTGGCACCTCACAAAATGTTTTTTAGTTGTGCATTATTGTACTGTATTGAATTATATATGGATTATTGCATATTTATCATGGCATTTCCCAAATGATGTTTTCATATACATTATCTAAATAATTTTTATATTATATTCTTGCTTCATAGCCCCTTACAAGACATTCTGCAACTCCTGATGTATCTCACAAAACAAAAGACAATGTTTACCGTCTTGCATCATTGATGAGCTTACAAATCATCTTTATACAGTACAGAATATGTCAGACTAGGAAGCAATGAGAGTACTTATAATAATATTCAGGTACTAGTAAGTGTTTTATTGAGGTACTGTACAAGTGAACGTGTGACTGAAAGGTCTCTGGAATGCACCAATATTTTCCTTAACAACTTGACTGAATGTTTATGCAGCACAAGTCTGTGTAGCACAAGGTTTTGCCAGAATGCAACTGTTGCACTACTTAACTCATATACAAAGAATCCTAGACAAACTCCTAACATCCCAGTACAGAACACCCACTTAAGAAAACTTCCATCAAGTATTTAAGGAAGTTAATATATATAGCATAACTTATTGATTCATGCCCATCAAACATTAAAGCAAGCTAATTTACAGCACAATTAAAATTTTCTTAACTCCAAGTATAGGCATATATTTTTTGCCACTCTGGGATATAATCAAGCAATGGTTGACATATGGTTCGTGCTAATGGCACTCTGTTTCCAACAGTGGTCAAGAAATATCGTATTCGTCTATGAGTGACTGCATAAAATGCAGGGGATCTCATAAGATAATACAAGAGGTTGATTCTCCGGTGAGCAAGTTCAGCCTTTTCAGATGCCGAAAGCAGAGTCTCGTTGTAGAGCTTCAAGCTGAGGATGAACAATAATAATTATTAGTAAATAAGAGAACATTATTGCTATAGCTTTATAAAGAAATTTCAAAATTTGAAAATGAACTTCATAAAATGTAAATTTTGTAAAATTTACAGTAATTATCCAAAGAATGCACCAAGCTAGGAAAACTACTTAGCAACTCCCGTGTCAAGGGACAATCAAAATGTCCTAAATACTACACGAGCTCGTTTATCCGAAGCCTGCTGATCCGAACATTTGGGTTATCCAGTGGAAATCCCGGTTGGATATTTTTCTGGCAAAACTTCGCCAAATCCGGATAGAAATTTGGATAACCAGAGATTTGGCCACATAGTTCAGACTGATATGAGGGTTTAAATCAAGTCCATTTAACTTTCTGCCAAACTTCACCATATCTGGACAAAAATTGACTTTTGCAGAGTGGTAGATGGTTGGAGTAAGTTAAGTGAGAAGGTGGAGGAGGCCAAAATCAACAGTAAGTAGTTTCAAAGTGTTATGTATATGACAAGTGTGCTGGGAAGATGAGAGACCTCAAGTGAAGCTCTCATCCTGTAACTACACTTAGGTAAATTACAGGCTTCCTGTCCCCAACAAAACAAATTAAAACATTGTGTGATTTACATCTTGAGGGAATTTTTTTAATTGATATTTTATTTTTTAATTATAAATAGTACAGCACTCATTTTGATACGTAATTTAAGCAGTGTTTAAAATACCTGTAATGATGTCCTAATAGGAATGCAATCGTATAAACACAAAGTTAAGAACTAAATTTTTGTGCTATTTGATTTTACATTAATATCCAGTACAGTACTATCATCAAGTCATAGCAATACTGTACTTCTAAGTTAATTAGGGAAGACATCACTTTAATGGACAGGAGCCGGTAAATATAAGTTATGAACCATACTTTTACCATTCATGTTAACCTGAGAATTTGTATAATGAAGATCTAGAAAACCAGGGTCCCACTGTATATAATGTTCTGACATGATCACTCCTACACCCTTCACTACCAGTACTCCACAATCTCTCCCCACCACACACCACTTACCATCATTACTACCACCAAGCCATCATTATCATCACATTATCTCCTTCACTAGCTCGAACACCACAGTTAATATTAGTACTCCACCATGGAAATATCACATCACTATCACCATCTTATAATTTAATGTAACTAACCTTGTTAAGTCCATTCCCAATGACAATATCCAAGGGGCCCAAGACTGTTGTCCAAAGAGATACATGCCACTTAAATGGCAAATTGGACGCAGTATATGCATAGCCTGCAACAAAGAAATTAACAATAGTACTTTATATCCATAACATGTTTAGATAAAAATTTCATTACAGTATAGCATAACAGCTGATATAATTACATATATATTCAATAAAATCTACATTTTGATCACAAAGCAAATAACTCGTCTTCTATGCCAAATATATCCTGCAATAAAGAAAATATGAAATATTCTTAAAAATACAAATCCCCGCTTCCCCCACAAGATTCCAGGAGTAAAAACTAACCTCTGCTGTCATATGCTTTACTGAGAACACTTTGGGAAGAACCGGTTCATTTTTATTATTGTTGGGAGGCTGAGGAAGAGTAAATGTCCGCAAATGGATAGGAGGGGCTGCAGCCAGTGTTCTCATGACTCGGCCAGAGCATGGCAACCGAATTACTTCTGAAAGAGAGAAATAAATATACAGTATCAACCCAGTAATCTGGACTTCAATATAGTGGATTTTCAATACAATCGGACCAAATCAGTTTGGAGTGAATGTGGTCTTTGGTTGTGTAACATCTTGAAGTGTTTCTGAGCCTGTCTGGGCTCTTCCCAGAAAAAGTAACACTTTTTTACACTGAAAAAGAACACTGTTCATCTACTGTACTGGTATAATACTGTATTTTATAGCAACTATGGCAGTCCAGAATCTTACCTGGACTTGCTGACCCATGTGTCTGATTCATGAAGCTCGCTTGTTTGGTGTTAATGACACCTCTCCTATCCAATGGTTTAATGGGAGGAGATGGAACTATGGATGTCTTGTATCTCAACAATAACAAAAAACGTCCAATACACCTGAAAGGAAACAATTCTAAGTAGATATTGCTCAATCACATTTTTGGAACCGGGAAAGACATCCCTGGTCAGATATACCCGAGGATACAAACAGGGTGATGAAGGGAGTACATTTGTACAATGATTACAGGGTGGTATAATGAGTAAATGAGGTACAATTGGTTTCCAGAGAATGCAATGCATGCAGGCTAATATAATGAGTACATGAGAATATGGTGCAGATATATGACATTAGACATAGTAGTGAAGGAGATAGTATATTTTGAGATAATGCCCAGTAAATATCCTTACCATGATACAAATTTTAGTATTTGACCAGAGAAGGCTTAATTTGTGTGTAATTAAAGAAAAATTGCATAATATACTTACTTGGCCAGCTGAATAATGGTAACTACTGCCCAACGGCCCATTTCTCCCCAGAGTTGAACAGCAGCCACCTCAACCAGCACCTCCACACACTCCATCACAGTTAGCAGCACCTGGATATTTTGATCTCGGAAGTAATTATAGTCGTGGGAAAATTGGACTACAAAAATCGAACTAAATCAATAGATAAATGTAACATACAGGAGTACTTTAATAAGTTAATTAATTCAAATTACTGACTATTCCCAGGATGCACCCCCACAATCTGACTAATTCCTGGGTACCTATTCATTGCTTGGTGAGCAGTGGCATTAGGTGATAGCAAATGTGCCCAACCAGTTGTCCTACCCGGAATTTTCGACCGAATCGAGAACAAACCAGACTGTACCCTTTACAAGAAATAACAGAACCTCAACACATAATTCCCTACCTTTAACCTGTCACCTTGCTTTGTGTTGAGTTGTGGCAGTGTTTCTTTTATTAAGAAATCATTAAACATTTCAAAAAGTCTTGATCCAGCATACACAATTTCACAGAGGAGAGTAGAATGCTTTAAACGACCTGAAAAAACAGGAACAGACATTGCAAAAATCCATTTTTGTATAGCGTACCGTTCTTTCCCAATATTAGTTCTATATAATTTCCCATAGCCACTGGTAATTAGCTTATTTGTTCTGTGTTGATGAAGTATAGTATATGCTTAGTTCCGTTAACTGCTGTAATGAGTGACCGGTTTGGTAATAATGCAATGTACGTGTTCACCAAGACTGTGTGATGTCAAATTGGTTGTTCAATATACAGTATATATGCATGGGGTAATAAGAGGAGTCAAGGTAAGAATACTAGGGAGGAGTGTAAACTTAAGTGTATAGTACAGGCATAATATGAGTAATTAGAGTACGTAACATCTGTTGTATGTGGACAATAGTTATTTTAGCACTTAAAATGAGGTTATTGTCATACAATGATCCAAAAGGGTAATGCAGTTATTACATATTGATTTTAGTTATTGCCTGGGTTTTATACAAATGCTGTAAACAAGGCTATAATACTGCACATCTATATGGATGTAATGGAGTTAACATAAAATCAAATCAAATGTTTATTCAAGTAAAAGTACATACATAGAAGATTAGTTACAAACATAATGTTGGATTTATAGATACATAGATATAGATATACACATAGATATATATAGATATTATAGATTTATAGATAGAGCTAGTACATGCAATACCTAAAGCCACTAGACCGGTAGTTCCCAATATTGTATATATAACTACACTTGTATAAAAACCAGGTGGTAACTAAAATTGATATACTGTACTGTATCCACATTACCCTGGGGATCAATGTACGACAATAACCTCACTTTATGGGTTACTGTAAAACCAAACATTTCTGGTATTTAAAAATAATTTCAGACTGAACTGTCAAATATTACTGATGCATTACAATACAGTAATAAAAGTAAAAGAATATAAGCCTACTTGATCATATAAAACTTAACCAAGTTTGCTGTGCATTTTTATAGATATCAAACCAAATGAGTCGATTTAAAATGTCAAATTTCTAAGACAAGGAACTTTACTACTCCTGCAGATATTTATATTAATTTAAAATGCCTATATGATAAAAGATTTGACACATTACTACTAGTAAAAATCCCCTGATTAAAGCATCAACACCTGATTTAGAGGGGAAAAAAAATTGATTCCAAAAGTACTTGTGTTACAGCATTAGTATTCTTTCAACCAAACATGAAAATTGTTGAATAACCTGTATTTTATATATATATATACGTAATTATATTGTAATTTGAGGTGTGACGTCACTGATATGCTGTTATCTCTTATTCCCGCATACAACAGCAACAAACTACAGTAGCAGGTGTTCTTACTACTCACAGGTGTTGTACAATGTTGCTATTGTATTATTTTCACTGTCAGGAGGAGTGACATTGCCCAATAAACTTGTCCTTCAGGGGAAAATTAATACAACCCAAATACAGGAGCTGTAAGCGCATCAGCTGCCGACGACATTCAGTGCTGTACGACACACACCTGCAACACACCTGCTAAAATATATGATCCCCACTTGACCACGGCTTCCATTTCCGAGGCTGCCATAGGGTTGGTGGTCACCCAGGTCTTATAGCGACCAAACCCGCCCCTACACTTGTCCACAGCAGCGGCGGCCATCACCCTCTTGTTTACTAAAGAACTTCAGCACCTCCCACACTCTCCACCAATAGTGTAGATATATAAATAAATAATAAATAAATAAATAAATGAATGTTTATTAAGGTACATACATATATACAAGAGGTTTTACAAAAAATTGATCGATTTATAGATAGAGCTAGTACATACAATGCCTAAAGTTACTATTACGCAAAGCGTTTCGGGCAGGAAAAACATTAATGTTTATCTCTCAGAATGTTTGGTAATATGTTTATTGTTTGTGATGTGTTTATATGTATGTATTAACACGATGTACTGAACGGGATGAGAATAGCTTGAGCTACCTCATCCCTTTGTGTATATTTTACCTCAATAAACTTATTTCAATTTCAATTCCAATTAATTACAAAATTAGGCTATTTAATATTCTGTATTTTGTAATCATTTTGGATACGCAATATGCTGAAAATAAGCTACATAATCAGTTTTTATGTCCCTGTTGATATACCATGTCAAACAGTTAAAGTTTTCTCCGGTCGGTTTCCTATGATAGTGTCGCCGACCTGAGTCACACAAATCATCATGATTAACCCATTTGTAAAGTCACTGTTAAACCTATTATTGATATATATGACTTAAACTGTCTAACTAGTTTACGAGACTGTAAATTGATCAGCCAGGTCCTCGACCATCCTCCTGTCAGCCTCCATTTAATATATTTAAAAACATATTAAAAAAGCTGTTCAACCTTCCCATTATTCAAAAGTAACACCAAAAAGTACCTAATTTCATCCGGAAGGATGAAGGGATGTCATTAATGTCATTAGACACTTGGAAGGGGGTCAGGATAAGGATTTGGGATGGCACAGGAGGGGGGGGGGAGGGAATAAATGGTGCCCAACCACTTCGACGGTCGTCGATTGAATGCCGACCTGCGTGAAGCGAAACCGTCGCTCTAACTATGCCCAAGTGATTAGACTCTTATCAGAGAAGACTTCCCTTGTTATAATAACAAGATGCAAACCATGGACCAGATTCACGAAGCAGTTACGCAGGTACTTACGAACGTGAACATCTTTCCTCAATCTTTGACGGCTTTGGTTACATTTATTAAACAGTTTACAAGCATGAAAACTCCCCAATCAACTGTTGTTATTGTTATAAACAGCCTCCTGGTGCTTCGGAGCTCATTAACTATTTAATAATTGGAAACAAAGCCGCCAAAGATTGAGAAATAACCGCTGCATTATGTAGGAATGCGGAGGAATTTCTGATGGAGGAGAAGACAGTTGCACAGCGCGATCCGCAGCGCGCGGAGCGCCGCGGGGGGCCTATATATAGCAGAGAGGAGGGGTCATGCGTTCTTTCTTGTTCCAGCCTCGCTCCGCTTCACAAGTCTTAGAAAAAATTTTTAAAATTTTCGATCGAAGAAAACCTTAGGATTTTGGTGCTTTCAGGACTTCAAGAAAATATGGAAAATACGATTGCTACCCCGATCACAGATCACACCCTGGTTGAGTTTAACTCAATGGGCCCTTCAACCTCACATGCTGAAAAGATTGGGTCGGTCTACACTACCCAATTTTCTCCAAGGTAAAGTGGTATCTTCTGTTCTAATTGTAAAGCTAGGTTCCTCCTATGTGTCGGCGTGTGCCCAGCGCTGTTCCCCACGTGGCCTGTAGACGTTCCAGCCAGGTCATGCCTAAGCAGGGCAGGTTAGGCTGCCCCAGCCATTTTTGTCCGATGAATAATACGGAATTCTTATCCACCCTTGCCCTGGCGCTAGCTTGCCAGAATTATTGTCTGCCGGTTAAGCCCGGGAATTTTATATTTATCCAGCATCATTGATGCTAGTTTGACGGCACTTTGTCGCCGGTTAAGCCAGGTTCCTTTTATGTGGCTCCTAGCTGTGGCTTGCTAGACATTCGTCTGCCGGTTAGGCCAAATAATTTTATGCAGCCCACACTGTGGCTGGGTTGCCGAACTTCTGTCGGCAGGTTGAGCCCAACAAAAAAAAAAAAAAAAAAAAAAAAAAAAAAAAAATTTTCTCTTTTTTGGGGCAAGACACGTGTTGGGGAGCCAGATTTTTTGTCTGCCGGTTAAGCCCGGAAATTCAATGCATAGTGCCAGGCATATTGACCGCGGTTCAAGCCGGCGTTTCAGCAGTTGCCCTCGCGTTGGGATGGCCAGAATTATTGTCTACTGGTTAGGAATAAAAAAATTTTAATGCAGCCTCCTTCCCCACTGGATTTTTATACTATGTCTGCCGTTTAAGCCCGGAATTTTCTATGAAGCCTCTTTCGCCGCATGTTTGTCCTTGTGCGTGTTTGCCAGACCTTGGTCTAACGGTTAAGACAAACAGGAAATTTTAAAATTTATATGTAGTTCACCTAGCTACGGGATTGCCGTCCTTGGCCTGTCGGCTATGCCCAAGATACAAAAAATTTTTATGAAGTATACTTGAGGGGGTCATAAACGACTAGTGCCGGTTCCAGCATTATAATTTATCTGCTATGGATTTCTCACTAGACAGACGAAAAGGTCCCATTATCACCACTCAGGAAATTAATTCCCAGCAATACGATTAGAAGATGTGTTTTACGCACTAGGAGGTCATTCTTTAATACTTTTTCATACATAAATTTCACTCCACGTTCATAAATAAAACTTTATTCGCAAATGTAAATTAAGGTTATTTGTCGGACAACATCCGAGGACTTCCGGTTAAGCACGGACTAAGAGGTTATTCTCTAATACATTATCATACATAATTTTCACTCCGCATTATTAATAAAACTTTATTCACAAAGGTAAAATAAAGTTAATTGTCCGACATCATCGGAGGACAACACATGATTCGAGGTAATAGATTCCCTTCATTTTGTCTGCAGTGGCCTCTGTTTTCTGGGTTGTTTTGGCCTCGATCATTACACTTATAAACCTCTATTAATACGCTACATTACAAAATCCTGTACTACTAGAACTTTTAAATCTTATAAAATGTTCGTCTCTCTACAGTCAAACAGTTGGTCACAGTTACGATTTTTCTCCTACAAGATTGGATGTATCATGTGATACTATGTTTCCCCCTATATTTTCCTCCTCGTCACTAAATAACTTATCTAGAGTATTAATTCGGTCTAAATAATTAAGCTGGTTAGATTTCCCAGTTCGTGCGATTCATCTAGGGGGGAATTCATTATTCCTTCAACAGTCCTCGTTAAATTAGGCGCGCGAGTTTCTAGTCACGTGCTAATAGGATTACAGTTAGGGTTAAGCCTTTCTTAAATTTTAAGACCTTAAGTCAAGCGGATTATCCTCTTTTAATTCTTATTAATTCCCCCCAATAGACTCATTATCCCCTTAACATAGTATTTCAACAGTTTTTTTTTTCTGTTTCCTCGTTGACGGGTGGTACACATCGGTGATTTCATGACCGGTTTATTTTAATTTGGTGCCTCCCTGTGGGTATCCACTGCAGTCGCACGTTCTACACTTATTCAGCCGCCCTCGCTATTGTTTGCTACCAAAAAATTATTCTATAGGCCGCCCGGTTGAGCCCGGAATTATTATGAAGCTGCCCTCGCTACTGTCTTGCCAGACCTATGTCTGCCGGTTGAGCCCGGAATGATTATTATTATGCAGCTGTCCTCGCTATTGGATTGCCAGACCTATGTCTGCCGGTTGAGCCCGGAATTATTATTTATGCAGCCGCCCTCGCTATTGGCTTGCCAGACCTATGCCTGCCGGTTGAGCCCGGATTTATTATGCAGCCGCCTTTGCTATTGGATTGCCAGACCTTATGTCTGCCGGTTAAGCCCGGAATTATTATTATACAGCTGCCCTCGCTATTGGACTGCCAGACCTATGTCTGCCGGTTTAAGCCCGGAATTATTAGGCAGCCGACCTCGCTATTGGATTGCCTGACCTAATGTCTGCCGGTTAAGCCCGGAATTCTTATGCAGACGCCCTCGCTAATGTATTGCCAGACCTACGTCTAGAGACGGCGATGGGGAAGAAGTCACATGTCTGCCGGTTGAACCCGGAATTTATTATGCAGTCGCCCCTCGTGATTGGATTGCCAGACCTATGTCTGCCGGTTGAGCCCGGAATTATTATTTTGACTGCCGGTGTAGCAGGAAGCCCCACCAACAACGACCCTAGAAGCTGGAGATCATTGCAACGGACTCGGTAACAAAAAATTTATAATTTGCTGCTCCGAAATTCTTACGGGACAGACGCAAGGACCATTTTCACCGCACCAGAAATGAATATCTATTATTCATCAGGTGACGACCCTCCGCCTGCTGCCGTTCCAGCTGACATGCAATCAGCAAATTCACAGGGCCGTTAAACGTACCACGCATTCGGAGAGCAACTTATTATGGAAACAGCTGCATTGGACCTTATATTTCCTATATTATTTATCCATCCACATACTTATGGAGTCAGTGCCGTCTGGACGCACGCATGTCAGACATGATTTAACTTCCTTCGGACGAGATTACGTTTTTTAATCTCCAGCTTTAAGACTACAAGCTGTGGTTTACACATTAAGTGGTTATTCTTTACTCAAATCTTATACTTATCATACGCTTAACGCTTCTTAATTAAATCCTTAATAGCAGTAGGTAAATCAATTCATTAGTCGGTCCGCATGCGGAGGACAATTTTTGATGGACTTCAATGTAATTGTCTCAGTTAATTTTATTTAGTAGGTATCTCAAGATACTCCTTCTTCAGTCCTCGGAAGCATTGGCGCGCGAGGTCATCCTGTCGCGTCCCAATAGGATTACAATTAAGGTCAAGTCTATTCTTACTCTTTAGATTCCACGCTAAACAACTTACAGGTCAAGCGGTCCACACACTTTTAATTTTTTTTTTTTTTTTTTCCCCCCTTCACTGACTTAATTCTTATTCACGGAGTTACTTATCAAATGTTTTTCTCTGTTTCTGCGAAGTAGGGAAGTTTTCTTCCTGCTTTCATGTTAGGATTATTGTATATTTTCTTTTAAGTGATTCCCTTCGGGTAATTCTGTAGTCGCATGTTTTTCCCTACTTAGGAATTATCGACCAGTCACAGGCGGGAAAAATTTTATTGTCGGTCGCTGGGTTTCACGTTACAAATTTAATCATGTCTCTCTAAGGCACTTAATTTCTTACTAATTTTACTCTTAACATATTCATTAACTTATTTTCCGTTACATATTTATATACAGTAATTATTTAAGGATTTGGACATTTCGCTATTTGTCTACTAATTATGTTACATGGATTATATTATTATCCCTGTTTTCATCTGAGGTAATTAGGTATTCTGGTCTGGTAATCTTAAACCTTTTTTTTGTTTGTTGATGGTACTTCCCTCCTCCTGTATCGCTGTGGTACTCGAGGCTTTCCAAGTTTGTAAATACTACGCGATGCTACGTATTCTCTCAGCCCAATCAATCTTACCTTTTACTTAATAACTTTTTTCGCATTAGTTAATTAATCACGCTGCTTATTTCTCACAGTTTGGGATGTGTTCTTATTGGATTAGTTACTACTGTTTAACGATAAACCTTATTCATTGATGCCTTCCTTTTTTGTCACACCTTGGCCTCCATACCGTAATTAAATACTGTTCACAATTCTGCCTTCCTTATAATTATTCGGTCACTGGGTTTTTTTTTTTCCAGAACATATTTAAAAACTATAATTTTGAAGGTTTTTTCTAAGTCTATTTTGTTTTTATAATTATTTCTATACATTAGATATTGGGAATTACTATTATTGACATTAAAATGTACTTAATTGTTGTTAAAGATTCGCTGCCTGGAACGGGGGGTTACGGGCCATGGGGAGCCCGTAGATGAAAAATACTTAGTTATGTTAATGCCTTTTAATATTCATTAATCCGCTTACTTGGAACAGTCTGGGACGCTTATCCTATCATTTATTAATTTGTTCTACTATCCACAGAATGTTGGGGGTAGTCTTTATGGTATTCTTATACAGCCCATTTGCGGTTAGATTAGTCATTAGTACCATTAGTAGATTAGTATGGTTGTTGGTTGGTCGTTAAGGTTTAAGTCACCCAAGGGGTGGCACGGGCATGCTTCGCCGAAAAATTTGTATGACATTATACAGCACACTTTATTCTGACTAACGACCAGATAAAACATTGACGTAATATCAAGCTTGATGTGGTGCAACCCCCCCCCCCCCCGTTGCATTTTGGGGGTATGGGTTGTTCTTACATATTCATGCATTATTCGCGATATATTACACGTTCATGCGTATTTAATGACGTACTATAGTACATGTCTTCCCATGCTTGGAACATTGGAAGGTCCCATACTCCACTACGTTCGTGGTAATTGGTCTACAATTTTACCAACCATGTTATCGAACCAGTATTTACCCAAGTTTTTTTTTCTCATTTACTACGCTGTACACGTTCAAGGGAATTTATTTACGTCTATAGTATGACGCAAAATACAGTTCTGCTTATTCTAACTAAGGCACAAATTTCATTGCAGGATTAACGGAAGAACAACTCCAGGCGTCAAGTTACTAATCCTTTATTAATATTGCCCAGTGTCCTATTCGCCTCAATTAAGACCGAGCATGCATTGCTCCTTGGGTTTTAACCATCTTACTAATTGCAATTCCAAGTTCCCTTTCTTCGCAGAATTCCCTCAGTCCACAGAATCATCGCGGAGGGGTCAACACACACCCCTCGGGACGAGCAGAGCGGCGTGGAACGGCCTGCTCCCACCTGACGCAATCTGATTCAGCGGTCCGCTGCCCATCCATCCTACGAATTTGTTTTTTCCCTAGGTTCATGCTTCAGTACCCTGCCTAACATCGGGCTTACCATTAATATGTAATAATAGGCATTTACCCACAACTTGCGTTAGTCGCAATCTGCCTTACCCGTGGTCTCCTAGACTGGGGAGTGTTACCCGTCTGTCATCACTTAAATTATCCCTAGAGTGTTCTTTTCCCAATATCTGTTCAAGATCAATTCGGCGTTGCAGTCTACGTCCCCGGTGCTGTCGGTTCAAGGTAGCCCACACACTTCTTTACTTCAGTTCCTGCCGCCAAGGGTGAGCATGATAGCACGCCCTTAGTCCTCTCCCAGAAAGACGGCATCCATTGGACCTGTGGAGTTGACTATACTCTATCCGGTATTATTACTCTAGCCTTAATCATAATAGAAGTACACACTTTTTCACTTCCATACGTTGTTTTCAGATAACCCGCCAACAGTGGCCTTCAGGTGAAGGTCGGTCCCACAACTGTGATATTTACCATTTTGTGATTAACTGCCACATCCGTGCTTCATTTCTTTACGTTATTACTATTTAACACACTTTGCGTGTTCCGTCAGTGTATATGGTCCGTACAACGTTGTCTTCAGCTTGGAGCAAGGAGCCCTGTTCGTTCGGGTTTCGGAGCGTTTAATTACCGCCAAAGATTGAGAAAAGATGTATAGGTTTGTAAGTGTTTGCGTAACTGCTTCGTGAATCTGGCCCCATACCCCCTTACAGTTGAAATCTATTTTATTTATATACAAGAAGGTACACTGGGTTGTGAGAGTAAATGACCTTTGTTTAGAGGTACATTGTAGCAAATTTTGAGTTCAACATAACTACAATATAAATTGACGGAAATAATTACAATGGTGAAGTTGCATGTCTTAAGTATAAGAAGCCTTGAAAAGAGATCTACAAAGCATTATCCATGTAGATCTCTGATCTGTTTAATAATAATGTAGATCTCTGAGCTACATGAGTAATGGTTCAACTGTATAAATATTTGATGCGCTCCCATGAGGTGTCTCTATGCTTGTATCCAAGCATGGAGACCTCATTTTCAGAAGGACATAGCTGCTCTGGAGAAGGTGCAATACTGGGCAACAAAAGTCATTCCAGAGCTAAGGTATCTCTCGCATCAGGAACGTTTGAAGGCCACAGAGCCTAACAACACTGCAAACCAGGCAAGCCAGGGCGGATCTCATTGAAACTTTTAAAATAAATAAACAAGTTAGAGGATGTTGATCCGGATATTTTCTTTAGAAGGTCAGATGTAACACAAACAAGGAGCAACAGTTTCAAGCTCAACAAGCCACAATGTAAGACTGAGAACAGGAGATGCTTTTTCACCCACAGGGTTATTAACCCATGGAACTACTTACCAGCCGAAGCCGTAATTGCCAAAACTGTGCTGAATTTCAAAATATACCTGGAAAAGATAATCAAGGCAAATGGGGGGGAGGGGGACCTTCAACAAGCCGCAGGCTTCCTGTCTTCGTCAAGACCATTATAGGGTTAGTGGCCCCTCAGGTAAATCAGATAAAAGCCATGGAACCGCCTACCCGTTGAATCCGTAATTGTCTAAACTCTGTTCGGTTTTAAAATCAAGCTGGGAAAATAATCAGGGCAAATGCGAGGACTTTTGACAAGCCACCGGCTTCCTGTCCTCGTCGTAGCCACTAGAATGTTGGTGGCCGTCAGGTAAATTCAGGTAAATTCAGGAAATATTAAATTTATTCAATTATTTCACTAGCTGCATTAAATTTTGTTTCGCGAGATTCTCGCAAGACAAAACATAAATTTAAGTTAACAAATTTCACCTCAATTTTCCTAAAGAAAAATAGGTAAATGTTAGTTTTATCAATGAGGGAAAAGCAGTAACAATGAAGAAGAGTGCCGCAGGCCGCCCCTCTTCTGAGGTGGACCTCATACATGCCCTTGTCTATTTCTCCATATCCGTTGTTTATTAAAAAACTCCGATGATATTAATTTAATAGAATCAGTGTACTTTTATACGCTTATCATTATTTTTGCTATACCTATTTAGTAAATGTCTTTATATGATGATAATATGGATAGGAGTATTAAATATCGGCATTGAGGTTATTTAAAGCAAGGGTTGTGTGCATGTGTCAGCTGCTGCCATCTGTCGAGCTGACGTGGCGTGAGGCGAGATGACTGAGTGTAAACATTCCTGAACTAACGCCGATATTTCAGCCATACAGGACAAAATGATATCGTGGAGGACTTTAATATTCACCTGCAACTTACTGTTCGTGGTGGTAGGGGACGAGCACACACACACGGTAAGGCAGTAGTGGAGGAGCAGACATAATAGTGAGGTGACCGCTGGTGAGGCGAGGCTAAGGACCTGCCACCTCCATACCGGTGATCTCTCTTATATACTCCCAAACTACAGGTCATACCTCAAGTTATCCTGCCTTGGGAACATCACTAGTTAATCCTAGATAGTTGACATGTAAGAGAATTTGCTGTTATTAATATTTGAGGCCCCATTTTGGGAGAGAGGCAGATTACTATAGTGTAGAGAGATAACCCGGTTTACCAACTTCCTCCAGCCTTAAGGAACGTATCTAGTACGCACTTGTGGCTTCTGTAGGTTTCCATTGCCTCTGAATGGCAAAAATAAATAGGTAAATAAATAGACATATCCACTTCAAAAATCAAAATGAGGAATATTAGAAAGAGGACTGTAGATTGTTACAGGAAGACCTTAACAATCTCCAAGAGTGGGCAAACGGATGGTTGCTGGAGCCCCAGTAAGTGTAAGGCAATTTTTATTGTTATTTATACATATATAAAAAGAGTTCTCGTATTCTTGTACAACCACCAGAACGCATAGCATTTCGGGCAGATCCTTAATACTAATATTCCCCGGAATATGACCCGCCAAATCGTTTAACAACCAGGTAACTATTTTACTGTTGGGTAAAGAGAGGCTACAGTTAAGGATTGGCGCCCAGTAAATCCTCCCCGACCAGTATACGAACCCAGGCCAAAGCACTCGCGAAACACCACGGGGGGACTGCTAATGAATGAATGACTGTAATGAAGACCAGCAGGTGTCTACATAAATTGAAGGCAACTACAGGGATCGGAGAGATTTGGGAGTGGATATAATTCCAACATAAACACCTGAGGTACACATAGGCAGGGTGACATTGGCTGCATATGTGATGCTGGTGAAGATTAGAATGTCATTTAGAAACCTTAAGTCTGGATTTTTTCAAAGTAATCTACACTGCATTTGTTAGATCAATATTGGCAAGATGTCCTGCCCATTCCTCCTCCTTGTGGTATCTGGTCGCTTTTGGCCGGCACATGTCTAAATTGGGGAAGCCGACTTGATTCCCAAATTGCCGAGCTACCATTTAGTGGCAGGCAAGTGTTACTAACCAGTAGTTGGATCTGGACAACAAGTGTCCATAGTTTATCGGTTACTAATATTTTCCATGCAGTTGTTTGTTTTGGGATGATCTACCGTTCTGGTGGATTTTACTTTTAGAAAAAACACCAGAACGCAGGTCTTGTATCCCCAGGGTCCCCTGCCTTTATTAGGGAGATCAGATTTTAATACCTGTACTGATCCCTCTTAGGGGGTGCTTTATGCTCGGAGCTATCCAAGCATGCAGTTTTGGGAAGCTACCAAAGCAGCCCACCAAAAAGATATTTCATTACATATAAAGTTGGAATTTTTTTATTGGCCTACATTTAGGAGAGTAATAAAGTACAGTACTGTAATTGAAATCTGTTTTTATTTTGTAATAAATGACTCCAAGTTCTTGTAATGCTGTTCTGTAAGACATTCGTTGTTTGTTTTTCAGTATAAGGACTTGGAAGAGGTAGTACTATGGATGAACACAGTAGGTCCCTACCACAACCGACAAGAAACCTACTCCTATTTCTCTCTGCCATTCTGTGTTGGTCCCAAAGAGAAGATATCCCATTATCATGAAACCCTAGGTGAAGCTCTGCAAGGGGTTGAGCTTGAATTTTCTGGACTTGACATAGACTTCAAAAGTGAGTGTACTGTATTACTGTATAAACCTAAAGTGTACTGTGTACAGTATTAACCTATATTTTTTACGGTGCATATTTTTGCCTATAGCAGTTTTTATGTTGCATATTATTGTGATGTGTTTACTTTCAGTAATTTTATGTAATTTGAAGACTGTACTGCACTTTATTAAGAGAGAACAGTAAAGATCTTGTCATTAGACAGTTAAACTTGTGCATGGTATTGTAAAGTTTGCCCTAAACCCAATCACTTACTATATCTTCTTCAAGAAAATTGTTTGAGAGACCTGTTTTAAGAGGCAAAGTATGAGAGATAATATTACTGAATTGTATAAAGTGATGGCAAATATTTTAAGGATTTAAATAGTCGTGATGATGATAAAACAAAGCAAAGCTTGTAACAAAAGTGTAAGATAGAGCAAATTTCAATCTAGCAAGAATATCGCTCTATTGCATTAAGTGGTTAACGTCTTGAAAGTGAAATTAAGCTGTGTATCTGAAGACATGAATGGTGTCATTTAGTCTGGAAGAGCAAGCTCGGACAGTAGTGTTAATTGGAAAGCACGAGGATAAAAATAATGAAAATTCAGAGGAAATTTTGATTCAGAGTACTGTATATTAAAGGTGGAAATGCAGTCATTAACAGCTGTTGTATGAATTTTGCCATTATGAAAGGACTCGTCCAGATGATTAATATTTAACTCAAGATAATCTTTCCTTGGGCAATAACTGAGGTCAATTAAACCTTTACTAATATGTAAAATGATGAAAATTACAAAAAGCATAATGGTTAGAATAATTCAGACAAATGTATTTTAATAAATTAAAGAAAATATGTTGCTTATTTTATGAGGGAGCCGGTCGGCCGAGCGGACAGCACGCGGGACTTGTGATCCTGTGGTCCTGGGTTCGATCCCAGGCGCCGGCGAGAAACAATGGGCAGAGTTTCTTTCACCCTATGCCTCTGTTACCTAGCAGTAAAATAGGTACCTGGGAGTTAGTCAGCTGTCACGGGCTGCTTCCTGGGGGTGGAGGCCTGGTAGAGGACCGGGCCGCCGGGACACTAAAAGCCCCGAAATCATCTCGAGATAACCTCAAGATGAGGAGTAGCAGTCATAGCTTTCAGAGTTGTGTCAGTACAGTTGTATTTAGAATTATTATTAGGTATTCAGATATCAAGTTCTATTTTAAAAGTTGATTTAGGTTATAAAACATTTCATATTCTACATTTCAGCCGATGTTTCAAAGACTCCGTACTGTGAAGTAGAGTTGAATGAGGTTCGGTTAAAAACATTTGTATATGCAGTGAAGAACCACTACTGGTATCAGATGTACATTGATGATCTTCCTATTTGGGGTATGTGCTTTAATTTTGTGTAGCTTTGTTGACCTTTGTATAATATTGTTATATAGCATGGTTTTTTTTCCATGATGCAGTGTTCCTTTGGTGACAACTAACATATCGTACAGTAATATAAATTACCCTATAAATTATTTCATCTCTCACTCTCTCTGTCTCTTTCTTTCTTTCTTTCTTCATCAAGGCCCATTATCGCCTATTCCTCATTAATAATGTTGCATTTATTCACATTGTGTGTATAATTGTTTAATTCTGAGGGGGTTGACATGTTTTAGCATCATCAGAATACTAAAAAAAAAAAGCTTTTCTTGTTCGTTTGTCTTCTTCCGTATATTATATATAAAATGATCTTGAGCTTTTATTGTTGGCAATAAATAGGTAAAACAAAAATAAAGTTTTGATGCACCAAAATTGTTGATGGTGAGGGTCAGGTATAGCTTGCCCCGCAGGATATGTTCCATCAAGGTTGTACTATAATTAAACTAGAGCTTAACCACTGTACTGTGCAGAGCGCCCTAATGTACTTGGAGACCTTTTTTTTTTCTATATTTTAATGTTTTTTAATGTTTTCATCACTCTTTGTGTTTCGAAATGAAAATGGTTGAGTTTAGAAACATTTTGACATTAACTATATCTGAACATTTATAAAAACAACAAAAATCTGTCTTTAACAATTGCACTATGAAGATTTTGCCAAAACCAGGTGCGCAGTGCGGTGGTTAATGGGAATAAGGTTCACCAGATAGCTGGTCTGAGCATTTCATTTAAATTTGGGGTTTCTGTTGTTTCATACTTGACGTCTGTAGTTGCATATAGTTCTGGGGACTATATGCAACTATAGTTCAGTTGCATATAGTCCTGGGGACCATTCAGACTTGTTCGCATGACCTCTGTAGTATATAGTATGTTTTGGTTCTCTTGCATGTTTTTTGTATTCAACTTCACCTAATTTACTTTTAAACTTTTGCTACTAAGCTCTTTGGCCTAATTTGACATTATATTACCAGTGCCGTCTTAATTTCAGGTATCGTTGGGGAAATTGACGAGGCCAATGACATATTCTACATTTGGACTCACAAGAAATTTGACCTTGGTTACAATGGAAATCAAATTGTGGATGTTAACCTTACCTCTGAAGCAAGGCAGAAACTTGAGCTGGGAGCAAAAATCAAATTTACATATGAGGCCAACTGGAAAAAGTCCAGTATCAAATTTGAGGATAGGTTTGACAAATATTTAGACCCAAACTTCTTTCAGCACCGGGTAAGTCCTCGTGAAACCTACTTTGTAATACAAGCTACTTTAAAACTTGTATAACTTTCCTATAAGACTTGGGCAAGTCTCCTGCTAAACTTGGGCAAGTCTCCTGCTAAACTTGGGCAAGTCTCCTGCTAAACTTGGTCCTGGTTTTGTTGCTGTTGACTTCCCTTTCACAGTAAAGTACATATTTAATGCTCTTAACCATTTTAACAAACGTGATCCGACTTGAGCCTACCTCGTTTTAGTGTCCCGTTTTCTTTTTCTTACCCTCTTATACAGTGGTACCTCGGAATGCGATTGTCCCTGTATGCGAGGTTTTCGGAAGGCGAGGTGTATTTACTCCAAAAATTTGTCTCGGAAGGCGATGGTTACTTCGGGAGGCGAGTTTGGACGCGAGTTTGTTGATACGCGTACAGCCGACCTAGCGCGTGGTGGTTCGGCGATCGTCGCCCCTCCGCCCCGCCGCCCCTCAGTTTATTATTGTCTCGCGCTCAGTGACTACCCCCACATCAATTCTTCTCGCGGATTTTCAGTGTTTTGTTGGATTTTTGGTGATTTGTCTATACAATTTGTTATTATATATCTCACCATGGGTCCCAAGAAAGCCAGTGGTAAGGATAAAGGCCAGAAAGCTCATGTGAGGATGACAATAGAGGAGAAACAAGAGATCATTCGGAAGCATGAGAACGGTACACGTGTTGTTGAACTTTGTAGGCAGTACAGTACAACAAAGCCACATCAACAATATGCACTATACTTAAGAAGAAAAATAAGATTATGGGTGCTAAAGTGGCAAAAGGAGTAAGAACATTAACGGCACAAAGACCACAAATACTTGAAGAAGTGGAAAAGTTGTTATTAATTTGGATACACGACAAGGAGTTGAGGGGTGATAGTGTTTCGGAGGCCATTATTTGTGAGAAAGCCAGGGTGTTACACGAAGACCTTCTAAAGAATACCCCTGCAACGAGTGATGCAGATAAGAAAGAGTTTAAGGCAAGCAGGGGCTGGTTTGAAAAATTTAGAAAGAGAAGTGGTATCCATAGTGTTACAAGGCATGGGGTTATGTGATGTGATTATGGAAGGGGACTCCCCTTCCATGTACTTATCTCGTCCAAATCTGTTCTTTCCTCGTCCAATTCTTTCTTCATCCCATTTGTACCTTTCATCCTATTCTTACCTTTCACCTTACTGTTACCTCCTTCTCCTACCTGCTCCTCGCCTCACTCTTTTTGAGGTTTGAAGATTGAAAGATTGACAAACAAATGAAAGATTGAGGTCCGACAGGTCGGGGAGAAGTATTATGTTTTCATCTTTTTTCCTGGCTGAGGCCTCCCCATTAAAGTGAGACATGGGGTAATGATAGTGTATGTATGTCTCGTGACACAATTTATGAGGTATATTAATGATCCTTTGGTTTATGTTTCAGATCCATTGGTTTAGTATCTTCAACTCATTCATGATGGTGATTTTCCTTGTGGGTTTAGTGTCCATGATTTTAATGAGAACCCTGCGCAAGGATTATGCACGTTATTCTAAAGATGAAGAAATGGATGACATGGTCAGTACCACTGTTTTTGCAAGCTTAAAATAGATATTTAAATTACATATAATTGGACATTATTAGCAAGGAATCTTTTTATATATAAAATGGAACGCTGAATTACCTCTTGGCTTAGTTGGGTATTTTGAATTATTTCAGTAAATATTAGTTTTATGTATTGTATTAAAGTACTGTACACAGAATGATGTTATGCTGATAAGTCTGAATAAATATTCAGTTGTTGAGAAATGTCACTGACTGCCTTTAATAAGATTATGGCAATTTTTTGTTTATATTGCATAGGTATAGTAGATGTACTTTACAGGAACGTGATCTGGGAGATGAATACGGATGGAAGCAAGTTCATGGCGATGTGTTTCGACCTCCATCCCAACCAATGCTGTTTTCTGCACTGATTGGGTCTGGCTACCAGATGCTCACTGTCACCTTCCTCGTCATTCTCTTAGCAATTGTTGGAGAATTGTACACAGAGTAAGTGTACTGGTTGATTGCAGTAACTTGAAGAATTGCAACTATTACACAACATTCAATATTGATGATGACTACATTCCCTTAATAACATTCATAATGATAACCACATTTGTACCATGAAATGGAAGGAGGATTTTTGTTCATGGGTCAAGGTAAACTCCATTACATCTACATAGATTCTTATATCGTCATTTGCATCATACATGTAAAACTCGGACAATAAAGCTTCATATGAAGATTGAAGAATAAATCTTCATATTTAGTTATGGGCCTGACAGCTGAGTGGACAGCACTTCAGATTTGTAGTCCTGAGATTCCGGGTTCGATCCCCGGTGGAGGCGGAAGCAAATGGGCAGTTTCTTTCACCCTGATAACCCTGTTACCTAGCAGTAAATAGGTAACTGGGAGTTACAGCTGCTACGGGCTGCTTCCTGGGGGTGTGTAACAAAAAGGAAGCCTGGTTGAGGACCGGGCCGTGGGCGATGCTAAGTCCTGAAATCATCTCGAGATTAACCTCAAGATATGGTGATAGCCACTTTACCTTGTACAATTGACGATGATCACAGCCTAAAGATTAAAGGCCGTAATTGTTCACCTCTAGGCTAGGACATAATTAATTTCATTATGCAGTTGATAACTCTCAACATTACATTTTTTGTGTGTTTGTATGTGAAATGGTGAGTGTAATAGGTTGCTCAGTATGGAATAGTGCCGACATTAGAGGGATCAGTTAGGTTATCAACCTACTGACTCAGTTGGTCTGTAGGCTTCAGGCAGCATCGGCCACTGGGATATTGCCCGTTGGCCTAATCCGCTCCTGCATGAGTCAGACTTTCAAATATTCTGGTGCCCAACTGAACATGAGTAGTATTTATTTGATTAGGGTTGGCTTAAAATTACTTGTCAAATATAGCAGTTACAGTACAAACAGTGAATTGAGCTATTAAGTCAAGTTTCTTGAAGGAATAAGATAAAAATAAGGGAGTAGGTTTACATAACTAACTTAAAAATTACTTGATATTCATCAGGCGTGGATCAATGGTGAGCATCGCGATCTTCATTTATGCTGCCACTTCACCTGTCAATGGTTACTTTGGAGGTTCTTTGTATGCAAGAATGGGAGGCAAGTATTGTATTTTTGTTCTCTGATAGTCTTGTCATTTATTTCAAGCCAAAAACAAATAAGGCACAGCACAATGTGTGCCAGGTAAAGTCTAAGACTTAAATTTGAAAATTTTCCCACCTTACTGTCTTTGTTATGCAGATATTGTCACTTATATTTATTCTTTGCTTGGCTGCCAGCATCAAAATTACATATTTCCAGGAAAGGTTTGGATTCGACAAATGATGTTATCTGCATTACTTCTACCTACGCTGGTTTGCGGCACAGCATTCTTCATCAATTTCATAGCAATTTATTACCATGCTTCCAGAGCTATTGCCTTCACTATCATGGTAAGAGTTTTAATAAGTATTTCTCCTCTTTATGCTTGTCATATTAATGTAACTAGAGGCTATTCATTAGAAATAGCAGCTCTTGCAAACTAGTGCCCTAGTGGCTTTCGGTCTCCCATCCGTGTTTGTCGGTAGGTGGCGGTGTTTAGCTGCTGCTGAACTGATTTGATGATGTTTGGTACATTATTTTGAAATGTGCTATGCATGTCATTATTTTATTGATGACCAGTCTGAACATAAGAACATAAGAACAAAGGTAACTGCAGAGGGCCTATTGACCCATACGAGGCAGCTCCTAATTATTTTTCTGTAATACATTTTTAAGTAGTAATGTAAATGTTTTTTCTTTTGTCCTCAGCTAGCTGTGATCTGTATCTGCACGTTTGTGATTTTGCCCCTTACATTGGTTGGAACAGTATTAGGACGAAACCTGGCGGGACAGCCCAACTACCCATGTCGCATCAATGCTGTTCCACGACCTATTCCTGAAAAGAAGTGGTTCATGGAGCCCCTTGTCATCATCCCTCTTGGTGGGATTCTTCCTTTTGGCTCCATTTTTATTGAAATGTAGGTATAATAATGCATTATTTGTTGAAGTTGTTTTGGGTGGGTCCTCTTTGTCCCCTTCAGTATTACCCTGAGCTATCACAAGAGCAGCCAAGCATTAGGAAATCGCACCGGGCCTCTGAGACCCACTTGATCTTACTGGAAGCCAGAACCAGATTAACGTGCTCCAGGTATACATGACTTAGACCTTGTGATGGCATAGTGGGTAGGGAACAGGCTAGAAGAATGTCAAGATAGGAGTGTTTATATGCTTTTGTGTAGTGGTCACCCCTAGGAAGTACATTTCTGAAGAGGAAATGAATATATTAGAGATGGTGTGGTAGTTGATGCAAACGACCAAAATCAATTTATAATTTATATTGCCATTTTTTCCTTTTTCAATTGTTTTATTTTTAATATATTACTTATACTTTCCTCAGGTATTTCATCTTTACCTCTTTTTGGGCATACAAGATCTACTACGTGTATGGCTTCATGTTGCTGGTGTTCCTGATCCTGTTAGTGGTTGTGATGTGTGTGACCATTGTGTGTGCATATTTCTTACTAAATGCTGAGGACTACAGATGGCAGTGGACTAGTTTCCTAGCTGCAGCTTCCACCTCTGTTTATGTCTATGTTTATGCCACGTACTACTTTTTCTTCAAAACTAAGTAAGTATCTGTTATATTTGTTGTAAACAATAAATTCAGGTTTCTCCTCGCATTACAAGTAGTTTTGCAGGAAGAGCAATTATTGAAATGGCATAATGTTTTAGGTAAAAGTATGATATTATTGTTAGTGGGGAAAAGGCTTGGTGGTGGAAGAATATAAAGGCATAAGTCATGTTACGTAATGTAGCATTGGCAAACTTTGGATGTTGGTAGCTGCACCATTCATTTGGGACAAAATATCTTCCATTACTTATGCAGATTGTAGTAAATTAAGTACAGTACTGTAATTGCTTTCCCCTGCCTCCGACGGCCTTCACCCGGCTGTAGCACTACCAAATGTTGATGCCAAGTTGGTCCCAGGTTATTCTGCAGTTGCTTAAGTAGTTGTGCTGGAGCCTGAACTTTGCCTTCATAGTGTATCCTCTGGGCAAGATTTAGTTTTGGCCATTGTTCTGATTTCTCCTGCTTGATACCTGCTTGATGGGGTTCTGGGAGTTCTTCTACTCCCCAAGCCTGCCCAAGGCCAGGTTTGACTTGTGAGAACTTGGTCTTTCAGGCTGTTGCTTGGAGCGGCCTGCAGACCCACATACCCACCACAGCCCGGTTGGTCCAGCACTTTTTTTTTTTAGAAAACAATCTAGTTTTCTCTTGATGTCCACGGTTGTTCCGGCAATATTTCTTATAGTCGCTGGGAGGACGTTGAACAACTGCGGACCTCTGATGTTTATACAGTGTTCTCTGATTGTGCCTATGGCACCTCCTCTTCACTGGTTCTATTCTACATTTCTACATTTTTCTCTTCCAAATCGTTTACTCCAGTATGTTGTTATTTTACTGTGTAGATTTAGGACCTGACCCTCCAGTATTTTCCATGTGTATATTATTTATTCCTGGGGAGCCCCTTTTGCTGCTGCAGCAATCATTAGATGTGGACCCCATTTGGCCCTGCTCCAGCTGCTGCATCACTGGCTTCCTCTTCAGGCTTGTCGGGGTTCAGTTTCTTGCCGCCTTCCTCTTCCCTCACTCAGTCTTCATGGCTGCCTTGGCTCTAGGCTGGGGTTTAGGAACATGCTCACCAAAGCTGTGCAGGGTTGTGGGTGTCCTCTCCTTCATTAGGTTCACAGTATGGTTCAGGAGTTTGTGGTTGTGTAGTGCAAAGGTGTTCAGATTCCTCTGGGCTCTATGTTCCAGCTCCATTCAGACTTCTTTCATGGTTCACTGTCTCAGCTGGGGGTTTGCTTCGATCGCTGTCTCTTTGGAGCTGGTCCTTTGGTTATTGAATGCTTGTTTGCTTCGACTGGGGATGCATCATGTGCTGTGGCTGGCGGCAGCTCTCTGCTGCTACCTTCATGTCACTGGTTTTGCCTCGGTGGATGCCTTGTGGGTTGATCCAATTACCTTAGCCCCCTTCTCCAAGGCTCGTCTGTAGTGTCTTGCCAGCTTGTGGTCTAACTTTGTGTTCATGTGGACCTGACGGCTGAGTGGTCAGTGCTTGGGATTCATAATCCTAAGGTTCTGGGTTCAATCCCCGGTGGAGGCAGGAACAAATGGGCAGTTTCTTCCACCCTGATGCTAATGTTCACCTAGCAGTAAATAGGTACCTAGGAGTTAGACAGCTGCTACGAGCTGCTTCCTAGGGATGTGTAACAAAAAGGAGGCCTGGTCGAGGACCGGGCCATGGGGAAGCTAAGCCCCGAAATGGTCTCAAGATATCCTCTTGATGTTAGGAAGTATACCGCTCTCCTGGCAGTGTTCACGAATATGTCCTGGGGTGATATTTGGGCACGGGGGTTTTGGAAGTCACAGGGTGCTAGCACCCCGGCATGTTGTCAATTGCTTTGGCTGGCAATTCAAACAAAATCCTCATAGAATGAATTGGCCTTGCTCCATGTAGTTCGTTCAGATGGGGACACTGTACTATATTGAAGTGTGCATGTTAAAAAAGTTAAAAATCTAATTGGTAAAAATCACATAAGGTGATTGGAGCAATGCAAGGGTCGAAGGTTAGCGATGCAAAGTTTATTCAAAGTTCTGGAATACAGTTGACAATTCCTGTCCTTGTTCTGAACTTTATAATATTGTTCCAGCAGCAAAATCTTTTAACTTTTAGGTTTAGGTTTCAGTTATATTCAGGTCGCATAAATTTTCAAGGTTACTTTGTACTTAAAAATAGACAAAGTTTTTTTTATTATTTGGCCTCTGCAATATTTTATTTTATATTTCAGGATGTATGGGTTTTTCCAGACAAGCTTCTACTTTGGTTATATGGCTCTCTTCAGTGCGACTCTGGGCATCATGTGTGGCACTATTGGCTATGTTGGCACCAGCAAGTTTGTCCGTAAAATTTACTCTACTGTCAAGATTGATTAAATGTCTTGTTATATATTGGTATTGTTTAAGGACAAATCATATTGACAGATTACCAAAATCTCCATATAAACCGGTAAAAAAAATGTACTTGGGCCAAAAGTAAAAGTAGGTTAAAACAGTATCAACACACGAGTGCCAGTGTGGTGCACTGGACAAGTTAATGAAGGTTTATCTTGGTGTTCTAGACTCGGTACTAAATGAATAAGCTAGACAGCTACATTTAAACGTTTGTCAACCTGTGATAAAACAAAGCTTTTTATGATTTTTGGGGGGCTTTTATTGCTATACCAAGCAATGTTTTTAAAATACAGTATTGTACATATCATTATTGCTACAGCGTTTGACGAGTTTGATTTTTACTATCGTTATGATTTTCAATCGACATTTTTTATTAATATTTTTTATTGCCTTCAGTATCAGTATAGTTTTTCTTCCTTTACTAGGCTCCTTTTGGCTTTATATATTCTTATAGATTTAGTAATAACAGAAGTAGCACATCTTCAATTAGTATGAAACTAATTGTGTGCTACAATGCCTAATCTGTGAATAATAGTCTGTTGGGAGTTAAGATCTTAGTAAAGCAAAAGTGAAGGAAGTGTTTGGGCAGTGTGTCATTGTTCATTTTCCACGGTGAAAGAGAGAACATTGAAGGTCAGTGATGATATGTGACTAAAATTGTAAATATATTTGGAGTTAGATTGTCATTTCTTTATATTTTGTAATTGTTCTGCCTCGGATTACACTGTGCTCTACATCACAGCCATAAATTATTGTACTTACTTAATCCTAGGATGTGGAAAGCAGTGTTCATGTGATCCATAACTGCAGTATTTTATGCAAAGGGTTTGATAATTATCATAACGTTTGTTTAAACTTGGTTATGTGCTGGTATCCAGTAATTTGTATTTTTTTTTTTTTTTGTAGACTGAGTTTTTCACACACAAGATGTCTGTGCAGATTTAAGCCAAAGGAATATTATTATGCTGTACATTCATTATCTATCATCATCATTTTCTACTATAAAACAGTTACTTGAGTGATTAATTGTATTTCAAATGACTAAAATATCAGGATGTATCACATTCAAGAAAGCCAAAATGAGGTACAGGTATCTTTAGGTACAAAATGAGGTACCTTTAAATTAGCTATACATTAACCAGAACTGTCTCAGAAGTGAGAGGTAAAAACTTGTTTATATTAAACATAGAAAAAGTCATTACAGTATCAAAAAATAAATATATATATATATTAGACAAAGTTGGCATTGGTAAATTTTAGCAAATAGGTAATGCCTAAAGCATTCCATTTTATTAAAGAATCTCATGAAATGCATGTTGGGATATTTGGGAACCCATATTATAGTATAGCGGTCAGTTCTGATGGTTTCCTCGAACCTATTGAAGCCATTGCCTGGTAGTCTTGAGGGAATTTACAATATGATGGTTTGAATTTTGATAAAGCACCAGAATGTTTTATGCTGTAGTCAATAGTGTCCAAATTCTGGATGCGTTAAATGTGTGGACAGGTTGTGTAAAGTGTGCATACTTTTCTACTATACACTTAAAAAAGAAGGTTCCATGTTTAGTGTTTTTTTTTCTTTTTGGTTTCTTCCCGGTTTGGTGCCTTCTTTTAATAATTGCATACTTACTTACTTCCTTTTGGTTTATAGCCTGGTGGTTTGAGCTGAACATGGTCTAAATTGTAATTTGGACCAATAAAACAGAGTAAACATTTTTGTTTGAACTAAATAACTTAAGTTTTCCACACTTAGACACGGTACAGTATATTTATAAATCAAATTCACTTTTGATCATTACATATTGAAATACAAGTCCTTTGGCTTAGGTATAGTAATTACTTTACTCTTTAATTCTGCAGAGTACATGGCATGAATGCTCATTAATTCAAGATAGGTTTGATTATAAAAGCACGAGAGACTCTTGTACTCGTTCAGGCACCAAAATATGTAAGAATTGTTCTTGTCTTAATTTGTGTGTAGTATGTAATGAACACTTTACAGGCTAAGTATGATATGCCAGCTGTAGCCTTTATTAACACATGCAAGAATAATTGTCATTATAAACTTTCAAAAGTTAAATAATTTGGTTCTCATAAATATAATCCAAGTACTAATTAGAAGTGTTGCTTTGTTTAGACTAAATTGTTTGCCATTTTACAGTTTTAATATAATTGGATCAAAGTAAAACTTAAATTCTAATTTATAAGTACATTTTGTAATAATAACCGAAATATGATCCATGTTTTTATTAGTTTGTATGCATAAAATAGCTCTAGTAGAACTTGCTTGTGCAGGTGCAATAATTTAATTCATAGCGAGAATTTGTTTATATGAACTTGCAAATATTTTCATTAAAAAATCATTAAAAATATCAAACATTACTGTGAAAATAACTTACTATTAGGTTACGAAAGTGACCATTATTGCTGTAATTTGTATGACGTTAGCACTGCTTAATTTCTGGATTGAGAAATTAGTTGGCCTAGACTTCACTAACCCCGTACAGTTTATATGAGTTTGTTACCGATTGGCAGAAGCTTAATTGAAGCCGTGTTTTTCATTTGGTCGAAAGTCATCCTATTTGGGCTGATTTAGGACAATTTTTTTCAAGATCTTGACAAATGTTGTCCATGACTAAAATACGAGTGCATACAGGAGCTGTGACAAATTTGGGGATCCTGTTGTATCAACTAAAGATATTTTTGTTTGCTCTCCGAGTGCCACTATTATATATATCCAGTTATATGGGTTTCCATGTAGTGTTCACTGCTTGCTGCAGGACTATTCATTGACTTGACATTTTGTGGATTTTATACCTGCATGTATTTGCTTTGGTATGTTTAGTTTTATACTAAATATCAGTTTACAGAAGGAAATCCACATATAAAAATGAATTTTTATACTTGGTTTTGGCTCTTTAACTATATTTGTAAATGACTATATTAATTATTTGCAAGTACAGTAGTACTATATATATTCTTCTGGTTATAATTTAAGCTATAAATGATGCCATTCATGCTTAACAGGATGTACAGAGAAAATGACTTGATTTTCACAGTGATTCTAATCTTGAGCTGGTAATAGAAATGAGTAAATATAAATCTAGTTTTGTCATTGAAGAGGGTACACAAAGGGTTTGGAGATAATTTTGTATTTAATGTGGCCCTTGGTTAAAGTGTTTATAATTACATTATTTAAATATAAACACTGTGTGTGTGTGTGTGTGTCTTGTGTGTTTGCTATAAAACTAAGTGGAGGCTGATCGTGGAAGGTTTGGTCTCTATTCTCGATTTTGAAATTTCATGTGATTACAATTCTGGGTGAAAGGCGCTATTTAATACTTCCCTTTTATATATTTCTTGTTAATAATTGACCATCTCATTTTTCTGAGTGAAAGTTTGCAAAAATAGGAATGGGGTATGCACAGGCATTAGTAAAGGGATTATGCCCATTGTGTTTACTTACAATGTGACTATTTTGGCTAACTTTAAGTTTGCAAGTAAAATTTGAATTCACATTTATAATTTAAGAGTGTGTTTTGGATGTAATGCACTCTTCATATATTACACATCTATTTATTTATATTAGTTTAATATATCAGCACAAATACTTTCTGCATTCCCAAGACAAAAACATTATTTTCTCCAGACTTGTAAATACTGTACAAGCAACCATCATTCATATTTAGGATGCTTTTGCTTAGAAATAAATTATAGGATTCTTGACAGCAAGAGCTGGTATGAGAGAGGTTATAGACAAATTATAACGATACACAATGCAGTGCTATATTTAATACTGATGTAGAGTACACTGAAGTTAGGTTTTCAACCTGATTCTTTATACAGTATTTGTGGTAACTAATATAGGCCATACTGATTAAATTAAAATCTTCCTCATAAGATCGGGTAGAGTAGAATCCAATGTGGTGCTGTTTCAGCCATTAACAAGTACAGTATGGGTCAAGAATTAGTGTGACCCCTGACACAAAACCTGAAAAGCTGTAGGATTAAATACAGGATATAATACAGGTTTTGATATAGGATGTATATATGCACAGTTATGTAATTTTGCATATTAAAGAATCCTATATATTTCAGAAAGTAACAAGTCTTATTCACTTTCATATTTTGATGAAAACTGTATTTTGTTTCCATTGAATATCTTGTGTATACAGCTGGCTTGTTGGTAAAATCAAAGTAACATTTAAGAAATCCTCAATAGTAACAAGTCAAGCTGCTTATGTGCAAATTTAGCTAAGCACTTATTCGTAGGAGTCCATCAGTTGTGCTGAATAAATCATTCCAATATTTTGTTATTTTAAATCCCAATATCTATTGCTTTGTGATTGGACATGGGGGTGTTTGTTTACCTTAAAGGGGTTATTCATTATTAAATATTTATTGTTTTTGATCTGGAATAATTTTGCAGTGATCATCATTGCTCATAATACAATTCTCATTTCTCCTACAGTAAATACATCCAATTTGATTGTTTTATTGACTTTTCTTCCTTACCTATGGTTTTAATGAAGTATATCTAGTTAGCTTATCTGTAACTTTTCTAAATAGCTTTTCCACACAATATATTTCACAATGTTATCTTTATAAATATGCAATGAGGGGGCTTTAATGATCCAAAGGGCAGTTACAAAGCTTCGTTCCTCATGACAGATCTTGTAGTGGCGGTGGGGGGTTTGAGTTTGTCATGCCAAGCATGTTATTTTGGGTGGGAGGGTTTTGCAATCTAAACTGGCTGCTGGGGTAAAGCAGGACCAAAGCTGGCTGTGACTTTGCCACCCATGTGATTGATATGTATGGAGACCCATACATTCCCATTTTTTCTTCACCTGCATGACTCTTAGGTGGAGGCAATTTGTAACTTGTCATCCTGAGCCACCAGGCATGGTTTAAAGTTCTCTACAGCCAAGACTTGTGTTATAACTTTTACTCAGAGGCATGATGTTCCTTATCTCTCATTGTAACTTTGATAATCCCCCTTTTTTTTGTATTGGGATACATTACTGCTAAACTTGGGGTTGATCTCACCATGACAATGGAAGACCTTTGAGGGAGAGTCATGGAGCAAGTAAAGAACCTTTCCCCAAGTAAGAGAAAAAATCTTTCAGAGAGAGCCTAACTCATGGACTTGGTTGTCCACCACATGAGACAGAGGGAGTGTGCGCAATTCATGAGGTATGCATACAAGGTATATTTTGAATAGCAATTCTGGGACCAGTAGGGATACTGACCCTCAAATACCTGCTTGACCTCAACCAGAGAAGTGTGTTGCCTCTAGAAAAAGCATAGGTGCATTTTGCTTTTGTGTTAGTTACCACAGTAAGTAGAAGCCAGCCTCACTTGCATCAGGGCAGTGCACAAGAGCCTCATTCACCATATCAAGGCAACACCAATGCGGTGCACTGCCATTATGACCTAGAAGCCAAGTATTATAGTATGTAAAATAAACAGTGCTACAGTCATACGGTTTTAGCACTGATAATTATTTGGTGAAAGGCAGTATCATACCGTCTTATGCATGGGCACACTGGGTAGTTGCCCAGAGGCTTTACGACCTGGAAGCTCTACTGTCGCCCCATGCTGCCATATTGTTCTTGAAAGTTCTCATTGCAATGTGGACAATTACTCGACCTCCTGCTGGATAGGCCTTATATTTAAATCCTTTTTCAAATTATATTTATAATATAAATAACTAGTGGATTACCATCTGATGAGAATTCTGCACTCTAGTAGCAGGGTGGGGCTCATCGATCATCTGGGTAAGGGCACTAGTAAATTGCTGTGTCCAAAGCCTACAATGCTGTTAAGATAGCCCTAATGAAAGGGTTAAAGAACAAGACACCAGAGAAAATTACTTACATAATTGTATTTAACTTACCTAAGTAAACTACTTGCAGAATGTAATTGTGTGAACGAATAATATTCCCATAAGTATAATCATATATTGACATGTTCACAGATACAGATAGTAACACATACACAGGGAAGGGAATGCAGGAGAATGCGCCAAGCCATTACAACTATATAGCACTTGGAAGGGATCAGGAAAGCCAAGGTATGATGTGACTTTGCTTCGGTGAGATCACCTGACATGACATTTGTAGACTAACTTTGTTCTTTTTTAAAGCCAATATTATCAACAGCAACAGTACTAAAGTGAGGTAGAAGTGAATGGATACTTTAGCCAAGTCATAAACCTAAGCTCTTCCCACAGAAAACATGGACCAATTTTTGCTATGACAAATTTGGAGTCGACATACTGTATACATGTTATGCGTAATAATGAAAATTTAGGCTAGAATACTCGAGGAAACAATTATGACAACACGTTAATAAATAATTTATTTATTCCATTAATCTTTTCTTATTACAACAAACAGCCTATATGACTTACATCAATTTCTAGTAATTAGCAGAGCAACCTCCAAATTAGCTTTACTAGCCACATAAAAGCAGAGACTTATGTGCACACAATATTTCTCCAGCACTTGCATTACATTTAAGTCTTCAAAATTTAAATAATATGCCTATCGATTACTTCATTATAGTGAAATTACAGATACAGCAGCATAATTATACAATGATTTTATTTATATTTTTGAGGCTAAACATCAAGTTAACAGTAAAAATAATTACTACAATTCAACTGCATATCAATGCAATGCAACAGAATTTGTCAATTATTTTCACCATATACTCAAATGTCCAACTTGATGAACAAGTGCGAAGTTTGACATTCTGGAAACCCTTGTATATAACCATATGTGCAACTCAAACTTTGCCACAATCAATTATTTGATTGTGACAAGTCCAGATTATACAAGTACTGTGTATAATTAGAACTTGAGTTTCAAGTCCTGATTATACCTACTGATTTGTGATTATTATTTCTTTATCATACTCAAAATGTTATGCAACAATATTCTGCCACAGAATTTTGCCGCAATGCGAGTAAAATCAATTAAGGCATACAGTACTTTCATATGCTGTCCACAGGTGATGTTTGTGTAAATCATCATTCATCATTTTGACTTAATAATAATGCAAAAAACCAGTGCTGAATGTAATGAAATGTTAATTTCTGGGCAAGGCCTGGTGGCTCCCTGAAGCTATACACCGAGATGGTTCCTATCTACAAGTTTGCATCAGCCATGGAATTCTTCGGCCTACCGAGGACCAGAGCCAGAACCTGGCCCCCGACCTCACAGACACACAGGGAGAGGTGACATTTCACCACCTCACCGAGTAAGGCATGACCGAGGCCTCAAATCCGGCCTAATGAACTCCCCCTTAACTACATAAACAATTAAATCTCTCAAATTTAGCACGAGCTCGCTTGCCTCTCCTCTCCCCATGCAGAACCACTGATCATTAATCCCCTAACTGCATGGGTTATTTTGATGCATTGTTTATCGTGCACAAGAAACCACTTGTTTTGAGAAAATTAATATTTTCTTTTGACATGTTTAATCAGACTCCATGAAGCATGAAAAATCACGTAAAAAATCTCTACCTATTGTCGTTTAGCTGTAGTGGGCTGGGGAACTTCTGCAGATTGAGGTGGGGTACTGCATGCGACTACAGTACTGTAGCTTGGGCCATTTATTTTTTTTGTTTCTCACTATTTTATTTTTTTGTGTTCATAAGTTGTATTCATTTGTCAATAGTGATATTCCTTATGTATAACTTTGGAAATTACTTGTGTACAGATGTGTGTGTATAAATATGTGCTCCCTGTATTTATTTATATAAAGTAAATTGTATATTTGCACATAGCACACATTTTGTGTGAAAATTCATACTATACTGTACATGGATATCACTGATTTCCTATTGTTAAAAGTTCAATGGATCCTAGCACAGCCACCCTGTGCATTCAGTCACTGGATGGCGATGTCCCAGATATCGTCTGCACCTTTTTACTAATGTCCTCGAAGGAAACTAAGTGACTCTGAATTTTTTCCAAATGTGGCAAACAATCGACAAAGGTTTTTAGAAAGTGTTTTGGGTAATATTTAACGAGTTCCTGGTATTTTTCCAATTATATTCCATGCATTGGTGCAGGTGCTATATACTGTACATGTTTTCTGCACACTAAATGTCCTGAGATCAGCAAGAAAAAAATAAAGCCCTTTTGAATTACAGTACAAGTAAACATCACTTAAAAGCAATTAATGTACATTATAGTACAGCTTTCTAATATGACACAAAATATTAGGAAAAGTTTCAGATATATGACATCCTGCAAAAAAAATATAATAGCTAAGGAAGACTATAACTTTAGGTTTATTTGAAACCTGATTGTTGCTGGCAAGATGTAAAGTACTGTACAGTACTGAAGAAAACTCTTGGTCTATGCCATTCATCAGTATTTATCATCTGTCATCAATGTGAAAAAAATGAAGTTTTCACAATAACTCACAGTCTTAGTGATATAAGCAGAATATGAAAAGGCTTCTCAGCATTGGAATTGAGGATCAAAATTAAATGAAATCCCCAATTTGTACATTAGCATTTCAGGAAGCTAGAATTTTGTGAATTTAAAGCAAAAACTAAGAGTAAGTTAATCAATGCTTTGATACTGGGTTTAAAAGTTTCAAGACAAAACGTACTGTATGCATAAAATTGAAGTAACTGGCGAGGCTGCGAGTGCCTATATTGTAGCAGACATCTCTTATTGGAATGTTTTAAATTAAATCAAGGAAGGTGGCTACACACCCAGTAAGTATTCAGTGTTGACAAAATAGAACTGTACTCTAAGCAGATGCCATCAAAAAACCTTTAAATTTCCCGACAAGCAGATTATTCTGGTGTTCAAAGTTGCTGAGGACTATCTTACTCTTCTTTTGGTTGTTAATGTACATGAAGATTTTTATCCTGAGTAAAACTAAGTTGTACTGATTTTTATCCACTAATTGTACTGAGTTGTACTAATTTTTATCCTACTGTACCAATCTGAAATGTACTGTACCAAGGGCTATGAGGAGCTTCTTCTAATATAGGCTCCTGGAAATATGACACTCCAATAAGAAAACATGGTAACTAAGTGTGTATAGATTTTTTTATTTTCTTATTTTTGCAAAATTTTTGAAAAACAGTGAAATATCAACAACACTGTTTGTAAAATGTTGCTCCTAGATAATGGTCTTGCCATCCCCCTTACTCTGAATTATTTTATCCATATTCAAGGCCTGTTAAATAAGATCCTTCAACACCAGAGGTCCACGGTTGTTCAACGTTCTACCAGCGAGCATCAGAAATATTACAGGAACAACCGTGGACATCTTCAAGAGGAAACTAGATTGTTTCCTTCAAGGAGTGCCGGACCAACCGGGCTGTGGTGGGTATGTAGGCCTGAGGGCCGCTCCAAGCAACAGCCTGGTGGACCAAACTCTCAAGTCAAGTCTGGCCTCAGGCCGGGCTTCGGGAGTAGAACTCCCAGAACCTCATCAACCAGGTATCAACTCATCAAGCACACTAATGGTGATGGTAAACCAAAAGTTAGGACTTTGTAGAAAAGTTGTAATATCATAGACATCATTGCAAAACATCTATCATTCTTGAATAGAACTTGCGCTGGCCATGAACGGCACAAGGAAAACATTCTGGCCCGATCATGTCAACGAGTGCCATGGTTTCCAGGAGACAGTGTCAGATGATCGTGGTTCTTCACAAGGACAGTTGTTACGAAGGCATCAGCAAGGTTGATGTAGTGTTAAAAGTCTAATGAAGAGGCCCTTACCAAGGAGTTGAATCAACTTGAACAGTCCTGTTAAGGGCTCATGACAACTTGAAAAGGTTCCTTATCCCTGGTTGGTATAGAAGTCTTTCTATGGCAAATATGATAAGTGTCCTGGGAAAGGATGGTGCCCGAAGCTAGGGAAGCTACCAAGGCATCATAGAAAAGGTGTGTTTGTTATAATTAACTAATTTTCATTTACATTAAGTAACTTTTTTTTATGCTGGATATATTTGTTAAGCATACTTTAAATTAAAACTTGAGGATAAGTGTATTAATAAGTTTTGTGGTAAACCTATACATATACTGTACTGTACCGAAGACAGATGGGGGGAAAACAGGGCAGAGAGAAACCTATGCATAGGTGTTCCAAGGTTATCTCCAAGAATCAAAGATGTTTGGGAGGTGAAACACACCAGCTCATCACTATAAAAATACAGTATGATTTTTATATTCTTGGAAAATCCTTGTGAATACAATATATTATTTTAAACTGCAAGCATGCACTAAATATATACTCTGTCCATAAAGAAAACCCAACAAAAATTGATGATGAAATATACACATTAATTTATGAAATCAGGAATTGTTACAAATTCCAGAAGGGGTCGGAACAATGAGTCTGGATTTTCCAGATTCCATTACACTACATATATAAAGTATGGATCTATGACATACACTTTCTAAATTTAAATATTTAAACATTCTTGCAACACACACAAAAAAATTAATGGCAACACTGCAAAACTTGCGATGATATATAACAGTAAGTGATTTTGACTTGGTGGTATCCTTCATATCAAAATATCTATCTAGAAATTTAGATGTAGCTATGCATATTTGCTTTTGATGCTCAAGGGTTTCTCTACCACCAGAAAGTTAAAGTGCCACCCTCCAATTCTTAAAAGTTTCAAGTCAACATGAAAAGACCACAAGATATCTAGACTGGGGATACCTAATTAAATATACGATTGGATTCCATGAGAAAATATGCTTAAATTTATGACATTAAAAATGCCTGTGTATTAAGCACGGATTATCTGTACAGCACTATATAATCTAAAACCTAACCTTAAATAAGTAGCTTTGTCTGTGGCTTCTTTACAAAGTAAACCGAGGACTAGTTTTCCTTCTGGATTTTAACTCTGCTATGAGAAAGGAGGTTTTTAAATCATTTATTTACTTATATCAAAAAAGTAAAGCTATAAGGAATCATGCTTATTTTGATAAAGATGTATGTATGACACTAAATTATATCATCAAGGTTCTTCAACTACTCACAATAATAGATATCTATATGCCCTACAGATATAGAGGTAGTACTACTCAGAGCCTGTGGTTTATATTTCTGAACAAAACAGGGATTCAGTTTTACCCGGTTGATGTTGATGCCACCAAAAAGCACATCTTGGCAGAGCAAGAGCTTTGAGATGTGTTGGCAAAGAATTCACAAGACTGTTGCTTCTAAAGAACATCATATTCAGCACTTCAGCATTAAAAAGAATTAAGCCAATATACAAGAGAGTCTCACATTTTACAATATGTATAGAGCTTAAATATATATATATATACTGGAGCCATATAGGGCTAATAATGTCAGTTTTATTTTGTGAATTCTTCTAAGTGATGCAACTGTATTATATTGCACAAAACAAAGTCAATTACTGTATAATAAAACTTTTAGTAAGTTAAGAGGAGTGTCGTATCCAAACAATTAGCTGTTAAAATTGTCACCATTCAGAAAAATTAAATATGGTTCACAAAAACTTTGACTGAGGAAGCATAGTGTGTGAAGCAACAGCAGGTGCTCCGGTAAACACACACTCGCAACATTCAGCTTCAAAAGCAATAAAGAACAGTCCACAACAGATCATGTTAATGTAACCACTTGTGTGGATGAATAATCAATACATGAGGAGTGCATAGCTGTAATAAGATTACCAAGACCTTTAGAGAGCCATTCTTTAAAATTGTTTACCTATTAGATATTTAAGAACAAGATATTGCTAAAGTTACATGGTCACTATTTGGTTATTTATTAGCCCAATATTCATATCCAAAAGATTATATTTATATAAAAAGATAAAGAAAATACGAGAGATATGTACATATTAAATCTCTTCCTTGACCCACTAATGTTTGTGTGGCTTTAAGCAGTATCAAGTTCCTGAGAATATTTTTCTCAAGATGAAAAGCAAGCATGATTCAAATTTACAAGAAAAAAATAGAAGGCTGCTATACTTACAAGGTGAAAAATCATGCATAGTTCACTTCCCTGTCAAAACACTAAGTAATGGACAGGGGAAAGAAGCAAGATCTTGATAAACCAAAAATCCCCATCAAAACATTGAAAATAAAACTATCAATAATAAAACGTAAACAAATTCACCATTAATTAACTGCATACATTTCTGGTCATGTAATAAGAATAAAACTAAATATGAATATCTTACCAGGCATTATTCCAGGTTGTATGATCCTTTAACTATTTTCCTCCCCATCCTGACCAATTGTGGGCCCCTGATAGTCAGTTTGATCACACCAAAAATCACTAGGTGTGGGTATGCTAAGAAGCAAAACACAATTGCCATCCGACAACTGTGGATTATTCCAGTTACCGTCTATCTCCCGATAATAATGACATTCGCGCTCCATGCCAAGGAGCTCATCATTTCCATATGGTGGTGACAATATATCAAGAAATGCTGCCGGTCCATTTAGAGAATATATCTCATGTATATTTTGCTTACCAGGGCGTAGCTGGCATGCATTGTCACTTGCACTAACTATAAGTTGTTGATGTTTAATTGCAGGAAAAATACTTGGGTGAGATCGGCTATCCATTAGTCCACTCTGATTTTCTTCGATATTTGTATCAATGAAACTGTAACTTTGAATTGACACCGATCCATGAACCACCTGGAAATATAAGGGTTTGTTATTAATTTTAAAAATTACACAACTCCTAATGGTTCTAAAGATTACTGCTTTTGTGCAGAAGTGCCAATGACTTCACTGCTGTGGCACCAGGGAAATTTCAATAAAATTTTCAAAAGAAATGAAATGCAAGGAAATAGTTTTCCTAACCAATGCACAATATGCTGACAGCTGTTTGCAGAACAGCACCTTACAGTACAGTATATGTAGTACCACGTGACGAACCATCTTTGCAGTCAGCTGTATTCTCATGCTTAGAATACTGCCGACTGAACAGACCCACTGTGCATTCTGTATATTATTTCAGCTAATTATTGAGGAAAATGCCATTAATAATGGCTAATAAGAAGAGGAAGAGTATTGGCGATGAACCAGTGCTAAGGAAGAGGTGACTCATTACCCTAGAGATAAAGCTAAAGAGAAAAAAACACTAAGAAGGAAGAAACATCAAAAATGACTAAACATACTGTATTTATAGAGTGAACCGCTATTATCAAGGACAAAACTAATTTTAGAGCATTTGAAGTATTCTGCATCACTGAAATTGATAACAAGAAATGGGCTCTTGTGATCTGTGACATATAAATGCAACTAAAGCTGTGAATTAAGGACCAGAATTATTGCAGAAATCCCATAAGCCTTATACTCCTCCAGTAATTAGATCTCTTCTCTTCTCTCTTCAAAAACACGCAACTTTGAAAAACTGGATGACCATCATTCAAGGTAAATAATATTTAATGTTTATTATATTTATAAAAAATATTGGTTTAAATCACTGAGAATTTGCATCTGGTGATTTATATACAAGGACAATCATCACATTTAGAATGTCTATTTTGATTATCACCACATCTACCATATCATTTGTGGCGTTTAGCAGCGCTGTGCAGACGGGTGTGCCTTTGGTGTACAGGCTGACCCCACCCTGTAGCCTATATTTCCAATTACAGCTGAAAAAACTGAATTCTGGTACTGTATCCATATCTCATTGTCATAATAGTCCTTTGTGCAAGTTTCAGTCAAAACTGCAAACATCTACCACTTTATTTGTGTAGAGTTCAAGAAGGAAGTAATGTGTTAAAACCATATGAAATTTTAGAATATGTCTGATAAAATTAAAAATGTGAGACCATATGAAATATCTATTCCTGTAACTACAAATAATTAAGTACAAATAGGTAATGATAAACATATATATATAATTAAAACAAAATATTACCTTTAAAAGCCCATACATTCCAGGGTGATCATGAAGAGGCAAGCGTACTCCACGTTTCAGGATGAATACGCAAATTGTGACATCACTGTCCTCATACAACTGCATGTAAGTCACTGGTGCTCCATCTCTGCTAGCCTGAAACGGAACAAGTCACACCACCAATGCTATTTCCACTAACCTGTTCTCAATTTGGCGAAACTAATAATGATTTAGAGAACACCAAATCAATATTTTTTTACATACATTGGTCTAATAATGACCAATGCTCTATCCACAGTCTCTAGCTTCTTTTCACAGTTCAAATTTTTATGCTTGCAAGTCATTTGAAGGCATGTCCTTACACATTTTCTTTTTTGATAAAGTGCTTTAAGAGTTATGGACACCATATAAGTGCTGCATAAAGTACTCTGATTTCAGTCTTTTAGTCTCACAAATGTCATGAACAATTTCTATGAAGTTTGCAAACATAGCATAGGCTCTCAATACCTTTGATCTGATTCTCTGGTGACAGTTTACTATCCAGAACCACACCTACATTTCATTCTTTATCAGCATTCTTTAATATCTTTTCACATAACTTGTATGTTGTGTGCAGCCAGCCTGTTCCCCCTATTCCACTTTTCATTATGTGGCATTTGTCTACATTGAATTATATCTATTATGCGTTGTGCCATTTGCCTATTTTGTCTAGGTAATTTTTAAGGGCATGCCCCATTAACATCGCAGTGTCTCACATAGGCACTGCAAAGAGCTCTAAACACCTCCTAACTTAGGCTTATGAAGAAAGTTCTAACTTTTGCTAGCATAGAGTATGCTGCTGTCATTATAAGATTTATATGGGCCTCAGGAGTTAGATTTTGTGTTACATCCACTCCCAGGTCGCTTTCTCCAATCGTCACAGGTAGGTAGTTTCCCTTCATTGTGTGTTCAACTCCAGTAGCCATTTCTCTGACCATCTTTGCAGCTTGTTCAAGTCATCTTGGAGGATTTTACAATTCATCTGTCAGAACTTTTCTCATTAATTTCGTATTATCCGCAATCATCAACATATAGGACTTTACTCCTGAAGAGATGTCATTTACATACACTAGAAATAATACTGGTTTTAGCACCAACCCTTGAAGCACTCCACTCATTACCATTCGCCAGTTTGACTTCTCGCCCCTCACTGTTACGCTCTGCCTGTTAAATAATTCCTTACCCATTCTAGGGCTTTTCCGCTTACTCCCGCCTGTGTCTTAAGCTTGAATAGCAGTACTGTATCAAAGGGTTTTTGGCAGTCCAGAAATATGCAGTCTGGCCATCCTTCCCTGTCCTGCCTTATTCTTGTTATTTTATCATAGAATTCCAGAAGGTTTGTTAGGCATTATTTCCCTTCCTTGGACCCATGTTGGTGTTTTTTACAAACCTTATTTTCTCTTAAGTGTATAACCAGCCTTAACCTGATTATACTTTCTAGTACTTTACAGAGGATGCTTGTCAGTGATACTGGTCTGTAGTTAATTGCCACATCCCTATCTCCTTTCTTGAAAATTGGTACCACATTTGTCTTCTAGCAACTGGACAATTCTCCCTTCATAAGTGACTCGTTAAAGATTTTTGCTAGAGGCATGCTGAGGGCCTGCGCTGCCTCTTAGTATCCACAGTGATACATTGTCTGATCCGACTGCTGTAGTTTCATCCAGTGTTAGCCATTTCACTACCTCCTCTGCTGTCACCTCTATATCTGATAGAAGAGATGATCCTAGATGAGAGACTAACAATGAGAGCTGCTCAGGCTAGGTTGTGAACAGTATGAACACTGGCATTCAATACCTCACAGATTTCCTTGTTTTCTGTATATGCCCATCCTATTTTCCATAGTCTTGTAACTTGGTCATACACCAACATTTTCCTTATGTGACTAGTAATTTAGGTTGTTTTTTTCGCTTTGATCACACTATCGGTCTCAATTTCTTTCCAATACTTTCCTTTAATTAATGTATGGGTGTGCATGTGTTAGAGAGAAATACTGTATATGTAGTAGACATAATAGAGGAAAAAATAGAGTTAGAAAGCTGGGATCCAAGAGCTAATAGCTCAATTCTGCAGGCACGATTAGTAAATAGTGTATAGTACTTTCAAATGGCTCTCAATCTGAACTATATTAGCAAAACCTAATCTTACATTCCCTAACTTTACTCTAACCATATCTAATCGTCCAAAAAAGTATTGTTGAAATGGCGAGTTGGAAAAAAAAAAAAAGTCATATTCTCTGCAAGAATCTTGGAAGCTGCATCAGAAGTTACAGAGGTGCCATAACCATAGGTCTTGAAGCTTTATGGGGTAAAAAGTAAGTACATAAGAGTGGAGAGCTCCATCATTCACATTAACTACACAATATGAATTAGGTATGGCTTTGGTTATCTTTTGAAATTGTTAAAGTTAAATTGTTAAACAATATTTTATTGTGCAATCTTTTTAAGACTATTCCATAATTTAGGACCCTTAATTTGCTTGGCATTTCTGTTTTGATAAAGTCAGACTCTTGGAACACCAAAGAGCTATTTGTTTCTTGTGTGGTGTTTTTACGTTGTATGACAGCCTTGTAAACAAGTAAAATAGAGATTGGCACCCCAGCTTAGTTGACAAGACACTATACCCTCACTGTTCTGTAAACAGTTACTTCCAGTGTTTGGATTTGTGGTGATAATCCACCAGCTTAACCCAACCTAATGTATTATGCACAAATTTATTACAGCTTGGCAAATAGTTGGGGGGGGGAGAAAAAAAAAAGTTGTAAATGAGGTGAGAACCCAATACCTGCAGACAGTTAAATAGATTTATCTGAAGAGTAAAATAATAAACCACAGCTAATCTACAGTTATCCTGCTACCCATTAGGTTAATGTACAGCTAAATGTTATAGACCATTCAATACCCAAAATTGATACGATGAAAATTGATGAAAAATACGTTTCTGCCCGAAACGCTTCGCATACTAGTGGCTTTACAAGAATGTAATTACTATGCTATGTATCCTCACAATCCCATTGTATCTTCTTGTATATAAATAAATAAATAAATAAATAAATGTAGAAGTTACCGAGATATTAAGAATAATTTTTTGTAAATGTACATACAGTACATATATATATATATATATTATATGCGGAAAATCCACAGAGAAATATGAAATGAGGTGAACGTTTCGGCTTGTTTGGTCAGTCTGGTGTTGACAAAGGCTTTAACAAGCCGAAACGTTCACCTCATTTCATATTTCTCTGTGGATTTTCCGCATAAAATGATCAGTGTTTTGTGATCGTCAATTGCATATATTATATATATTGCGAACAAGCCGGAATGGTCCCCAGGACTATATGCAACTTATAAATAAATAAATAAATAAATAAATAAATAAATGTAGGAGTTACCGAGATATTAAGAATAATTTTTTGTAAATGTACATACCTATATATATTATATATATTGCGAACAAGCCTGAATGGTCCCCAGGACTATATGCAACTGAAAACTCACACCCCAGAATAAAATATAATATATATACATTGATAGTAATTATATGGCACTTATGTAACCGAATGCGTTAGAGTAATGAATTATATAAGACATCTTACGTTGAAGGTGCCTCTGTCTTGGATGAGTCGAGGGTCGAGGTTAAGATGGTGTGTGGTGACGGTGTTGAGGAGAGAGTAGAGCTGCTCGTAGTAGGCGGTGAAGGCCGCCTCCGACACCTGGGGGTCACGCCGGAACGTCTTCACCGCCAGTCTACCCAACTTCTGGATCACAGAACTCATTATCTAAACACACCTCTGATACCAACTTGGACTTGGCCGAAATAATATACAAAACGCGTTCATTGGTAACGCCACTCTGCTTCAAGGAAAAAAATAACAAGTTATGACCTGCCAGTTAACACACTTTATTTATCAAAATACACGAACAATTATATTTTTGCTAAGTCAAACAGTATGTATAAAATTCCCTTACTTTAGTAATCTTCCGAGTAATAGTTTTTAAAAACATGAATGAATGTTAGAGATCAGCTGTTCGAACGCAAGGCTGCCAACCTGTGTACTAAACATTTTGAAAACAAATCTTAACGTAGTGAAATATTACCATAGATTTAGGTCAGAGGGATTAAAATATATCGAACAGACTATAAAACCCCATCAAATATGCTAATATTAACGATAAATAAACACAACCCACACTCCTCAGAGTTTCGAAGAGTTTGTTTACATTTTGGCGCCTAATAATACATACACATTATAAAATAAAATTCACAAAGAGTAAATGTCGTTGATAATATGGAATATTTTCAATTTTTTCTCATGAATATTTGAGGGCTGTAGGAGTGAAGGCAGAGAGTGTAGGAATGTAGAGGAATGAGCACAACCTTGGGGGCCCCTTAAGCCTACGTGACACTATTTTCGTATTTTAGGAGTCAAATATAGTGCTGGGATATTTTTTAATTAATTATAACATTTATTAATTAAAAAGTTGATTATAACATTAATTAATTAACAATATATTAACATTATATTATATATTAACAGTCAATGTGTTAATTAATTAACAAATAAACAATAACATTTTATTATAAACTTAATTAAAACCTATTATTATAATTGAATTCTCTAAAATAATAAGATGAAGTCAATCAAGTACATAGGAATTGGTATGCAATACATTAATAACATAATTATAAATTATTCAACCCAAATGGTATGAGGTACTTTGAGCTCTATAATTACTTCATACACTCGGGAATATTTACCTGAAAGCCACTAACACTAGTGACCTCGACGAGGACAGGAAGCCGAAGGCTTGTCAGGAGTCCGCCCATTTCCCTTGATGATTTTTTTTCAACTTGGATTTTTAAATTTGACAGAGTTTTGGCATTTACGGCTTCGGCGGGTAGGCGGTTCCATGGGTTTAAACCCTGCGGGTGAAACAGCATCTCCTGTCCTCAGTCCTACTTGTCTGTATTACATCTGACCTTTTGAAGAGATTGTCTGGATCAACATCCACCAAATTGTTCAGTAAAATATACAAATTAGGGTTTAGTTTAGTTCATTTATTATGCCCCCCCCCCCATACCCATCTTGTGGGCAGTAGTGGAAAGAGTTACAGAGGCACATAATGGGCTCAGGGACTGAACTCCACAATTCATTTAGCTAAGCAAGTTACATGAGCTAGTTACACAATTCAATGCACATCGTCACATCAACAATGAGCTCGAGACCGACCACAAGTACAGTTTCTAAATTAAGCAACTGACATATGTGGAGAGATAGTGTCACAATTGATATGTTTGTCCTGCACACCGTCCCCCATCCAGTGGGCAGCGGTGGATAGGTTACAATCACTTAGTTACTACCTACAGTTAGCAAACTAGGGATATTTGGCTAAAATTTCTGGTAGCAGATCATTTTGAATGACATATTTAGACATCTCTAGAACATTTATTATAGAATTGTCTCTGAATTCACGTTATCTTTAGAAATAGCTTAAGCTACTCTATCCCTTTGAGATGTATTTTTTCTTGTCTCAATAAACATACTTGAACTTGAACTTGAATCTTTTCGCACTCCATCGCATAGTGAGGAAGGGTGTGCGAATAATTTTGTTGACACAGTTTACAGTTGGTCAGATCTACATCAGCAGATAATGAGAATTCCCAGAGATACTTGTAACTGAGTCTAAGCCGAGCAGTAGTAACATCTAGAAGTCTGCTGATTTTATTGGATGAACCATAGATGTGTGGCCCCTCTTGCATGATAGTATGATGAAGAAGGAATTCCTGGTTTTAATTACTTGGAATTACTGACCACTACCTCAAATCTACAAGATTTTGTTGACGTTCCTCTGCTCTCAGACTGCTTAATGACAATCCAAGGTTATACTCAATTTCTCCTTTAAAGGCAGATTCTTTGGCTAACTCATCAGCTCTATCACACATTCAGAGATGGAGTCCATATGAAATGGACTCTGTTACCATCATTAATAATTCTGTTGTATTTGTGTCTAGCTGCAGACACGAGCATGTTCCAGTTATGTCTTAAAGAGTTGAGAACAATTGAGGATGATAAAGAGTCACTTACAATTAATGTATCAAGTTTAATTTGATGACGGTGACTTGTACACATTTCAGTTCATTTCAAGCAAGGCAAATAGTTCGGTCTGAAGTTGGTTAGACGGACTCCCCACTCAAAATATAAGCCATTACCCATTATCAGGACAACTGCACTTCCAGCTGCACCCGTGGTGCGGTGTAGGGAACCATCAGTGTATATGATTTGAGAGAATGCTCTATGCACAGAGCATCAATATGGCTTAAAGCATTGAGCTTTGCCTCAAGACGAAGCTTGAGCTGATCTCTAATATGCTTCTTGGGTGGAAAGGGAGGGATTAAAATTGAAACAAATTATAAATCTGACATGTAATCATTGACCAAAACTAAACTTATCTAATCTCACCAACCCATTGTACCTTTTTGTAAATAAAATATTATTATTATTACACACATAAAACACAATAATTCCACAGGGGGGGCCTTGATGAGGGCTCGAACCCACGAACTAAGTGTTCCCAGTCGCGCTTTAGTCAACTGTACCACCACATAGTCAAATAAACCATCTCTTACCATTATATGTTAAGGTCTCACACCCTTGCCCATTATGTTCTTGATTGTCCGTTGATTAATGTACATAGAAACACTGAGATAAGGACTGTTCCTGAACAAATAGCCTGGATGTGTCACAACGGAAAGGTTGATGATATTCTTGAGAGATACAAGAATTTTGCACCAAGACTGTAATCTTTTGTTGAATTATCTGCATGTCTCTTGCAAATTGTCTATACAGTATACCTAAGTCATAAAAGTATTTGTGTGTACGTCTGATACCATACTACTTGTGTAAAGGAGGAAATGTATATGTTTATCTCTCAGAATGTTCGGTAATATGTTTATTGTTTGTGATGTATGTCTATGTATGTATTAACACGATGTACTGAACGGGGGGTGAGAATAGCTTGAGCTACCTCATCCCTTTGTGTGTATTTTACCTCAATAAACTTATTTCAATTTCAATTTCAATTTCAATCTCTTACCACGTGGTGGTACAGTTGACTCTAGCGCGTCTGAGGAACATCCAGCGCCTAGGTTCGAACCCTCATCATTTTTGCCGTGAAATTGTTCATTATTATTATTAATAATATACCACTGTATAATAATTCCCACAAATTTGTATTATTTTTATCAATTATTTTTAATGTTGAAATCAAGAGTTGTAGGGGGAAAAAAGGTTTCCATAAATGGAGTGTTTCGTTTTCTAGTTGGAATCTGGGCCACTTGTACACAGTGAAGGTGGTGGAGTGTGTAGGTGTGTGTCGTGTGTTGCACAGCGGCAAGTGTGGAGCATAGTGGCAGGTGTGGAGGACAGTGGCAGGTGTGGAGCACAGTGTCCAGCAGGCTGAGGGCCACTGGGGTAAGCTGGATTCTGGTGTAGGATCTCTTTGTGTCCTGCAAAGTTATTCTCATACACATCTACGTCTCTATGAACATTCCTTTTATGCTCGAGTGAATGTCAAAATGTCATAGTTGATTTAACTTGTGTCAAAATATACAATACTTGCAAAAACTGGGTCATCTAAACAAGACGCCAACACTAAATGAATATCAAAATCAAATACATCAAATTTTTTTTTGTCTTGTATTGAATTTTGTAACTAGCTCATCAAGATTGTAACTTGCTTAGCTAAATGAATTGTGGGGTTCAGTCCCTGAGTCCATTATGTGCCTCTGTAACCCTTTCCACTACCGCCCACAAGATGGGTATGGGGTGCATAATAAATGAACTAAACTAACTCTTAACTTATCTCTTTTTTTATCTTAAGTTTTGGTCGAAAAGCACACTGTGTATTAGTGACTATTTATATACAAGAAGGTACAAGAGGTTTCTAAGACTGTAAGAACATTGCTACACTTCATAAATGAACATTTATTGGTTCATAAATGAACATTCATTCATAAGAACAATGGTGTTCTTACATTCTTACTAAGATACTTAAAACACACATAGCATCTCTGGCAAGTCCTTAACGTGACACATAGGTTTATTAAGATGTACATTGTAGCAGTTTTGAGTTTTAACGTGACTATATATGTATTGACCCCAGAGGTGATTACACTGGTGACGATGTATGTCTTAAGTACTGTACTATGAGTGGGGAAGTGAGTAGCACAAGATACAGTGGCAGTTTGAAGCACAAAGTAACAAACTACGGCGTTCCGCGAGCGTTTGTCATGGGTTCGTATCCTGGCCGGGGAGGATTTGCTGGGCGCAAATCCTTAACTGTAGCCTCTGTTTAACTCAACAGTAAAATGTGTACTTGGTTGTAACAACGATTCTTCGCGGCGGGGATCGTATTCCAGGGACCTGCCCGAAACGCTACGCGTACTAGTGGCTGTACAAGAATGTAACAACTCTTGTATATATCTCAAAAAAACAAACAAAAAAAACTATGATGCTGAAATCAGGTACATTTTGGTTGTACCAAAATCTGGGTTAAATGAGTTAAACACCGTTAATAATCTATTTATATATTTTTGGGTTAAACACCGTTACTGTATTATAAAATGCTGGTGTTGCCGAGTTCTTGGCGAGTGTCGGCTTTCAAGCACTATGATCATAGATTATCATTGGTTACAGGTTATGGGAATTGATTAGTTTAACTGTTTTTCAGGTTAAATGTATTGTTGGGGATCAACGGTGAACGGGGAGCTGGGTGTGGGGGCTCCGGAAATGGAGCAACTCACCCTTCCCTGCTTCATGGATTTCTCTGAATCATGGAATGTCAAACAAGGTAAGAGAAATTATTATCAAAATGATTGTAGTACATTATTAGGGAATAATTTTCATACATTGTTTCTGAACAGGGCTCCATATTTTGTTTCCCTAAACTACACATATGGGTTCACTTTATTGCTTGCTAGGAATATTTCTGGAAATGGTAAATAACTGCACAGGCAGAGGACTTCAAGGAGGTGTGTTAATGGACTTATCTTAAGCTACTGATAAGTTATCATATAAAAGCTTAGCACAGGAACTACAAGTATAAGGAATTGGTAAATACCAGAATGGCTAAAACAATGATATGTATCATTCTAAATGAAAGAAGCCGACATAAAAAATATTGAGTGGAGTACCACCGGTGAATTCAGTAGAGTTCTGGATGTCCTGTACATGCTTCGTCATTACTATTTTCAATCCAGATGGGGGAGGGAATGCGTCAGGCCAGAGAGAAAAGAATGTAATATAGTCAAATATTTCTGAATAATAAAATATTTAAAACCCCTAGCCATTCTTATACTAGTTATAAAATTGTTATAATACAGGTGCTGTGTAAATAAAGTATTTTTGTTTTGAATGATCAGAAAATTTGAAGGATAATTTGAGAATTGGAAGAAAAGATAATGATTGATTAATTTTGGTTGGTGGATTTTCTAAATGTATGTCTCTTGTTGACCAGACCACACACTAGAAGGTGAAGGGACGACGATGTTTCGGTCCATCCTGGACCTTTCTTAAGTTGATTGTCCAGACAGTTGATTGTCCAGACAGTTGATTGTCCAGACAGTTGATTGTCCAGACAGTTGATTGTCCAGACAGTCGATTGTCCAGACAGTCGATTGTCCAGACAGTCGATTGTCCAGACAGTCGATTGTCCAGACAGTCGATTGTCCAGACAGTCGATTGTCCAGACAGTCGATTGTCCAGACAGTCGATTGTCCAGACAGTCGATTGTCCAGACAGTCGATTGTCCAGACAGTCGATTGTGCAGACAGTCGATTGTGCAGACAGTCGATTGTGCAGACAGTCGATTGTCCAGACAGTCAATTTGTCCAAGTCACAATCGACTTAAGAATGGTCCAGGACAGACCGAAACGTCGTCATCCCTTCACCTTCTAATGTGTGGTCTGGTCAACATACTTTAGCCACATTATTGTGACTCATCGCCTGTGTATGTCTCTTGTTGTTGTCAGTTGCGTCGGGTCTGATGCATTCCCTGATCTTGACTGAAGAAGGCCTTGTATATTCCTGTGGTAACAATGAGTTTGGTCAACTGGGACACAACAAGATCACCAGAAAACCAGGTTTGTATTTTTTTTGTTTTGTTGACGTGTCTATTATTTACTAAATAATATTTAATATTTTGTAATTACTGTACCTCAATTTAGTTAAAGGATGAAAGCTGTGCTTGTTGTGTCCCGTCTTCACAATATTGTTCTTTGGCCAAACCAGCATTTTATTACATTCAACACTGGTTTTTTTATATTTTTTTCTAAAGTGCTAATTTCATTTGAACTGTACTTTTCTTTAAAGAAAAAGGTTATTTATATCCATATTTATTTCTATATATAAATACATCTATATACACAATACTTAATTTTACAGAACAAATTGATGATCTACAAAACTACACTATAGTGCAGGTTGCAGTTGGTGATCAGCACTCGATAGCACTTACTTCTTGGGGGCTGGTAAGTGCCAATGCAGTAGATTATATACTGTGGTGTGTGGATCACCGATTGTTAGTTACCTGGGAGATATTGCACTTCAGTATGGGGCTGAAGGGTTAAAGCAAGATATGTTTTTATTGTGTGCTCTCTGCCTATATCTCCTGAAAACTAGTTTTCTTCGGGAACTCCCATAGGAAAGGGGGGTGACAAAATGACAGATGTTTGTCAATTACAGTTTTACTGTGTATGATTGTAAGAATACTTAAATATTTCCACAGGTATATGCATGGGGAGAAAATGGATTTGGACAGCTGGGTATTAATTCCACAGAATCCCATACTTCAACACCGAAGTTGGTGAAGAGCTTAGCACGTAAGCAAGCACTTCAGATTGCCTGTGGATCCAATCATACCCTTGCTCTAACATCAGGTGAGAAGATTCATTTTTTTTCCTGTTTATCTTGGTTGATCTGGTTGATCAGTCCAGCAACCAGGAGTCCTGGTCGACGACCGGGCCACGGGGACGCTAAGCCCCGGAAGCACCTCAAGGTAACCTCAAGGTAAGGTATCTTGTTGATGAAGTTAAATTTTATTACTGATGGTTTGGAATTACAGTATTGCTCATGCAGTAACTCATCAAAATCATCACAACTCTCCAAGGTGTGGATGTGGTCATGATCCATCATAACTCGTCAAGGTGTGGATGCTTACAGTATGCCAAAAATACTGAACAAAAGTTCTTTTTTTTGTGAACAGAATTGTGGATGGTTAGAATAATTTAGATAAGAGGATTGTGGATGACAAAACCATGGGATGCCTCAAAACATCATTTGAGACAAATTACATGGGTAGGTGGGATACACTGAGTCTCTCTCATCCTATAATTACTTTGGTAATTACACTCACACTTGCAAACAGAGTACTCATTTATTCACACACATCATCATCATCACGAGTAACTATCACTTCTACATTAGATGTAAATTAAGACAGTTATGGTATTGTGATTTGCAGATGGAGAACTCTATTCCTGGGGCCAGAATAATCTAGGTCAGCTTGGTCTGTCTCATAAAGAAGGACCACAGAAAGAGCCGGCTCTTATCAGATCGCTTGTTGGAAGCCCTTTAGTCCATATCACTGCAGGAGGACATAACTCTGCTGCTCTTACTCACGCTGGCTTCCTGCTTACATGGGGCTCAAATAAGTATGGTCAGTTGGGATTTACGCCTAAGGCTGATCCTAATTTGAGGTAAGATATTATAGTTAATTGGTTATAATTAACCTTTAATATTTGGATAATTTCATGTCATAAGCATGAAAATCTGTGCTTTTCCAGTCACATTTGTTCTAGCTATTCCTTTGAGTGCAATATAAATACACTACATCCATTATTACTTGATAATGGATGATAAATGCTGTTTGCTTCAGCATTGCTTCCTGTAGCAATGCTGCACATAAGTCTGTGCAGCATTGTCACAGGAAACACAGAGGTCCCTCCAAAAAGAGACACTTAATACATTCAAAGCTGATTTGTTTTGTCCTATGTTTCTGTTGGCTGTTACTGTAATGAGTGAGCATAGATCCCCTGCTCTGTGCCTCAGTGAGAGGGCAATGTTTTGGGCTCTTGTCCTCGGCAGGCATTTATTGACTTGTAAATGCCTGGTATGACTGAGCCACAGGAACTTCCTGTGGCTCATTTCAACAGGAAGCTGGCCATAGTTGATAGGCCAAATTGGATAATTTTCTTCAATAAGTGCCGGGCAAACCGGGCTGTGGTGGATATGTGGGCCTGCGGGCCGCTCCAAGCAACAGCATGTTGGACCCAGCTCACAAGTCAAGCCTGGCCATGGGCTGGGCTTAAGGTGTAGAAGAACTCCAAGAACCCCATCCAGGTACAATCCAGGAAGCTTTCTGCATGTGTGTGTGTTTTTGAAGTGAATCATTACTATTGGGGATGTTTGGCTGAAACTACACTATGATAATTGTTTGAGTACCCCTTTCAGTATTATTAACCTCCTTTCATTTAATGGGTTTCCCATTTCTTCTGGGACATGCCTCCCCAGCCCATAAAATGGGATACGGGGTAATAATGATAGATATCAATCACTCAGTCAGGCATTGTGTTTTGTGAACAGTGACGAAATACTGCTCTTAAGACGTTGGCTATTTTTTTGTCGGTGAGGCCTGATGTCGATTTTCTAATCCTTTAAATAAGTTATAAAATATAAGAGAGATGTTTGTGAAGGTCTTTAAAGGGGGTCAGTAATGCAGTGTGTGAACCATTTGTTCATTATTATAGAAGATTAATTATAGTAATGTTTATAATTATAGTAATGTTTATTTACAGTGACATTCCAACACTGGTTCCCAATCTGGAGTCGTATTCTGAGCCACTGCTTTATGTTGCACTTGGTGAAGGTCATACTGCTGTTCTCGACTCACGTGGAAAGGTGGGTGCAGTACTAGGGTCATAAGAATAGACAAAACATCAAATGGATTATAGGCCCATGCAATGCATCTCCTATTTATAGCAAATCATACCCACTCGCATATAGTATAGTACAGTATATGTCTGATCTGTTCTTGAAACAATCCAGTGACTCAAATTTTTCTAGGCGGGATCCTTAGGTGGCTCCTTAGGTGACAAGCTCCACATAATTTAATCCATGCCAGACCCTAACGAGTCGTAAATAATCCTACAGTAGACCAGAAACCAAAACCTGGCCGTCCTTGTAGTCACAAGGAGCAGGGAAATGCAATTTACCCTAACCAGGAAGCGCCATAAGAAAGGGTGGCGAGTCAAAACAGTTATCAGCTAGGTAAACAAAACTTAGAAAACAGGACAGTGAAGCTCTGAGATTCATGAACCACTAGGTGGTGGTGAAGCAATTCTAGCATTATTACCACCTGTGCACCAACAGGACATGCACACCTTATACCACCAGCCATACCCGCTATGTCATATTTGTGGCATGAACACAAGTTCTCTGTTACACTCCTGTTTTTGCTGTAGTGCTCTTTGTGTTAAAAGTTTTCAGATACTGTATGTGGTGGCCATCCTGGACTGAATTTAGTCTTTCAGGGGTCATTTGCTGGTGTATATATTTTGTATTTTAATATTTGCTTCACTATGCATGTATATTTATGCCTCACTTCTTGCATGGACTATGTCCCCCACATAGTCTTGAACTGCATGTGCCTAGACGTGTCATCCCAAGGTGTTTGCTCATGTTGCCATTTCATAGCCAGAGTTTCTCTGGTGGGTTCAGTGGCTTTTTCTGAGAGGCCTGTTCATTGTTGAAATGAGCCTATACCTTGGTGGTGCATGGCTCTTTGACTCCTCTGCAAGGCCTTGTGGATGGGGGGCAGTCATAGGTATCAACCCAACAGGCAGCATTGTGGAGGCTGAAATTTTGAGTATCCCCATATAGCAAAGGTGACAAAGACCTTTTTGACTCAGAGTGGGCTCAGCAGGCCATTCTTTATGCATAATTGACCACGCCAGAGACCGGCTGGGAAAAGCCAGGGTTTGCTGGTAAAAAACCAGAGGTGCTCCCAGGCACTGTGGACTTGCCAAAGAGAATGAGAACTATGAGGAGCCTCCCCCCCAGCCCATGCTTCATATGATGCCTGTGGTGTGCCGTACAAACAAGGCATGCGAGTCCCAAGTGCAACTCACAAAACTGTTTAAATGCCCTCAACCACAGTCCTGAACAGAGGCATCGAATGATCCTGAAATACCTGTGGTAAGGCACTCTATCCTAGTGGCCTGGCCTGGAAAGGACAAACCAACCCCCCGAACACACCAGAGAAGAAGCCGTAAGTGCAAGGGCAGCGCTAGATGAACACTCCAGGTGGGGCGAAATGTACAGGCAACTATCCTTACACCAATTGTCTGTTCACCTAGTAGTGATTAGGAACCTCGGTGTTAGTCGACTGTTGTGGGTGGCATTCTGGGGAATGGTCAAATGCTGCATTTATCCGAGGTATACTCAAATTTCCCACAAAATGTCGCAAGGCACAGTACAAGGAAAATTGCTGAAAGGCCACATATGAAACTGCCGCAAGGCAAAGAAACTAGTGCTGCAAGGCCACTGCAACAAGTGGGCCGCAAGGTCCCAGAGTCCAAAAAAGGGTTCACCCCGAAGTCAAAGAGCGGGTTAACACCCAAACAAAGTACAATAACTACCGAAGGAAGTAACTGCTGGATGCATGCAGTTCAGAACACAAAAAGCCAAGTCCATGTAACAAAACTGGACAGAATAACATACTTGTGAAGTAAATACTATTGTAGAATGATACAGTAGCAAAAGGTCCCCCGCAGGACAAGTACCAGTGTTGTGGCTAGAGTTCCCAGCCAGTTTACCTGTCTGCAAGCCAGGGATCTGGTTCTTTCCCCAGATGGCCATATTCTGGGTATGGCTGGTGCTCTTGCAAATTGTTGAACCAGTCCTGCTTTCTATTTCTGCACCTCTGTCTTGGTATAAATTTTGTTGTATATAGTACCAGATGTGTATATATTATTTATTTTAGAATAATATCAGCTGTTTATGCTCAAATTTTTTTTAACATTTGTCTAAAGATTTGCCATGAGACAATCACTAGGAAGAAATGTGCTTAGAGAACAGGATGTGCAGATTAAACCTTACAACTTTGGAATAGAAAGAGAAGAGTTGCCGGTAATAACCAGTTACAGTTAACAAGACACCCAGAGTGATGCATTAGTACATCAAATTTTAATGATGTTATAATACGTAATAAATTCTTGCCAGAGAAGTCGCCATATTTTCTGATTAATAGTAGACAATGCAATTTGAGAAGTCATGGGTTTTTGGTGAAGCCATTATCATGTAGTAACCAGGTTCTGTTGAGCTTCAAAAACTATGAAGATTAAAATTTCAGGTTTGGACATTTGGATACGGTCGATACGGTCAACTTGGTCATGGTACATATGATAATGAGAGCGTTCCTCGGACTGTGCTTGATCTCTGTGGATCAAGAGTCAGCCAAGTTGCATGTGGAAGGTGCCATACAATTGTATACATTCCATCTCAGGTAAGTAGTCATTTTTTTTCAGTTTTTTGTGTGTGTAGTGTGCCATATATTTATGCTTAAAAGGCAAGATTTTTTGTAGTGACTAATTTATATACTGTATATACATACTGTACATGCATGCATACATATATAACAACTGACAGTGACAACTGTCGAGACCTTCCTTGACTCTGTCCCAAGTAATTTTGGATGAATCGTGAGATACTCTAAATGGCGCTGGGTGTTGGTGCAGCTGGGGTCTTACAGGAGGAGAGTGGTCCTTCTGGCTCCTTGATGGCCGGCCCAGCCTTGGTTTAAGGTGCTGCTTGCTTGGTGTTCAATCCCAGGTGTTTTTCCGTTGCTCCGCCTCTTTCAGAGGGTTGGGCAAGTGACATACCTTGCTTCCTTTGATCTTTTCTTCTGCTCTACACTTCTGAAGTTTTTTATATGTATTTATTGCCACGTGTATTGTGATCAGGTGACTGGTTTGATGGTGTCCCTCCTTAAGTCATCTTCTTGGCGACAGTATGGTGGGTCTCTTGGTGGTCTTCTCACCATTTTCTACCCCCTTCGTTGTTGTCCTTTGGTTTTTGAACTGATTGTTTTGTCCTTTCTTGGCTGTTTCTTGATCAGCGTCATATGCTGAATACTGTTGCCTCTTATCATGCGGCGTTGGTTGAGCTGCTCCAACTTTGCCTTCGGGATTGATGTATGTCTGGCCCCATTTTACAAACTTTCTCCTGCTCTATTTCACCTCCGGCCTGCTTACGTGCCTCCTGAGCCTGCCTGATCTCTGGATCAGGTTCTTTATATTCTCTATTCTACTCACTTTACAATGACCCCTTCAGTCCATGATTGTCTTGAAGGCTTTGTTTTTGCTTTCTTTGGCCTCCGGTTGTCAGGTGGGTGAACTTCATGCTCGTCTCAGGCACTGAGGGTTTTGTTCTTTTGGCCCTGGTAGGCACTTTGTTCAGTTGCAGCCGGCTCCTCCTTTTCTGGCGAAGAACAAGTCGGCAGGCTTCCAGAGGGGTCCTTTGGTCATGGGTGCTTGGTTGATTTGGCTGGGGGTGCATCATGTGCATTGTCTGGTAGCATGATCAATGTGGACCTTGGGGAGCTCCAAAGAGGACCCTCCAGAAAGCATTTTATTACATTCATCAATGGATTTTAATTTTCACATAAAATAGGCAGAGCAATCATTGGCAGATAATTTCACAAATAAATTGTAACATGTATTTGATAGTTATTTGCAGTCTCAGGATATAAATATTGTTATGAATTATCCATTTTGACTGCCACAATGGATAGAGTTGATGAACATTTCCATATCAGAATTATAACTGCAGTGTTTAATAATTATTCATAGTATGCATAACATAGGGTAGAACTATCACTGGCAATCAAATTGGTTTCAAAATTGTATATACCCAGTATATAATCATTATTGGACTCAAACATGGAAAATGATTACTAAGAACTATCTCGCCAATTGGTAAGCGAATGAGACAGTTGAGGGAGGGAGGGAGTAAGTGAATGAATGGGGTAAAGTCAACAGTGGCTCACTGCCTCCCCATACCATGGCTATGGTAGCAGCTCCTAATTCCTAACTCTTATCATTTTTGGCACCATGCTTCCTGTTGCAAGACTTACTGTAAATTGTCAAGGCAAATACAGTACACCACAGATAATGATTTTTCGTTTTTGTTTTGGCTGGGAATTGGAGCCTGTGTACATATGTACTTTTGGCTTGTTTGAAGGTCCTCCCAAGATGTAACTCCACAACAATTGCCTAACTCCCAGGTAAATATTTACTGCAAGGTGAATAGAGGAATTAGGTGAAAGGAAATGTGCCCAACCATTTCTGCCCCATCCAGGAATTGAACCTGGGATCCTCGACTGAGTTGAGAATGAAGCCATCTGTACTACGAGACCCTTAATCCTTGCACTGCTCACCTGGTACATGTAACACTCCTCTAGTGCACCCCTAAAAAATAAACTAAATTTTTTTTTCTTCTTTCAAATTCAGTATTGTTAAAATTCTTAACCTGATCACAGGAAACTAAACCAAATAAAAATTGTATGTAGCTTGCTTTGGTGGAGCGAAGAAATATTGTGATGTCATCGATTCTCTCTCACTGGTCACGGTCCTGATCACTAAATCTTGAATATGATTAATTTTTCACATCACTTTCTAAAGGCACATGTGGTCTCATTGCATGATGTGCAAAGGCAAAAACTACAGCTGCATGCTATTACTTTGTCTTGTTTTTGAAACATTGTCACCAGAATTGGGGGTTTACTAATACTGTAACATAAACCTTACACATTATCTTTTTCACTGTCATGGCCTTCTATGTCACTTTCATCAATGAATAACTGCAGATATTTCTTTAGTCATTATTAAGTGATGCTGTGTTGCACAAACTGCATGGGAGTGCTGAGCTGCAGCAACATGTACTGTCCATGGTGGTTGACCCTTGGTTGCTATAATTACCGAAGTGTAATTACAGGACGAGAGCCATTCTTGTATGTGGTGTCCTGTCTTCCCAGTACAGTACTGTCATATGATGCTTTGAAACTATTGACAGTTTTGGCATTCACTACCTTCTCACTTAGCTTGTTCCAACTGTTTTCCACTCTGTAAAAGAGAATTTTCTAATGTATTTTCGGCAGCTTTGTTTCCTTGGCTTGAATTTGAGCTCTTGTTCGTGAAGATGCAGGTTTCAAGAATACAACTACTGTCATTTTTGTTGATTCTTGTTAATATTTTGTATGTAGTGATCATATTACTTACCTCTTTTTCTTCTAGCTTTGGTATATTTAACACCTTTAGCCTCTCTTCTTAGTTCTTCTTTTTCAGTTCCAGTTTATTGATGATCTTCTTGAGATATGGGAACCATACAACCACTGCATATTCCAATTTTGGTCTCACAAACGTTGTGAATGTGTTAGTACCAAAGCTCTCACACCCAGGCTGAGTGCCCACAATATTTTTCAAAGGTGTCGTCTAATTACTGGAGACCTGAAGAACAGGATGTGAGCCCATTGTACCTGCATGAGCTTTAAATCTTATGCTTGGCCTAAAATCAACCCTGGTTGTGCGTGCCACTGATACAACAACCCTGGTTGTTATACGCAGTTGAAGGGGGTTAAATAATGCGATAATTAACAAAAATATTGTAGACTCGGCCAGCTGAGCAGGTCTGGTGTTCAAAGGTAATAATGAATCGCTTTTGCCTGTTTTGCAAATATTGATTTTAATACTATAATTTGATATTTTAATTTGTAAGTCAGTTATATTTAAAAGATTTTATGCACGGTTCAGTAGTTCACAATTAGGTGGCAAGTTGCTAATGCAGGCACATCCTGGTTCAGTGACAGCTTAGGCAAATAATCCTCACAGAAACAAGCACTTGTTTGATCCACTGAACAATTTGTATTTAACATGAACTTTTTGGCTCGTGCAGGAAATCTAACGAGCGAGGGTCATTAGAGCGAGTGGCCCATTATATTGATATTGGGGTTTCAAACTATTTATAGTACTGAAGTATTACTGAATTGGTGTTGGTCAAAATATTCGTATCGGTTCACTTCTAGAATATTATACAGTATGCCGGACATTAATTCCAGTTAGTTAATTTTCAGAATTTCTCCAGCATTGAAATGTAAAGATTTAAGAACTTTAATTTAGTCCATTTGAACTGGAATATATTATATTGGACATCTTCAGTTTATGGCAGTCTTGGTTGATTGCTGTTTACAGATATGTAATCCTAAGTTCTGCATTTTGTTTGGTCTTTTATAGTACACTGTAATATTTTACAGGAGAGGGTTGCTGGCTCAACTGGAAAAAGAACAGTTGGTGCAGAATTATATGACTGCCAGCTTGCGTTGGCAGAGATGCTCAGCTCTGTGGGGCAGTCGACGTTCTCTGTTACCTGCTGCCAGAATGTTAGTTGATTTTTTTTGTATCTAATTTGATAATTAATAAGAGTTGAGTATAATGAAATGGCCAATTCTAGGGGTCTTTCAGTGGCTGAATTGTTGCTTATTTCTGGGAAGTTCTTTTGCTATTTTGTGGATGTAGGTTGCAGTTTTCAACCAGACAGTGGTCTGTTTTGTTTTGCCTACCTTTCTGGGTGCCTTCCCTGGTCTGGCAAGTATGATATACTGTACTGTACTTTAAATGTAATGTGTTCATAGACCATTGCTCCCTGCGCCTCTCTGAGATCAGGTTCTGGCTCTAGTCCCTGGTAGGTAACAAGAACTCTGCAACTGATGACTCCAAATAATATAACACTATACACAGAATAATCACACTAACATGGGTTATCAATGAGAAAATCTGTAGCTGTGATGAGGATTCAAACCTATGCGGTGTTTAGTCCCACACACACACCCCTGATGCTGAAAGAGGAGCATCAGAGGTAGAACATTCCTAGATAACAACCAGAGTGATGGGGGGGAACTGTGTGAAAATCCTGGTCTGGGTTTAGTGGAAGCCTCAGGAATCTGTCGTGTGTTCAGCAGAACTCCAGGATGCAATCCTTTGACCATGTCGTGGTCGGATTGACTGGAGAATGTGCTAGGGACTACCCACGGCATAGGTTCGAATCCTCATCACGGCTCCTGTGGATTTTCTCATAGCACTGTATCAGTATGGATAGTTTCAAGAAGCCTCCGGGGACTCAACCAGAAACTGGCATTTCATTACATTCGACGCTGATTTTTTATTCCTTGCTCCAAGACCCATTTGTCTCAAGTTGTCTGCCGTGTCAAGTCTATTCAGCATGTGGTCTGCCATCAGATTATGAAATGCTGAAGCTTTCCAGCTTTGTCGGCTATATTTTTTTAATGTGTGTGTTTGATATTTGAGCTCGGTGGTTTTGGCAGTCTAACAGGATTTCGGTAGCTTTATCTATTTAATGTGCTGGGGCCCTGCAGGACTTTTGTGGCATGGCATTAGGTAAGGTACCTCTCCTTAACTCTCGCCCTTTAGGGGTATTAGTTTCTGTGCTCCTCTTTCCCTGGTGAGTCCCCCTTTTCATTTTGCTCTGTGGTTAGTTAGAGATGACAAAAATGACTGAGCTCAGTTCAATGATTAAGTAGGTTCAGAAAGAATGAGCCAGCCAGAGGTGTAAAAACCAAGTGTAGAGTGTGATGAAATGGCTCTTAGTGATGAGACCTCAGTGGCTTCCTGGACCGTTCTTTTCCCTGTCAGGTGTGTCGATTTGTCTTTGGTCGTCTCTTGTCTGAAGGGGCTCGTTGGCTGAGCCAGTAGCTCTCAAGTGCTGCCTCCTGGTGGCTGGCAGGTGGTGTGAGAAGGTGAACAACTCAACTACTGGGTGGAATTTTGTTCTTGTTTAGATTTACCTTGCTGATGTTTGTTTTGCTTCACTCTACCTTGCTGATGTTTGTTTTGCTTCACTCTACCTTGCTGATGTTTGTTTTGCTTCACTCTACCTTGCTGATGTTTGTTTTGCTTCACTCTACCTTGCTGATGTTTGTTTTGCTTCACTCTACCTTGCTGATGTTTGTTTTGCTTCACTCTACCTTGCTGATGTTTGTTTTGCTTCACTCTACCTTGCTGATGTTTGTTTTGCTTCACTCTACCTTGCTGATGTTTGTTTTGCTTCACTCTACCTTGCTGATGTTTGTTTTGCTTCACTCTACCTTGCTGATGTTTGTTTTGCTACACTCTACCTTGCTGATGTTTGTTTTGCTACACTCTACCTTGCTGATGTTTGTTTTGCTTCACTCTACCTTGCTGATGTTTGTTTTGCTTCACTCTACCTTGCTGATGTTTGTTTTGCTTCACTCTACCTTGCTGATGTTTGTTTTGCTTCACTCTACCTTTCTGATGTTTGTTTTGCTTCACTCTACCTTTCTGAAGGCTGTTCCTGGGTGAGGTTGATGAGATACCCTGCTCTCTCTGCCTCTGTGTGGGGGTCGCTGATCCCTGGTAGGCTTTTATAGACTTGCAAAGGCCTGGTTTGACTTATTCGGTTGCAGCAGCAGCAGAGGTGTAATTCAAAAACTGCAGCATTGCAGCAGAGCGGCTAACTACAGGGACCCAGCAAAGTCCTACCAGAAAGAGGCATTCAGTTACGTTCAAAACTTGTTTTTTTTTTTATAACTCTTGCTCAAGTTCTTTATAAACCTACTTAGTCATTGGATTGTGCTCAGTTTTTTGTTCTCTTTAGGCTGCTTTTATAGAACTGTCTTCCTACTTGCCTTGGCATCAGATATCTGCATCATTGAGCTTGATTCTCATCACTGGAAATGGGATTGTTTTCCTTTTATTCTGAAGGATCATTCTCTTCATATGCCTCCTACTTTGTTTCTTGCCAAGAATAAGACTTCAGCCTTCCAAAGGAGGCTGCTGCTGCTTAATGTTTTTTTTTTTTGGCTGGGTGTTTATCACACCCTTTGTCTGGTGGCTGCGGTCAGCTATATCATCAGGCTATTTGTGCTTCCCGCAAGAGCACCCTCTTCCTGATTCCATGGGTTGTGGATTCTGTTCCATGGCTGGGCTGTGGTAGATCATCCACTTGGTAGTGATACTCAGCCAGCTGGATTTCATTCTTGTACTCATTATGCATGGAAATGTTTCTTGTTGGCAGCATTCATAGCCTAAGTTTTCACTGCTAGTATTAAGGCTTCTGACAACCCAATGAGATGTAGGTCACTCATCACCCTTGGGAATATCCTGCAGCCTCTGTTCGGGTCTGTGACTTGGGTGAGTGTCTTGTCACTGACGTCCACTGCCACCCTCCCGGGAGTTCTGGTATTCTGGCATCATCCACAATTAAGGCCCTTTCACTTTACCACTCTAGTTTACTCTTATATATTATATATAATATGTATAATTATATTATATATATACATATATATAATCTATATCTATATATATAATATAATGTAATTACATATATACATACCCCCCATATCAGCAGTGGTTACCTTAGGCGAGGGCTGCCAACAAATGGTAATTAAGGAGAACTGGATGGTGAGTTATTTGATGATGGTTTGGCTCTCCTGAGTTTTTCTTGGTACAGTTCTGGGGTGATCTCCAAAACTTTCTTAGAGAGATGTGTTTTCATTGAGGGGAAAAACACAGAATTTGGAGTAATGCTTCCTTCTGGTGGACAAAGTTTAAGAATAGTGATCCTTGCGTGCAGTACCATGTGCTCCAGGAAGCGACTGAGATGCTCCCTAGAAAGTCTCTCTTTTGTTATTCAATGCTTTATATTTCTTTCAGGGTCAGCTGTATGCATTTGGCCAAGGCTTGTCGGGTCAACTGGGAATCAAAACACCACACAACCGCAATTTGCCCCAGGTAGTAGTTGGGCATTGGCTTTCACCACGTGGAGTCAGTCTTTTGGATAACGATGAAGACGATATGCCAAAAATATACGTTAAGAAGGTAAATTATATACTGTACTCTTAAGATGGATTTAGCTGAGCTGATGCAGAATATTTTTTTTTTAAAGTATTAATTGACCAATATTCCCAATAAAATCATAGAGCCAAAGAATTTGGCTCTATGATTGCCTGTTTATCATATCATAGGCTATCATAGGTTGCGTGTTTAACTACTATATTGTGTTTGGTTACTTGACATTGCTAATCTTGCGATTGAAGCCCTGTACTTGTAAACATTAGAACCTCTGGATGTACAGTACATTATGCAGCCCTCTTGTATCTTTGAGTGTATCTTAATTGACTTGAGTCAGATGATGCATTTTCATCTCGAGGTGTAGATGGGAATAGTAGCCGCCTCACACCTGATGGCCCAGGTGTTGCAACATTGTCACCAGTAAATCTTCTCTCATGTACATCACCAACATGTATGATGTCATTTTGGAGAGGCCAATTCTTATACTCAAAATTCAGTAGTGACCAAATGATTACCTCGTGGAACTGGAGCAATGAGTTTCTTTGTATCAGTTGTGTAGTGCAGTACTTTTATGACACAAAAGCATTATGGATAGACATTTGCAGACAGGAGAACGTGATTGTCTTTGTCCACTTGTGACATTTCCGTGTAAAATGATATCTGATCATTTGGTCGAAGTGATCAACACCTTTCATGTGGTTATTGTAGGAATAGATTGCGTTTGGTTTGTTCACAGTGACCTGTTGCAATGAAGATGTTCCGTCAGGTTTGCGTACTTGTTTCCTTTGTTCCACTTGTTGTGTATCTGCATTGTTGCAAGTTGTGATGAGTGAAGCAACTTGCTTATCTTTCCACTGAATTATAAAAGTATTGTCCTTCCGTCGGAATACAGTTTTATCCACTGCTAGTTTACCATTTTATTTGCTTGTAGCTGAAGATCTTTTGGTGCACCACGCTGCAATCTGAAAGTACCACAGGTGTATATACCTTGTTCAAGCAGCTTTTCACTCATTTGAACTGAGTTCTAGTAGTTATCCATATTGGCTGGCCTGTAGAGATGCACTGAGATCTGCTTCAAATTTATCTATTCTAATAACTTCTTCAAATTTGTTCCCTTATATTTTTCGTTTTATTTCTCTAGTTTTGTGATTTGTCCTTGTTATCTTACCTTGTCAGCAAACCTGTGGCCAGACTCATGAAGCAATTACACAAGCACTTAGGAACCTGTACATCTCTTCTCAATCTTTGGCAGCTTTGTTTACAATTATTAAACAGTTAATGAGCTCTGAAGCATCAGGAGGTTGTTTATAACAATAACTAAGAGTTGATTGGGAAGTTTCATGCTTGTAAACTGCTTAATAAATGTAACCAAAGCTGTCAAAGATTGAGGAAAGATGTACACGTTCGTAAGTACTTGCATCTGGCCCCTGGAAATTTCCTTATCCTTCTGCAAAATACTTTCTTTTCAAGTAATAATTTCAAGGTCTCCATTTTCCTTGTTCTAAATTAAGAATTATTTTTTCATAATGTTTTAGTAAATATGCAGTAATGACTAACCTACCAAGAAAACCACCCTTCATTATCTCTTCCACCATGAAACCCTTCAAATCTCCGTACACCTTTGTTGCCCGAGACACCACTCGGTCATCGAACTGTTCCACAGTATTTAGGTAACTGGAATTTTCTGGATCAGCTGGCTGGCTAGAGGGAATTATCAGGGGAAAGTGCCAAGCCATTACGACTATATAGCACTGGGAAGGGGGTCAGGATAAGGATTTGGGATGGGATGGGGGACTGGATTGGTTTTCCATTCCATTCCCTTCCATTCCAAACTTTAATTCCTCAGTCAGTGATTGAAGAGGCAGCACGGTCAGGTGTGTTTGACAGCAGGTGAGCTGGTTGGAGTGTGTGTTTGCTGTGTTAGTATTATTGTTAGGTAAATGTCACCTTAAAAGCTTTATTAAGTTAAAACCTATAAGGTGAGAAAACATGGAATTGGAAAAGCGAAAAATAAAATAAACTATTGACTAAATAAAAAAAAAAATATTCATTACCATTAGTTAGTTGATTTGTCTCGCAATCATGCTAGGAACAATCTTTAACTGTCTCTCTAAATTTGGCTTTGCATGACAGATATTTGCTGGTGGGGATGCAAGCATGGCTGTTGTAATAAAAGAACCAGAAATTGCTGATGATTACTGCAAAAAGCATCCACATCAACTTCCTCTGAAAATAGAAGAGTCAAAGATAAACCAGATGATGGGAATTGGGGAAGAGGACATGATTGATGATGATTTGTTTACGTGAGTAGAATTTCTTGTAAAAGTTTATTTGGGAGTCGGGACTCAATATTTTCAGTTAACATTTGAATTCTCTTTGTGTAAGAACAGTTGTACCTTGATTTATACAGGGTTGTGTTACTGGAAAAGGTCATTCGGCAAAATGGAGAGAATGGTTTTGCTGATGATTTCATTGTTTAAAAATATACTTCTTGTCCATATATTCTTCCTTGGATATAAAAAACGAGTTGCCTCGTATGGGCCAATAGGCCTTCTGCAGTTACCTTAATTCTTATGTTCCAAAGGAAAGAAGTGCTTAACATTATTATTAACCAATTTTAGGGACTTGCCATTTTTTTAATGTCAGTCTCTCATCATGAAGATAATTTTATGATTGTTCTATAATTTAAACCTTAAAGTGTAACTATGGAAATACACATGTCTGCCCAGATGTGAAAAAAAAAATATGTATTCTTCCCTTTAGAATGATTAATTTGGATGAAAAATATAAGGGAAAGTGAAGTAAATATCTGCATATTTACCTATAAAATATTTTATTATGAAATGGCTTAAGAGGGTGTTTAGATGAAGGGTGCTTTTGAGAGAGTTCCGTTTAGCAAAGTATAACAGATCCACAATCAGTTCTTAATTTAATGTTGACCAGACCACACACTAGAAAGTGAAGGGACGACAACGTTTCGGTCTGTCCTGGACCATTCTCAAGTCGATTGTGGCTTGACTTAAGTTAATGTCTTATTTTGTTTATACTTCAGGTATATGGAAACTGTATTTGGAGCTTTGGCATGCTGGAACTGTTCCTTTATAAAGGAGGGGGCTGACAAGCACAGTCATGGACTGGATTATAGACTGGCTGAAGAGTACATGGCAAAGCTTGGACGAATTCCTCGAGTGTCCATACAAGAAGTAGTGAGTTGTATTTTACATGTTTGTTTATTAAGTATCTCAAGTCGGGATACCTATCAGTTTTGTCCAAATAAATTGTGTACTTTTTGTTTTCCTGTATTTTAACAGTTTGTGGCATCAATGCAATATCTGGAGAACACCTTCATGCATTAACTTGAAACTTTTAAGACTTGTGTGTGTGTGATGGCACAAAGAATGTACTTAATGATATTGAGTCGTGAAGCCTATCGATGGCAGATTCTAAAATATTTTAAAAATCGTAAACTTAGCTGCTACTTTTAATAATTGCTAATCCGGATCATATGGTGCCCACCCTCTCCGAGTTAGCTGATGTCCAAATTAGCAGTAGTTGTTACCGGGATGGTCCAAAAAATTAACATATTCAAAATTTTGTTTATACCACAACCAACTTAATTTGTAATTCCACACACAATAAACATAAATTTACATACTGTAGTTATTGCAGTGGAGTGAAAAATTAGTTTTTCTTGAATCTAAAAAAGTGTAGTTTTTAATCCCTGACATGTATGCCAAAAGTATGAAAACAATTAATTGTGGGCGATTGCCACCATTTTTGGGTCGGTAACTGTGTAATGTTGAAGAAAATGAATAGAGAAATGAAAGAACAACATAGAGGAAGGAAGAGTGTCGGTGAATGGAGGAGAGTGAGGTGAAGGAAGAAATGGTGGAGAGTGAGGGAGATGGGAGGAGAGATTTCCTTTTTTTCTCTTTCGAAAGGGAAAGCTTCAAGAGAAAATGGGATGAGTGGTAGACTTATAAAGACAGATGGGGGTAGAGAAAAAGGAGTATAATTAGTAGAAAGAGTTAGAGAATGAGAGAGAGAGTAGATAGAAGTAGGACTGCTACCATCCATTCACACGTTTACCAGACAAGGAATGGAACTTCTCTCTGCTCAACAGTTATTATAATCAATGTTAAGACACTACAACCATGTAAAGCCTAAAGTTTCATTATCAAGTCTGAATATTTAGTAAGTACTCTTGAGAGTGCTTCCCACTCTAGCTTTCACTCTGCGTAAGTTTGAAATGAATCCAAGCTCTTAGGGGATCAGATTTAAAGATAATAAAAAATGACTTGGATATTATTATTTCTTTGACTTTGTAATGGTAAATCTATTAAAAATGTGACATATTTTAATTTATATCTTGCTAGTTTTATTGATCATTTACAATCCATTAAGTTATGAAAGAATTCAGAGTTGGAAACATTAAAGTTAAATTATGTGCAGGTAGTAATTTTCAGTTTTCATTTTCAGATCCAAAACAGTGTGCATAATATTGTAGGGTGTCTCCCTCGACAACCAATAAGTAGAGAAAGTCTCCGCTGCTTTGTTCTTCTTCCACTTTTTAAGGATTTCTTAGATGGACGACTCATGGCAAAGTTACAAATGCCATATGCTGAGGCCCTTCTAAACATACAGAAAGGCATGGCTGCAATCTTCAGTAAGTCATAAACTTAAAATTTTTATAGCAACGTTATAAAAGAAATAAAAGTAGATGAGACTAGTTGATAATAGTGCTCTAAGTGCATTGGCTTTATATAGAGCAAATAAGAATGCAATACATTAATAGATTAACATATGAAGTGCTGAAATTTATCTGGTAATGAGAAACATTTTCTGACATGTGCAAAGAAGAGAGAGTGACCCTTTGGTTATGCTAAGCCAAATCCTGTAATGTTTGACCAGGTCCTTTGACTTTCAAAACAAGCCAATAACTTGGTAAATGCTCTTGGCAATTGGCAGAAAAATCCAATATCATCTATTGCAGTAGTCTTAGCTTCAGGGAGTCGACCGGGTTCCCCACAGAAAACCAGCATTAAATGAATTGAAATGCCAGTTTCTGGGTGAGCCCCGGAGGCTCCCCGACACCCTCTCTCCCTCCAGTTGGCGACTTTTATCATTCAAGAACTGGCTGGTGGTGGCCCAGTTGATCCCTTCCTCTACAAGGAAGGGTGGGGTTGAGGGGAACAAAAGTTTGTCCTTTGCTTGTTTTCTTTGTGGGGGAGTACTTTTGATATTTTAAAAATGTAGGTCACATTTTTCAACCAGGCAGTAGTCTGTTTTGATTCGCCTACCTTTCTGGGTGCCTTCACTGGTCGATGACCTGTGCCTCAGGACTCCAATATACAGACGCCTTGTTTGGGGAAAAAAAATCTGTTGGCATCTGTACTGGCTGTGAGAGCCTCGGTACCGAGAGAGAGCGACCATGGCTGGTGCATGCAGCAGCAGCTCACAGTACCTCTGTGCAGCTAGGGAGCCACAACACCATTTAATAATGATAAATGAGAAAGAGGGAGCACCCAGCCATTGTGTCCTGCATCTACTCATCATGAAATGATTTTGTTCCTCCACAATATAACCATGTGGAAATGGATTCATTTTTGGGATTTTGTGACAGATATGTGACAATAACAGCAATTTTGTAGCTAGTCATGGCGAGATGTGTTGAATGTTGGAGGTATTGTCTTGCATCATGCAACTGCTGGTGTGGTCTGCTTGTATCATGTGGCTTTGTGCTGTTTTAATTTAATCACCATACCCTACCCACCAGAACTGCTTATTAGTTTGTTATGGTGCATAAAAATAGTGATATATATATATGTGTGTATATAGTACAATAACAGCAAGAATTCCTGCTCTCATCCTCCCTGGTAAGTCCCAAGTTTTCCATCTTTTCCCCTGGAAGCTTCAGGGGACCACTGGAACTTCCCCAGAAACCTGGGTTATTTGTAATGAAATGCCTCTTTCTGGTAATTTCAGTGGCTCTCTGCCGGCCTCCCATTCCCTACAAGGTACGTCAGTTCGTGGACTATCGACTCCGGATCGACCCAGTACAGACACGGAAACAGGTGCTCCAGGATAATGCTCCAATGCTGTTGGCAGCATTGTGCATTAGGGAGATTCAAACAGATCTGAATGAAACATTTTGGTTTTGAATGAATTGTTTGTGGAGTAGTTTGGTAGTGGTGGTGCTTTGTATTTATGAACAAATACAGTTGTCTGTATTGCTTTGCTTACTTTCTGGATGCTTTCTCAGTGTGAGTGATCGTAACAATCCCCAGCTCTCTGCGCTTCTCTGTGGTGGTCAGGTTGTGACTCTGGTCTCCGGTAGGCCAAACAGGACTCCTATGGCTGATGTGACTCGGTAGGGAAAGCCATCTCAGGGAGATAGCTTCAGAAAGCCACCAAGGGGCTCCTCCAGAAAAACAGGTACAAACAGAAATCTTTTTGGATTTATTCCCTTTATCAATACTACTGATACTGTACTGTTCTTTATTACAAATATCAATGCTGTAGTATATGGGAAATTTTGTAGATACTGTACAGGTATCTATAGTAATGTTTGTGTCTACCAGACTAGTTATACAGGTACAGTATGTGGGTGTCACATTGAAATAGAAATTATTGTGTATAACATTTGTATTTCTTTTCAGAGGTGTGGATGAAAGTTTTACCAAGAGATTTCACAATCAGGCTCATCACTATCTACAAGGGGGTTATCGTTCAGATACTCAGTGGTGCCAAACAGTCATCTGAGGTAGGTGTATATTAGATATTCATTTATTTTGTCAGGGACAGGAAGCCTGTGTTATTACCGAAGCGTAGTTACCAAAGTGTAGTTACAGGATGAAAGCTATGTTCATGGTGTCCCCCATTTTCCCAGTACTCTTTCATATAATGCTTTGAAACTTCTAATGGTTTTGGCATTCACTTCCTACTCACTTAAATTGTTTCAATCAAAGGTGTCATTTTTGCCACCTTTATTTCCTTAGCTTGAATTTATGACCTTGTTCTTGACGAGAGCACCGTGCTAGTCGACATATTAGGGAGTATGGTGGTATGCTAGCCAACATATAATGATGATAATACAGTTTATAATCAAATTTGAAACTCCTGTGCATACAGGGGCTCACATTAGCTTCCTCAGGCCTCCTATAACCATTTCAATTTCCTATAACCTTCATATGGCACCTAAAAGTGCCATATGATGCTCTGTGCACCCCTGATCAGGTGCCTTAAGGTGCTCTGTGCTGTGCAGGAGGTAAACAATACAGCCTGAGGGACTCGTTTATCATTTGATATAATCATACTATACATAGGCATGTAGGACAATTTTATTGCAAGTCTTGCTTTCCTTGCCCACAGATTGATAGGCGATCACTAATTTCAGCTTTAAAGATGTTAGCTTTCCTGCATGGAGAGAATTTCATGGAAGGAGCGAAAGCAGCCAGAATATCATATGAAGAGTTCTACATTCCTGAAATTGGTGAAAAGATTGACATCCGAACTGATTACCTCAACTGGATCAGCAGCAAAATCAGACCTGTTGCCAGAGCAGATGTAAGTACTATTCATCAAATTTAATCCAATGTAATTTTCTTTCAAATTTAAAAAAATTGACCGTGAAAGGCATAGCTTATCTCTCCCACCTCGCTGGCATCCCCTTTTCCACCGCTTTGCACCTTCAAACCTGTGTATTCCCTGACTCGTTGCTATGGCATATGTGCTTAATTTGCCTTATCTAATTCCTCCCTGGGTATACAGTGGCCTCCACATGATTGGTGTATTCCTAAGCATGTGGGCATGCCAAGGACATCCGCCATGAGTCTTCCACCCAGTGATAAAAGAGATAGGCCTTGTGCACTGCTTGGTGCACTGTGCACTGCAATAAGCCATTCAAGTCAGCCGTGGGAAAATCTTGAGACCATTTTCTCAGTCAAAACCTAAAGAAGTGGCCACACCACTTCTTCATGTGCGCTTGTGTGTACCTCAAATCCCATGAAGCTTGCATCCCCATACATAAATAAATGTCATGCTATACCTGTAAACAAATGTTTTTTCATGTATTTTTAAAATTAACATAATACAGCATTGTATAATAATACATCTTACTTTAATTTCAGAGTCCTATCTCATTTTGCGAGTATCCTTTCCTGTTTGATGCTCAGGCTAAGACACTGTTGCTTCGTGCTGATGCCACAAGACAGGTATGGGCAGATGACTCTTCACTTTTTTATATATACAGTAAAGTGGAATCTCCAAAATGTAGACATGTGTATGATTAAATACCCTTTACATCTAAATCTAAATAAAGAGAAATGTTTCCAGATTGCTCAACAAATACTGCACTTGAATTTAGATCCAGATTTTTATCACCTGCAGTAAATCTGGATCATTACATATACAGTAGTAATTTCTAGCTGATTGTATTTTTCTTATTTTTGCTATTCTTAGGTTTTTAATAGCAAATATACAAATAAATTTTGTACCTGTTTTACTGAACTTGAGCTGTTGTATAAATGATAAAATATAGTTTGTGACTTATTTTCTGCTATTGGCCTGTCCTACCATACCAGATATGGCCACACCACTAATCTTTCTGGTGGGCTGCTCACACCCAGGAAGGGTGGCCATGATTTTTTGTCAAGATGACATCTGTCATCTTGACATCTTATTTTGGGAAGCAGTTGAATGACCTGTTTAGGAAGATTATTTTCATTTGAGCGTCAAACCATATTTTTAGTAAAAGTAATTTTTTGTTTTCCTAGATGCAAGGGGCCATTCAAGAAGCAGTGATCAACAGCAACCCAATGTTGTGGTTATTTAATCCTGCCCAAGTACAGTTTCTGAATATAAACATTCATCGCCACAAAATTGTCGAAGATACGATCAACCAGTTACTTCACCATGGAATCGTCGATTACAAGCGACCCCTTAAGGTACTATTTTAAGTTATATTGCAGTATATTATTATTATTTGTTATGGAGCACAATCACATTTGTCCTTAAGAGTAACATTCAGAAACATCTGATTCTTATGAAACTTTATTTACAAAATATAGTTTACACTCCAGCCCAAGTTTTGGCAATTTAACCCAAAAGGAAATTGAACAAATAAAAATCCAAGAAAATAGCAACATTTAATATATTCCAAGATTAGTGAATCTAACCAATTCTAAATTGTTTTAATTTAGCGAACAGAATAGTTAAAAGTAACAGTCTGAAAGAGAATATTACATGCAAATATATAAGTTGTTATAAAATTGTTAAATGTGATTATAATTTCACTTGAAAAGTGCTCTTTTTGATTTGTAAATGAAAGTATAATTTGAAAATTCCAATTTACACTTTCCAAATATTTGATGAACATAATACTGTATGTAAAATTCACGAGAATTATCTTTTGACAAAACCAAGAATTTTTCAAGATGTTCAGTTGTACTTTTTAGTAGAATGACATCAGTGATTGCACCACACTGATGTGACCCATTAACATCTGGTGTAGTACCCAAGACTTAAAAAGATTTTGGTGTGTGGCTTAAGGAGCTAATGAAAACCTCATCATACAGAGGCACAATTTTATTGTATTTAGTGTTAGATTTATCCTTTGAAAAGTCAAGAATGATCTTGTAGGCATTATGAATTTATTTTGTTTCTAATAAATTTTTACCCTGCAGGTACATTTCATTGGTGAAGAAGCCGAAGATGCTGGAGGGGTTCGCAAAGAGTTTTTCCTTCTTCTTTTGCGCGAGATACTTAATCCAGACTATGGCATGTTCACGGAGTACCCAGAAACGCGTAGCATTTGGTTCAAGGAAGGCTCTCTAGAAGTACCTGCTACATATGCTCTAATTGGTAAGCAGAAATGTTATAATTTTATGCAAATTTACAGTTTGAACCATTTCTGCTGAATGTTAAATTTTAATTATTAGCATAGAGAAAGTTAGTCAGTTCCCAGTTTTGTATGATCTCTAAATGTACTCTCTAGAAAGGAGATGAGAGGTATCAAATAATATATACAGTACATTGAAAATACTGGAGGGTCAGATCTCAAATTTACACAGTAAAACGGCAACATATTGGAGTGAATGATATGGAACGAAATACAAAATAGAACCATTAAAGAACAGAGGTGTCATAGGCACAATCAGAGAACACACTATGAACATCAGAGGTCCATGGATGTTAAACATCTTCCCAGTGAGTATAAGAAATATTGCCGGAACAAAAGTGGATATCTTCAAGAGAACACTGGATAGTTTTCTTAAAGAAGTGCCGGACCAACCGGGCTATGGTGGATATGTAGGCCTGTGGGCTGCTCCAAGAAACAGCCTGTTGGGCTAAGCTCTCACAAATCAAGCCTGACGCCAGACAGGGCTTGGGGAGTAGAAAAACTCCCTGAACCCCATCCAGTTACAATGCAGGTGCAGTCCACTCTGTGGAAATAAGCTGAAGCAATATAAGCAGTCTACAAGAACGTTAGACATACCCCACACATGAAGTATGCAGAGAACCAAACCTCAAAGCCAGAAGCCCAGCTTCAAAGAGGGAAGGACTGGTGCAACTTCATGTGATTCAACAAATGAACCACCAGGGAGCAGTTGGAATGGTGCCAGATGATAGACCCTGGAGAAAGATATGCTCTCTACAAGGGCTGCCATAATACTTCAAACTTGTGAACTGTGTTGTGCGCTTGACACAACAGGATCAACTACTGACTCTAGGAGGCCTGGTTTGCATTGGTCATAAAGCTCAGATATCCATGAAGACATCGAATAATGGAGAGGAAGGATGGCATCGTGGAACCAAACAATGAAAAGTTTGAAGAGGAAGCCAGCCAGTTGGAAGCCATTGGCAAGAGCCAGTGAAGGACAGGCAGGGTCTGAATCGGACAGTTCTGTCAATGGCAAATGGGCAGAACCAGAGGAACTTGAACAATGCCTTTTGCCAAAATTTGCCCAAGAGAAAACTGTACAGGCAAAGTTCAGCAGGCTCCTGTACAAATACAGTTCTTGATCAACCGACGAGTCATCCTGGGCTGATCCAACACAAATCTATTTATATTTTTTTAGTGCTCTTGTTGTGTCCATTGCTGATGGCTTAGGGAAGTTAACAAGACACAGAGCAGAAAGGCATTTTATACTACTACTCAAATTTGGCATGATTTCCTATGTAGTGCAAAGTTATAATTTAGGTCAACAGGGTGTTGCTTGGCATTCTTCTTTGATATAACAAGTTGAGCTCAAGGTCTTTGTCAACTTACAGTATATGTATACTAAATAAAGCTATGGATTTTTACCAGAAAAGGGGCAATTTTTATTTGGATGGCAAAAATGATTTTCTTGTTTTATATAGTAAACATCTTAATGGCTATATACAATGTTTCATTTTTGTATGTAGTTTACCTTAATGGTACTGTCGATGAATGGATGATGGTGGATGGTTTATGGTGCTGTTGTAAGGGTCTTATTACAATATGTTGCAACCATGGTTTCAGGGATTGTGTGTGGCCTTGCCATCTACAACTTCACCATCATCAATCTTCCTTTTCCTTTGGCTCTCTACAAGAAGTTGCTTGGTCAGTCAGTTGGCCTCGATGATCTTTTAGACGTAGATCCTCACCTTACAAGGTAAAGTGTTTAATTTTGTGTCTTTCAGTACATACTCATTTTTTTTATATAGACAAAAGTAAAACCCGTCTAACATTTTTTTAATGTGAGTGTATAGAAATGGAGTAAAAGGGCTTCCCCACACTAGAGGAGGCCCAAGGTGTATGAAAGATTCATTTGCTCAAAGAAATCACATTGTGATGTATCACTGAGAAAATCAGTAAGAGTCATGAGGAGGATTCGAACCTATGCTCTAGGTATAGCAAATGCCTTAGATTGCATTGCTTTTACCATTGTTATGAATCCCTATGTAGCCTCATTAGCACTTTCGCTCGGGGATGACGCAGCATTGCGTCATCCGTTTACTGGCGGTAATGCCGGGGATGACGCAGCATTGCGTCATCCACTTTAAAAATTCGCCAAAAATCAGGTTTTTATCCGATTTTTTTGGGACTGGTTTTAAAATGTGCGCCGATGTCTTCCCATTTTCTTTGTTGAGCCTCGTGGCCCTCAGGCGGCTTGGCACATGCCGTGGGCCCATTGTCTTTGCTCCACTGTTGTGACCAATGTCGCCTCCCCTCGCATCTCAAACGTGTGAACATTTCGGCTATTTCCCGTGGCTATATTTCTTACTGCGGCTTTAGAAACTATCTACGCTTACTCCACGATGGATAGTAATCATGAACAAGGCCCTTCCAGGAAGAAAATTGCGAAAGAAAGGCTTGAAAAGGGTGGGAATTGGGAGTGTAGCAGGAAGGCCTCTGAGCACTCACTCACGGCTAACGCGTGGCCCGTCTTCAACTCGTCGGCGGTTGGAGCGTGACCAGGTTTTTTTTTTTATATGCTAATGTTCCTCTAGAGAATTTTATTACGAACCCATTGAGACCAAATTGAAAGACCTAGGACAAAAATTGAGGTGACCAGAGTGAAAATAGTGAAAACATTTTATCACGTTTGCGCGCTCCCGGGTAACTCGTTCGCACTTTCTCTGTTTGCTGCGGGTAATTAGCTGGGCTTTTGGAGTTTATATGCATTTAGTGTTGTAGAGAATTTTATTGCGAACACAATGAACCAAATTTAATCTCGTAGAAGGAGAATTGAGGTGACAAAGTTGAAGAGAGTATACACTTTTCGAAATTAACGCGCGCTTCCGTGACACGCTGGGGCCCATATCGCCCTGTCGAGGGGTGGCGCGCGGGGTGAGCGAAAGTGTTAGGTAGGTCTACCCCACTGTGAGAGTTATTCCCCCCCACCTCACCTGGCCATAGTGAGGAGTCGGGAAATTAAATAATGCAAGCAATCATTATTAAATGTGACTTGGAGGGAGATAAGTCACGGATGAGCATCTTTGATAAAACTTGGAAGCGAGAGGACGACCATATGTGACATGCTGTGTGCAAAAATGACCATCGCGGGGAGTATGTCATGTGCAAAGGTCTTAGGTCTTGTGAAGAAGTCTGAAGAAAAGGACACGTGTCGTCGCTCCAGAGGAAGATAGTTATTTGTGGCTTACAGAGAAGAATTTGTGAGGAGCTTCATGAGGGATGGTGATTGGTGAAGTATCTCTTAAATAGTGGCAACGAGTAGGGATGGCCTGAAGCCAGTTGAGTGGTCATGCTCAGAGGAACCACGGTGGTGACTCCTATAAGAGGATTTATTGGGCAGGTGTACCTGATTGACACCTGTCCTGTGACCCTTCTCACGCAAGTCAAGATTGAGAGAAGCTGATTAGTGGCCGTCAAATGAGAGTTGTGCGGATTGCTGAGCAGAGTGCTTTATTTGGACGATGTATGATGCTATCACCATATTTTGCATTAAAAGCTTAAGTATACTGCTACATGTTGGTTGTTGCAGTGAGATCGTGTGCCCAGCAATCTTGTATAGTGTTTGAATGTAGATTATAAAGTTTGTGGAGATAATGCAATGATATAAAGAGTTTAAGATGATTTGACATTGTGAAGGTGGGAGTGACACATGCTCGATCGACCTGGGTCAGGGGTTGACTGAAAGGGGAAGACCCCTCTGACGGATGGAGATTTTCAGTGTGTACTCGCCCAGGTTGGAGGAGTACCCCTACAGTACAGACCGCTACAAGGAATGTTGGAGTTTGAAGAGGGGAATTTACTTGTAAATATTATTTATGTTTTGATCGAAGATAAGTTGTTATTTTTGTGGTAATGGAATTACAGGTTCATGTATGAAGGATGTGTTGCATCCAGAGTTGACGTAGCAGTAGTACATGGTGAACACGATTCGTCATTAAGTGATGTAGCAGTGATATAAAAAGAAGCTGCAAGAGGATATACTTAATTTGAGGACCCACTGATGGATGGTCCCAATAGTGATTCCCAGGAAGATCAATCATCATAGAGGAGACTTGTTGTATAGCGAGAGTAGCTGATCTTCCGGATGAGATACAGGGTGTTGTGAGGGCAACAATATATGCTTGAGAAGTGGATGGATTCGTGTAGTATGCCTGATGCAATACAAGGTGAGAACGTTGATTTTTTTTTTTTTATGGTGTTAAATTGCATGTATGAAGCCTAGCCCAGACTGCAAGGTGACTGAGGCACAGTGGGGTGCTGAAGAGGAGCAGACACCAGCCTAGCTGAGACAGTCACATGGTGTATTGTTCATAGGGGAGAGTGATGGTATTTTTGTAGAACCATTACCTGTTATTACCAGGTTATTCTTTATTGTTTGTTTGTAATAAGTGTTTGTCTGTTAGACAAGCATGTTTGACCTTGTCCTGGTGAGGATTTCTAAGAGGAAAGAGAGAGAAATAATGGCAGGCTGGACGACATTCAGAAAACAAACAGGGAACTAGGAGATCACCCTAAGACTAGGAGAGAGAGAGAGAGTGAGGGCATGGTGGCTCAGTTATGGTGTGTACTCGTGACAATAGGCCAGTTCTGAGCCGAATCCCCATTACTATGACATCGAGCCCCTTCTCCATATTGAAGCTCATTACCGGGTGACTCTCCAGTGCATCCTCCACTGGTGTTAGTATTAGAGGTGGTGAAAGGAGGATATTATTATTATTTTTATTTTTTAGAGGTGGCTCCCTGACGGGGTGAAAGCCCAGGGTAAAATTGGGCAACACCTGAAAGAGTGTGTTCAGGGGCCCCCGAAACCATGTCGTGATGTAGTGGTCTACGGTGTTTGCTTGAGAGTACCCAGAGTATAAGTTTGAATCCTCCTCATGGCTCTTACTGATTTTTTCATTGATACATCTTGAGTGATTTCTTTGTGCATTTGAAGTGAAGCATAGGAGTTCCTAGACTACAAACCAAAGTGCATGGGGGCAATACATGAAACCCTGGTTAGGTTTCAGTGTAAGCCAAAGGACCCAGAGAACAGGGTAAGGGCTGGATCTCTAGCCCTTAGCCTGTCCTCTTAGCTGATCACTGGAGTCCGATCCCTCTCCTACCTCTTCCCTCTCCTTTCCTCGGTGTTTATGACAGGTAGACACACGACTAATGTGGGTATAAGTGCGGTGGGTGAGAATTTGGGCATAACCTCTGCCACGCCCAGTGATTTAAACATTGATTCTGTGATTGGTCCTTGAGTGATAGGGGTGTTGCACAGAGTGCCTTAGGGGGCAGAGTTTCATAGCAGGCCTGGAATAATTCTTAAGTAATTTTTAGTGTGAGCTGGACCTAGAGTGCAGAAAAGGTGTCGGAAAGCCCATTGGGGGGGGGGGAGACAGATGACCTTATTGGTCGGATAAGTTGCAGACCTAAGGTACTGTTACTCAAGTTTTTTTTACATATATATAGTAATTCCAGCTATTGCCTCTAGGGTAAGACTTTAAAATAGGATATCATTGATTCTTAATAATAAATTGTCATTAAAGTTTAATTGGCATTTTAGTTAATTTTTCATGTCATTAATCTTTGAGCATACCATCTTGAGCTGGCTTGGTTCTTGGATATTTCAAGTGATTTTCTAAGTGAATTAATAACATATGTAATTATAAAGAGTAAGTTATCCAAGTTCTTGATATCTATGTCCTTGAGTCAGGGACGAAGGTCAGTGAATTTCTACAGTGTAAAAGTGAGGATGGTGATAGCTCACTTTTCAAGTGTTAGCATTAATTATTGGTCTTATAGACAGTAATTATCTTTTTGGTACATAACATTTAGATGGACCAAGGTCTCTCTCTGGATGCTTGTTTTGCATAGATTTGGTCTTGGGGGTTTGGGCTTTTTAGGTTTTGTTTTGTTTTTGCCTTTTCACATTGTAATTTTGATGCTTGAAGGTTCTGCTTTTTGCATTATTAAGCTAGCCACGGCTGTATGTGGTGGAACCCCCTTTTGACTTTAATGCTGGCAGTCCCAGTGCCTGGGCTTCCTGCAGGACTCATTCACCCTGTGGGCCCTGTAATACTCTATGGGCTCAGTTGAACTATGGCGACCTCTTCTGAGCTTGTTCTTGCTTTGTGTGAATTTGAGGGTTGTTCGTCACCTGTGCCACCTGGTGATGCTCAGTCATTCTGCCTCAACCATGGTGCCTGTGCTGACACCTTCAACCTAGAGTCCTGTGGGACTTGTTCCCCTCATGTGCTCTGTCTTACTTATTCCTCTGTTGAGGTTCAGAGGTATCAAGCAGTGACAGCTTTGCATTTAATATTTTTGGTGTTGCAGTGTTGTTCTTGTGCTTTGTTTCACTTCTGGCCTGCCTGCTAATTGGACTGGGTTCTTTCTTTTCTCTCTTCCCCTAGTTATGGATATATGGCCTATTTGCTCTGGGATTGTTTTTTATGGCAGTGTTTTTTGCTATCTTTGGCCTCTGTTGGGTTGGTGAGCGTCATGCCCTTCTACGGTGCCGGGGCTTTTGTTCCTTTGGCCCTGGTGGGTGCTTTATTCAGAAGTTTCTCAATAAATTTAAATGTAGTGTGTTCATAGGCCATCGCTCCCTATGCCTCTGAGGGAGGCTAGGTTCTTGCTCGTGGTCCCCCGGTAGGCCAATAGAACTCCGCGACTGATGGCACCTAGTGGTATAGCACTGATCAGTGTATGATGGCTTTAGGGAGCCTCTGGGGCTCGTCTAGAAATTGGCATTTCATTACATTCAACACTAATTTTGTCCAAACCAAATAAAACCAATACAGTGAAGTTGAATTTGTACATCTTTTAGGACCTTACGTGAGCTGCTGGAGTATGAAGGAACTGACGTAGAGGATGTTTACTGTCTGAACTTCACTGTTACCCAGGACTTCTTTGGTGAAACTAAGAGCATTCCTCTGAAACCAGATGGTGAGAATATTCCAGTTACTTCACAGAACAAGTAAGATTTTTTGGAGTTGCACCCTTATAGATTTGGGTAGTTAGATTTGTATCATACATTTGATAAACAATTTTAATACTGTATATAAATTGTTTGTATGGTGTCACTGTAATCATATAGATGACAATGGACTGGTATCCTTGGCCCATAAAGAATTGACTAACAGACATAAGAAAATAAGTTAAAAATTGAACAGAAATAAACATATTGGGTTTTGTGGTAGGAAAAATGTATATATAATGACCTTACTTTCTATACACTGTTTTTCTACATTTCATCAACTCTTTATGCTCTTTTCAGTTAATCAGTATTACCTTAAACTTGAATAGTTAAATGCTTTTTCTCATCCCAGGCAGGAATATGTTGATCTTCTTGTGGACTACAAACTAAACAAGGGTATAGAAGCCCAATACAAAGCATTTCACGAAGGGTTCTATCGTGTGTGTGGATGCATAGTACTCAAGCTCTTCCAGCCAATGGAGTTAATGGCCCTTGTTATTGGTAATGAAAATTACAATTGGGCTGAGTTGGAGAAAAACACAGAATATAAGGTAGGCTTAATAATGTATAGTTTTTCTGTTTATTCTTTGTACCTTGTGTACTAATTGGGATTGTCGGTAAGAATCAAATTTTGGAAATGTCGGATTAAATACTGTAGTTTTATGATTACCTGAAATTATACTGGAAATCGGGCCGAACATTAATAAGAGTGAATAAATTGAATACAAGAGAGAAACCTCACATTTGAAGCGAGCACCTGACCTGCATCCCAAGTTAGCCAGGCTGTGAACAACACCAAAACAAAACAATGGTGGTGTGCTGAATGCACGTTTATAATTTTAAGTTTGTGCAGCCACTCTTTTTATTGTACAGTATCTTCATATGTTTGGTATATAAATTATTGCAAATGATTTTTCCATCATACGGTACAAAGAAAATATAGATTTCTTACAAAATGTGTTTTGGGTAAATTTTGGGTAAATTAACATTGAAGTGTGGTGTGTGATGTACTGTATGTAGAACTTAAGTTAGAGATATGCTTAATAGTTTATTCTTTTTATTGCAGGGTGAATATTTCTCAGACCATGAAGTTATCAAAATATTCTGGGAAGTGTTCTATGACCTGACATTAGATCAGAAGAAGCAGTTCCTCATTTTTTTAACTGGCACTGATCGTGTACCAATTTTGGGCATGAAGGTAAAAACATAATTTTAAGATTTGTAAATACTTTTAATGTTATGCATCTTCAATTACGTGTCATTACTTTAGTGTAATTACTCGGGTGTAGTTACAGAATGGAGCTGTGCTCGTGGTGTCCGTCTTTCCCTATAATCTTTTATCATGTGATGCTTTAAAACTACTGATGGTTTTGGCATCCACCTCACTCAAATTTTTCAAACCATCTACAACTGTTTCTAAAATAAATTTTTTCAGAGCTTGAAACTGCCCTCTTGTTCTTGAACATTTGCAGGTTTCAAAAATTAAATTGTCAATTGTCGATTCCTATCACTATTTTGTACGTGATCACATCACCTCCTCTCTTTCCTTCTGTCTTCCAGCTTTGGTATAATTCATGCCTGCAGCCTCTTCTTGTAGCTCTTGATTTCTGGGACGGCTCCCTTAGTGGATTCCTGTTGCTAGTTGGCATAGCTAGCTCCATAGTTAGCTCCATACATATGTTGCACAAGGCTCTTAAGAGTCGCTGAAAGCTTACCAAAGACCACAATCCAAAACCTGGTCTATTCGGAGACACATAGTAGGTATAGATACTGAGTATCTGTGCATAAACCCTCAGATACTTAATGTAATAAAATACTTTTATGATAGTGTGTGTGTGTGTACAATTTGTCCAGTACATTACTAGGTAACTTTTCCTGGACATTTACTTTTCAGACCCATTCAGTCTTGGTTGTATTGACCTTCAGGCTGAGGGCTTTGATAAAGGATTCTACCTGCAGTCTAAGCCATAGTGAATAAGCTGCAGTTCCTGGGGGGTGGTAAATGCAACAACTTATGTACTAAGTGTGCAATATTTACTTCTAGATCAGCATAATTCTGTTTGAGTAATTGAGTGGCTAGACCGTAGCCATCACTCATTAACTCTTGACAGGAAACTACTGTTTTGGCTTCATCCTTTAACTAACCTTAGAGGTAGGAAAATTTAGTACACTTTGGAAGGGAAGGATTTGAATCCACAAGGTACACAAATTTGTTCCAGAATTTGTCACATTCCTCTCCATCTACTCCTGAGAAGGTGGGTAAATTGATTGGTGGGAGTCAAGCTTCAGCTTGATTCTTGGTGGTGTCTGGGAGGCTTTTAAGGAACTCACAAGGGCCAGGTATGAAGTGTGGAGTTATCCGGGCAGCTTGGAACTGGATGCCATAGATGAACCCTCCAGAAAGAAGTATTCTTCTATATTCAATGCAGAATTTTAGTTTTGGGAGCCACTTAGTAACACGTGACTGCACATGCCCAAATTGCAATTAAGAATTTCTGTATGAAATATTGTATTTCAAAATAATGTTATTCAGTATGTTTATCTAAATAAGTTCTATAGTTTAAAGGATTTTTTATTGTTAGGGTCTATAACCTAAACAAATCCTTCATAGGTTCTGTAAATTTGACTAAAAATGTATCAAAAGTTGATATACAGCACCCTTGGATAATGATAAATTTTATGATGTTTCTTTTTCTCTAGGCTTTGAAGATGATTATACAGTCTACAGCAGACGATTCCTTCCTGCCAGTTGCTCACACATGCATTGGTCAACTGGACCTCCCCAAGTATAGTACTAAAGAAAAGCTAAGATATAAGCTGCTACAAGCCATCCAGCAGAGTGAAGGTTTTGGCCTTGTATAAGGCCCCCTCAACACGCTTCTATGTGTATGTGTTATCTTGTGAATAGTACCAAACTAGTGATGAATATTATACAACTTGACATCTCTTGTTGGCTTCACATGTAGATAAATAATATTTAATAAATCTTGACAGTTTTTACTTTAATGAAAACTGTTAAAAGGCACTAGTAATAATTGGGTAACTCAGAGTGTGTGTGTGGTGTGTGTGTGTGTGTGTGTGTGTGTGTGTGTGTGTGTGTGTGTGTGTGTGTGTGTGTGTGTGTGTGTGTGTGTGTGTGTGTGTGTGTGTACTCGTCTAGTTGTACTCTCCTAGTTGTGTTTGCGGGGGTTGTGTGTGTGTGTGTGTATAATTACTGAAGTGTAGTTACAGGATGAGACCTATGCTCGTGGTGTCCCTGTCTTCCTGTCTACCACTCTGTGAAAGAAAACAGTAACTTTCTGTAACTGAAAGATGTTCTTTTCTAGCATTTATGAAAATTTGTATTAAAGCTTAATGTTTTGCTAGCATTGTCTGGTACAGTAGCAGCAGAAGAGCATCAATAATCGGAACCTACTCTATAATTTCAGATGGAAGCCAGGAGGATGTGTACTTCATCCTTTGGACTGTACCAAAAGCAGAATTCAAAATATGCAACCAAGGCTTTTGTAAATACTGTAATTTATTTCGGTTTCTTTAGTACTTGGCCTTTGGTATCCAATAGCTCATTACAGAGCATATTATATTAAATATTTTGAATTTCACAGTGAAGAGAATATTGATTAGTATCGATTTGATAATGGTCCAGGACGGACCGAAACGTTGTGGTCTCCTCATCTTCTTTTGTGTGGTTTAGGCAGGCCCTCGGTAGCATTGACTCTGGATACCACAGAGACATCCACAAAACTACCAGGCCTCCAGCCTTGTGCAGGCCCTACTGAACACCAGAATCTAATGTGCACACAGAAGTGAGGGAAACATGGAACTCTAAGGTCAATCCATAATTAAGTAAAACTGCTCAGGTAATTTTAGGTAATAATAGGTACTTTCTGACCACTTCGCTGTGGCAGATTCTCGCACATGCTTTTGGGGAAGATGTTACTTCTCTCCTTCTTTGAGATGTCTGAAGCCTTTTTATCACCTTTGGCCAATTCTCTCTTCTCTGGAGCTTAATTGATGCTTGGAGTTGTTTCCTGTTGGATGTACCTACTCTTCATTGGGCTTGTGTGACTCTTGGCTGCCTTTCTAGTTACTTAGTTTCCTCCTTTCCTAAGCAGTGTTTCTGGCCTTTCATCTCATGATTAAGCCTCATTTTGTTCTTTTGTTAATCTGCTTCTTTCAGTCCAAATATGGTTTTCTTTCCAAGGCATTGTTGGAAATACGGGGCTACTGAAGGCCAGCCTGAAAACAAACATTGATCAATGAATTGCCCTTTTCTGGGCAGCCTTAGTAACTCCTTGTACCCACTTTTTGCCCTTATTTTCCATGGGGATCTGGGACCAGATTCACGAAGCAGTTACTCAAGTACTTAAGAAAGTGTACATCTTTTTTTTAATGTTTGATGGCTTTGGTTACATTTATTAAACAGTTTACATGGATGAAAACTACCCAATCAACCATTTTTATTGTTATAAACAGCTTCCTGGTGCTTTAGAGCTCATAAACTGTTTAATAATTATAAACAAAGCTGCCAAAGATTGAGAAAAGATGTACAGGTTCATAAGTGCTTGCGTAACTGCTTCGTGAATCTGGCCCCTGGTGTGCCTTAGGGCAGCATGCGAGTCAGGAGGCAGGCAGACTGGAATACTGGGTGACCTGAGCTGCAACTTGCGGTGCACTTGGATATTAGCACATGGTTTGTTGTCATAGGGTAATTACTGCTTCTCTTGTTTCCATCTTCTATCTTTAATCAAGATACAGTATGCAGTTTGATCTTCTGGGCATTTTTATTCAGTTTTGAGTTATCAGATCTGTTTCCCTTGACTCTGAGGAGACCAGTTTCTAGGCCTGTGTTAAGTCCAGAAGCCTGTTAGTTTTGTGGATGTCTCTGTGGTGTCAGAGATAACACACCGGGAAGCCACTGATGCTGCCCAGAAAGGAATAAATCATTACATTCAATGCAAGAGTTGTTTTCATTAATATTGTTTTCATGTGTAATTATTTCCTGCATTGAAAAGGATGGAGGTGATGTTTGCAGAACCATCACAAGATTTGTAATAGCTGTGTACTTAGAATACTTAATATCCCAGCTGCAGTGTTCTCAGTTTTTGTTCCTTTTCTTCATGCAAGTGTGACTTAAAAGTAGCTATAGCATTTATTGCATTAAGAAAGTGTAAATGTAACGGCAGCTCACTTGAGCAAAACTTTTCTGAGAAGTGTAAGAGAATATTAGTTTATATTGAGACAATTAAGAGATAAAAATGAAAGAGAAGCTTCAAGGTAATGTGTAATGGTACAGTTGGTACAGACCAACAGGGCTGTAGTGGATATGTGGGCCTGCAGACCACTCCAAGCAACAGCCTGTTGGCCCAAGCTCACAAGTCAAGCCTGGCATCGGGCTGGGCTTGGGGAGCAGTAGAACTCCCAGAACCACATCAAGATATACAAGACAGAATAGAATTACTTCCCGAGTTGATGTGTGAAATATAAAAATTTACCCAAACTTATCCAATACAGTAGTTAAAGAAAAGACAACTGAAAAATGATTGTTTATCTCCTGCTACATATTTCTCTGGTGACACAGCTTACTTGATGGACTTACTAGCATTTGTAGAGGTAGAAAGTATTAGGAGAGAGCACCAAGTCATTATGACTGTACAGTATAGCACTTGGAATGGATGAGGATAAGTATTTGGGATGGGACGGGGGGGAAGGAATAGTGCCCAACCACTTGGACGGTCTGGGATTGAACGCTGACCTGCATGAAGCGAGACCCTCACTCTTACCGTCCAGTCCAAGTGGTTGAGCTTGGAAATATAATAATGTTTAAGTATTTAAGTGAATTCAAGTGAGATTTAGAGAAGCAACACAAAACAAAACAAAAATTGTACTTTTAGTTTAATTGGATAAACTTTAGTGTGCCTTCATATTAACAATAGTGCTTAGTCATATATATATATAGTACATATAGTTGATATACTTGTAATGTGTGGGTTAAACCATATTTTACATAGTGACACTCTCTCCAGGGGTAGCTTAGATTAAAAGCAAAATGAATTTGTTATTACTGATTACTAATAAGCATAAAATTCCTATTTGGAGTATCTAATTTGCAATTTAATATTGTGTTTAAATTATCTAGAATGCAGATTACCCAACAAAATAGAAGTATAGATACTCGTCATATAAATTCTAAAGGTCTTGGGATTGATTACTTATATATTTTTGCATTTAATTAAATTTTGTTTTTTTCTTGTACAGAATTTTGTAACATTAGAATAAATTCATGATACATACTGTTTCATGTTCCTGAATGTATTATGGTATTGATGATTTACTATTAAAATGATAACGAACTGGTTGTCTAATATTTTCTGAAATCTTTAGTTATTATTCCTAATTGGTGTACCTTATTGTAACCCAGAAATACTGCAAAGCAATTATGTGTTTGTTTATATTATAACATTGTTTTCAAATGCTTATATTTTCTGTTGTTAAGATATAATTTTCTTGCAGATAGAAAAAAAGAGAGTGCAAGTTAAACAAATATTTAATGAACAAAAAATAAAGTATTATAAATTGATGATATTTTGAAGATTTCATGCAGCTGAGTATACGATGTCACAACTAATTAATGATGTAACTGTTAGCGCTAGTCTTCAGAAATACAATAGTGTAAAGAATATTCTAATGTCCCTATTGTAAACAACAGTAACTCTTGTATAAGCATGGGACTTCACTAACCACTAATGTGCATAGATGTGTTATTTTTGTGTGAAAAGATTTCCCTTATTTCTACATTAGTATACACAGAGTAAAGTAAATGTCAAAATTCCATTTGGTTCAGCCAAGTCCAGAGACAAGGATAATTAATGATAAGCTTGTGTTTCTCTAACCTTTTTTTCCAACACACATTTCTCTGTGTGGACATTACCTATTCATCCATGTTTGTTGTTCTTTTACATTTAGGCTATTCTGTTTTACATTATTTAATTATTTTATCTGATTCAAGACTGGCATGCTTTTTGATCACTTGAAATGTGTGTGATCAGTGACATCTTAATCTTGTAATAAAAAAAATAAATTCTGCTCTGTCTGACAAGTTAACCACTGTGATGCGCCGCATTTATTGTGACATTTTGGCTGTGCACCGAAAATAAAGTGTTCCAAAAATGGTATTTGTTCTTTTGGTATTGTTAATTAGCACCAGCAAGCACGAAAATCCAAGTACAAAGTCTCTATCTCTTATAGTTTAGCCGTAGTTGCCTGGAGAAGTTGCATTTTTTGGGTAAAAATTAGGAGATAGAAATTAGGAGATATGATATAATACCACTGGGTATGCTTATAGGTATGAGTAGACCTTGTAGATCTAAGGCAAAGAGAAATTGACACCAGTATTTGCACTATCATGCAAGAAGAGCCACTCATCTATGGATCATACAATAAAATCAGCAGACTCCTAGATGTTACTACTGCTTGGCTTGGACTGCTATATGTATCTGTGAATTTTCATTATCTACTGATGTAGATCTGACCAAATGTAAACTGTAAACAAAATTATTCGCACACCCTCCGTCACTATGTGATGGAGTGCAAAAAGATACGTGAAGTCAGAGAAAATTCTATAACAGATGTTCAAGAGATGTGTAAATATTTCATTTAAAATAATCTGCTGTCTATAAGTGTTAACCAAATATCCCCAGTTTGCTAAGTCTAGGTAGCAACCAAGTGATTGTAACCTATCCACCGGTGCCCACTGGGTGGGGAAGCGGTGTGCAGGATAAACATATAAACAACATTTGTGACACTAGCTCTCTCCCATGTCAGTTGCTTAATTTAAGAACTACTTCTTGTGGTAGGTCTCGAGCCCATTGTTGTGACGATGTGTATTGAATATTGTAACTAGCTCATCATGACTAAATTGCTCCGCTAAATGAATTGTGGGGTTCAGTCCCCGAGTCCATTATATGCCTCTGTCACCCTTTCCACTACTGCCCACAGGATGGGTATGGGGTTCATGATAATTGAACTAAGCAAGGTTGTATAGCGCTTGGAGGAATATAAGGATAAAACATAAAGAAGGAACAGTGCCTAACCACTTGAATCTTTGGGTATCGAACGCAGACCTGCAAGAAGTGAAGCCGCTGCTCTACCGACCAGCCCAAGTGGTTTCGTAAGATACACTAGTTTATTGTAAATCGTGGTGCAGAAGATTTATTATAGTGCTCATCTTGCCATCCAGGTGTCCCCAGATGCTGATGACTTGGTGGTGGTGAAGTCATCAGTGGGTGGGTGGTCGCTGCTCTGTGATAACGAGGTCCCCTCTGTACTCTCTGTACTACTCATCGTCTCGCTCGCCTCTCTACCTGTCTACAGAAATTATCTTTGCTTCCTGATTTCGGTATTCATTTCGATAAGTTTATTTTTAATTCTCGGTAGATGTGGATGGTCGTCCTCCTTGGTTTCTGAACATATTTCCTTAATTTCTTCCATTGTGTAAAGTTATTATTACTATTGAGCTTACCTTAACTTCTTCCTCATTTCGTTTTTAGTTTCCTTAAGTTTTCTTTTTGTGTTTAACAAAGGTTTATCACGAATATTTTCGTTACCTTCATCAGAATACATCTTAAGATCATCAGGATTAGTCTCGTTATCTCCATCACTACCTTGGAAGCCTTCGGTGTATTTCCTCTTATGATTATCAGAGCGCTGCTTCTGAGGAAGAATATTCGTTTTCTTAGAAGAGGAAGCCACATCATAAACATTTTCGAGATGAGACATGGAATCTTTGGCTTCAATTACGTTGTTCTACTAAGCCTTCTCATTGCCACCATTTTGAGTTGATTAACTTGTTTGATCTAACTTCTGATTAAAATATGAATTACCTTGAGATCTTGATGTATTATACTCCGTGGGCAATGCTCTCTGATTCTCACCGTAGAAACCTGGCAAAGGATTCATTGTTTGTTTATTTAGGAAGGCTTGCCATCTTTGAGGCGCCGTCTTTGTCTTTATTTTAATTATTCTGACATTTGCTATATTTCTTCCCGGGATTTCTTCCTTTTACAAATGTTGATAACTTTATCTGAGAATTTTAAGCCCCTCGTTCTCCAGAGCTTCGTCTGATATTTCGTCACTTGGTGAAAATAGACACACAATTCTATCTTCGTATTTTTAATCTTCCTCGTAAGGGTGTTCATCACTGGTTTAATCTTCAGGCTTCATCTCTTCACCTTCCTAGTCGAAGCCTTCCCTCTCTGCTGAAGCCTCCATGACCAGCTTCCTTAATAGCTTTTGCCATCCTTCATCTCTTTCTTCTGAAGTTATACCTTATAAGTTTTCTTTAACAATTTGTACTCCTTTGTTATTTTGGTAATCTATCCAAAAGATTTATTTTGTTATGCGGTGAAACTTGCTCAGTGTCCTCACGAACGATCTTCCCATTGTCTCTGTGATGAAGGACTGCTGGAGCGCAGCCGCCGCCCGCAAAGTGTGTGGGGTTATATTGCGGCAAGTGAATTCATTTTCACGTGTCAAATATTGAAATATTTATTCGAATTTCTTACCTGCATTACGTAATGTTATAAAATATTGTCCAATTAATTTTTTTCGATAGCTTTTGTGATAACTTTTTTAGCTGACGCTAGCGTTTCTTTCTGTTCGTTGATCGAGGTAATGCTAAGTATGGGATAGATCCTGGTTCATCTTCCTTAATTAGTCGCTACATAATCGCTCCAGAAAGTCTAATCGCGACAAAAAATGATCATAATTTTTTGGGGGTATCACTTCGTGGCTTATCTTATGATTTTACATATTTTCTGCGGACTCCTGTTAAGAATCTTCATGTGACAATGGCGTTGTGTCGCTGACTAATGCAAGGAACGCTTTTAAATTCTAATCCTTAAGATCTATTAGAAAACTTCCCTGGAGAAGTGTGTAGAGACCGGGAGGTAACTAACTGTACGGGTGATGGTTCAAGTACTTCTGGGACAGCTCCTAGTCCCGCTCCAGGTCCTTATTAAGTCGCTCAGACCTACGAGGATTCTTCTTGTATCTCTAAACGAACTCTCGACTCGTCTCGAACTGAGCTTCATACTTCAGTCGCTTTAAAGTTTCTCCTTCCCGAGTATTCACGTTATACTTCCGACAAAGAGAACATTTTCCAAAGTGAAATGTTCTTCTCTGTTATTCAACATATTGCGGGTATCGTTACATCTCCATGTATTGTTAAGCTGCGTGAAGCTTGGGGTCAAAGGGCAGCTGGGCCGCTCGCTCGGCCGTGGGCGACCCCCGCAAACACGGCTTCTCCAAATAAATTTTCTTGTTTTATGATTCATTACGTCTCCTCATTTTTCTTTTATGTTATTTACGTTATTCTTCATTTACAATTACTTTACGTCGCTTTCGAGCAGCAGTATTATCATCAGCCAGGGGTTATTCATCTCCATCATCCAGTGGTTATTCATCTCCATCATCCAGTGGTTATTCATCTCCATCATCCAGTGGTTATTCATCGCCATCATCCAGGTGCTATTCATCGCCACCATCATCATCCAGGTGCTATTCATCGCTATCATCCAGGTGCTATTCATCGCTATCATCCAGGTGCTATATATCACCACCATCATCCAGGTGTTATTCAGCATCACCATCATCATCCAAATGCTATTTATCACCACCATCATCCAGGTACTATTCATCACCATCATCATCCAGGAGTTATTCATCACGAAGGAGTTATCCATCATCATCATCTAACTTGCAGTGTTGAGCTAAGCAACTTTGTGTACCTTCATGTACCGACCATTCCCTGTGTGTCCTGGTAGGCTGACGACGTCTGGGCGGGCGACGCCGCCGCCGACGGGTCGACGGCGGAGCGCGGGAACTGACAGCCTAAAGTTTGACGAGCGCATTTCGCGTCATGAATTCTGGCATCTGAGTGCATTCACTCTCCTCTACATTCCGCTTCCACCTGTTCTCCGTCTTACCATAACATGGGAATTATCTCTCCATTTTTGCTTAATATAAATTTCTATATTTAATCAAACCTTTTAAAATCAAAATCTAATAATAACTGGTTAAACATTTCCATGTATTACATCAGAATAATGACCAACATACAGCAAAAATAGCATGGTTGGAGTGACGAAGATGACCCACTCATGTTGTGCTGGTAATTGATATGCTATAGTACTGAAGGTTACCTGGTTGATACCTGGTTGATACCTGGTTGATGAGGTTCTGGGAGTTCTTCTACTCCCCAAGCCCGGCCCCAGGCCAGGCTCGACTTGTGAGAGTTTGGTCCACCAGGCTGTTGCTTGGAGCGGCCCGCAGGCCCACATACCCACCACAGCCCGGTTGGTCCGGTACTCCTTGGAGGAATAAATCTAGTTTCCTCTTGAAGATGTCCACGGTTGTTCCGGCTCAAGGCACTTACTCAAGGTGAGCGCTGAGTACTCACTGCGTACTCAATATAGTGTTGCAACCCGTTTTCGCACTTTCTTACAGTCAATATTGACTTATTAAATACGTGCATATGTGACATACTAAACATACTAGTTTACCTTGAAAAGCTTCATAGAAAACACCAACCTTACCTAACCTTCTTAGTATACAGTACTGAGACCCACTGTCTCAGGTCTCGGTATCGAAGACATCCCCAACCGTGACTTTGCGACCTCCTTCCTCATCGTGCAACCCACAACAGTCGCCTACCTCCCGGGGACCTGTTTACTGCTCGGTGGACAGAAGTATTGGGTTAAATAAATCGTCTATAGTGGTATTGGGTAAAAGGAATGGTTCTATAGTGTTTTAGGTTGTATAATCGTGTTGGTGGTATAGTGGTGTTGGTTATTTTAAAAAATACGATGCCTATCACAAATTTGACTCCTGAGCGTTATTTTGGAGCCGAATTCTGACTCTGCACCTATTTTCATTTTCAAATTACGACTTTTTATACCGAAAATATTGTAATTACTGAAAACTGCGATGGGTCATATTTTGCCCAAACCCCCCCTACAGTTTTCAAAATATCAGAAATGTCGGAAATTTGACTCCTGAGCGTGATTTTTGAGCCGAATTCTGACTCTCTGCACCTATTTTAATTTTCAAATTACGACTTTTTATACCGAAAATATCGCAATTACTGAAAACGGCGATGGGTCATATTTTGCCCAAACCCCCCTGCAATTCTCAAAATATTTGAAATGTCGGAAATTTGACTCGTGAGCGTCATTTTTGAGCCGAATTCTGACTCTCTGCACCTATTTTTATTTTCAATTTACGACTTTTTATACCGAAAATACGCCAATTACTGAAAACGGCAATGGGTCATATTTTGCCCAAACCCCCCTGCAGTTTTCAAAATATTTGAAATGTCGGAAATTTGACTTCTGAGCGTGATTTTTGAGCCGAATTCTGACTCTCTGTACCTATTTTCATTTTCAAATTACGACTTTTTATACTGAAAATATGCCAATTACTGAAAACGGCGATGGGTCATCTTTTGCCCAAACCCCCCTACAGTTTTCAAAATATCAGAAATGTCGGAAATTTGACTCCTGAGCGTGATTTTTGAGCCAAATTCTGACTCTCTGCACCTGTTTTCGTTTTCAATTTACGACTTTTTATACCGAAAATATGGTAATTACTGAAAACTGCGATGGGTCATATTTTGCCCAAACCCCCCTACAGTTTTCAAAATATCAGAAATGTCGGAAATTTGACTCCTGAGCGTGATTTTGGAGCCGAATTCTGACTTTCTGCACCTATTTTCATTTTCAAATTACGACTTTTTATACCGAAAATATGTTAATTACTGAAAACTACGATGGGTCATATTTTGCCCAAACCCCCCTATAGTTTTCAAAATATTTGAAATGTCGGAAATTTGACTCCTGAGCGGAATTTTTGAGCCGAATTCTGACTCTCTGCACCTATTTTAATTTTCAATTTACGACTTTTTATACCGAAAATATGCCAATTACTGAAAACGACGATGGGTCATATTTTGCCCAAACCCCCCTGCAGTTTTCAAAATATCAGAAATGTCGGAAATTTGACTCCTGAGCGTGATTTTTGAGCTGAATTCTGACTCTCTGCACCTATTTTCATTTTCAAATTACGACTTTTTATACCGAAAATACGCCAATTACTGAAAACGGCGATGGGTTAAATTTTACCCAAACCCCCCCTGCAGTTTTCAAAATATCTACAATGTCGGAAATGACGGGAAGTTACAGCACTCGCTCCTGTGCCAGGTAAGTGCTCTACGGGCTCACCATAGCCCGTGCTACTTGCCCCGCTCCTGTGCCAGGTACGTCCACTACGGGCTCACCATTGCCCGTGCTACTTGGAACGTTTTGTTCCCAGTAGCTGAATCTTAAACAGGAACAGGAGCCTCTCACCCTGCTCTGACTCAGGATTTATGCAGCTGTTGTGCGCTGCATATTATAGATGGAGTTAGGTAAATAAACTATTTAATACAATAAAACCTATTAGTTTAGGATACATCAAGAAATATTACAAATAATGTATTCGGGGGATTCTTATATTGACGGGAAGTAAAATTTGATATGTGGAATATATAAAGATATTTTGAAGGGAAATTGGAGTCAATATTGAAGAATGTCGCCTCTGGCCTAAAGTAGATCAGGTTTGGGAAAAGATCGAGAAACGCACTTAGCTCGCTCCGCCTGATCTGGGTCTCGACCCGGGGCTCGACCCGGGGCTCGACCCGGGGCTCGACCCGGGGCTCGATCCGGGGCTCGATACGGGGCTCGATCCGGGGCTCGACCCACCTTAACCATCAGCTCGTCCTCATAAACAAAGGCCAAAGTCCATGCCATGCACCCGCCAAATCCCAGCTGTTTATGGATGATACAATGATTTACACACGACTCACAACTGATGGCATTCGAACAAGTGCTTCGCTGACGACTTTTGTTCGAACCTCAACGTTGTAAACACACTTCACCCACGTACTACACATAAAAATAATCGCTAACAGATTACGCCTAAAAACCTAACCTAACCAATGCCTAAATATGCACAGTATATGCTAATACATAATATTATGAATTTACATTTGCGAAAATTCCTATTTTGAATTAGCAGCATGTTAAAATTGATGGATACGTCTTTGGGGTCGACAGCTGGATGGAATGGACGTGGCCTGAGGCCGGGTCGACATTACCATCGTGATTTGCTATCCTCTCTTATCTCTCCCTTCATCTCACTTTCTAACTCTTTCCTTCCTTCTCTTATTTAAACAAACATTTAAGTCATCGCTTTCAAAAACACTAATTGTTTAGGCTATATCAAATGTGTGGCAGATTGTGCAAAATCATTCACGAACTAAACACCACTTTCCACCTTTGTCAGACATTAACCTGCGAGCAGCCATCAGTGTGTCTTAAAGGCTGTCTTCCGGAACTTGACCAGACCACACACTAGAAAGTGAAGGGACGACGACGTTTCGGTCCGTCCTGGACCATTCACAATCGACTTGAGAATGGTCCAGGACGGACCGAAACGTCGTCGTCCCTTCACCTTCTAGTGTGTGTGGTCTGGTTAACATACTTTAGCCACGTTATTGTGACTCCTCGCCTGCTTCCGGAACTTCCTCGCCGACGCCGCACTCCGACACCCTCGCTCGGATAATTAGCAGGTTGTTGACGACGTCAGTTTCTTTTTTGTGGAGCGACTGCTAATTGCTGCCCAGGTTTGTCCTCGCGACGCGACCCGTGTTCCGCGCGGCTTGGTGTCCCTTGTGAGCATTTTATTTTGTACAAAGTTCATTTTTATTACTTTTCAACAAATTAGAAAAGAAGTAGGGGGTGATTCCAGGGGTCCATGGGGGGTCCATGGGGTCCATGGGGGTTCATGGGGTCCATGGGGTCCATGGGGTCCATGGGGGTCCATGGGGGTCCCTGGGGGTCCATGGGGGTCCATGGGGGTCCATGGGGTCCATGGGGTCCATGGGGGTCCATGGGGGTCCATGGGGTCCATGGGGTCCATGGGGTCCATGGGGGTCATGGGGGTCCATGGGGGTCCATGGGGTCCATGGGGGTCCATGGGGGTCCATGGGGTCCATGGGGGTCCATGGGGCTCCATGGGGGTCCATGGGGGTCCATGGAGGTCCATGGGGTCCATGGGGGGTCCATGGGGTCCATGGGGGTCCATGGGGGTCCATGGGGGTCCATGGGGTCCATGGGGGTCCATGGGGGTCCATGGGGGTCCATGGGGTCCATGGGGTCCATGGGGGTCCATGGGGGTCCATGGGGTCCATGGGGTCCATGGGGTCCATGGGGTCCATCCATGGGGTCCATGGGGTCCATGGGGTCCATGGGGTCCATGGGGTCCATGGGGGTCCATGGGGTCCATGGGGTCCATGGGGGTCCATGGGGGTCCATGGGGGTCCATGGGGGTCCATGGGGTCCATGGGGGTCCATGGGGGTCCATGGGGTCCATGGGGGTCTACTCAAACAAAACAAGAAACACTTACCAATGTGTACCTGAATGTATCTTGCTAATATTTACATGCGACTGTAAACTGTGGACAACTATGCAGAGTTGGTGAGGAATGTTTGGGTATGTTGCAGGTGTGGCATGCTGCAGGTGTGGCATGCTGCAGGTGTGGCATGTTGCAGGTGTGGCATGCTGCAGGTGTGGCATGCTGCAGGTGTGGCATGCTGCAGGTGTGGCATGCTGCAGGTGTGGCATGCTGCAGGTGTGGCATGCTGCAGGTGTGGCTCTATCTTGCCAGCTCTTATTTTATTGTAGAGTTCACAGGTGAGAACGTAGTTGTAAAGGGTTCAAAAATACAACAAGGTAAGTACACACACACACACACACACACACGCACGCACAAGAGACATGATCACTACCTACAAATTCTCAGAGTAATTGACAAGGTAGATAAGGATAAATTTTTTAACACCGGTGGTACGCTAACAAGGGGACACAGGTGGAGACTGAGTACCCAAATGAGCCACAGGGACGTTAGAAAGAACCTTTTCAGTGTCAGAGTATTTAACAAATGGAATACATTAGGCAGTGATGTGCTGACTCCATACACAGTTTCAAATGTAGATATAATAGACCCCAATAGACTCAGAAACCTGCACACCAGTTGACTGACAGTCGAGAGCCTGTCAACCGAAGAACCGAAGCTCAACCCCTGCAAACACAACTAGTTGAGGACCGGGCCGCGGGGACGCTAAGCCCCGGAAGCATCTCAAGGTAACCTCAAGGTAGGACCCTACCCCCCACTCCTCAGAATTCCTACTCCGCACTCCTCAGAGTTCCTACTCCGCACTCCTCAGAGTTCCTACTCCGCACTCCTCAGAGTTCCTACTCCGCACTGCTCAGAGTTCCTACTCCGCACTCCTCAGAGTTCCTACTCCGCACTCCTCAGAGTTCCTACTCCGCACTCCTCAGAGTTCCTACCCCGCACTCCTCAGAGTTCCTACTCCGCACTCCTCAGAGTTCCTACTCCGCACTGCTCAGAGTTCCTACTCCGCACTCCTCAGAGTTCCTACCCCGCACTCCTCAGAGTTCCTACCCCGTCCTCACCATCACCAGAAGAAAATAGCGTAATAACACCCATGTTGGACATTGTGATGCCAGCGGCGTCCCGCCCAGACGAATGTTCCCGCCAGCAGGAGCTGGGCGGGGGCGGGGCGCCCTGCCCCCCCCACAGGCCGGAACATAACTGCTGAGGGCGGCACTTGTCGACGACCTTCAGCACAGCGGCTGGAGGAAGACAATTGCTGGCACTCTGAGAGGCACTGCTGCCCCCTGGCATTGTAATGAGCCGAGGCGAGACGCGGTTATCGTGTGGTAAACTTTTTACAAAATGTCAAACATTTTGATGTTTATTTTTTTTTATATTTACAACTGAACTACAGTTTGTTTAGTCCAGTGTGTTTTAACCCAGGAAGAGTGTCGGCAGTGAGGCACTGCTCTAAATAACAATGTCGGCAGTGAGGCATGACGAACAAATTAACATTTGTACTTTACCTCACTAAACTGGGTGAAATAAGGAATTGGGCAATGATAACGACATACAAGATACCAAAGAGGATTGACAAAGAAGATATAGCAGGAATTTTGCAATTAAAGAACAATAAAACGAGAAGACATAATTGAAAATTGTAAACACAGATGAATCACAAAGATATCAGAAGTAAAACTATTTGAGTGTCAGAGTTGTAAATACATTTACAGACAATCTTGAGGTTATCTTAAGATGATTTCGGGGCTTTTTAGTGTCCCCGCGGCCCGGTCCTCGACCAGGCCTCCACCCCCAGGAAGCAGCCCGTGACAGCTGACTAACACCCAGGTACCTATTTTACTGCTAGGTAACAGGGGCATAGGGTAAAAGAAACTCTGCCTATTGTTTCTCGCCGGCACCTGGGATCGAACCCAGGACCACAGGATCACAAGTCCAGCGTGCTGTCCGCTCGGCCGACCGGCTCCCCTAATATTCTAATTGAGAATATTGAGAATAATAAGAGACTAATTGACGTTTTCTCGAAGCCAAATTTGACACACACACAGTTTTAAAGTGAAAAAAGTCACTGTATTAAACTGATGATGGTATAGAGGCGGGGTTCAAGAGCTGTATAGAGGCGGGGTTCAAGAGCTAAGACTCGACACTGTAAGGACAGGTAGGTGAGTGGTGTGCAGACGTCACCAGCTTCCCTCTGCTCGCCTCGCCAAGCACCTGAGTGGACCCGCGCCAGCGAGCATTCACCTGTAGAAGGGATTAATTAATGCTCAGGGACGGCACTCAGCCCCATCACCGAGGCACTAGTGGAGTGCCACCAGCGGCCAGGAAAGGGAGACCTGATCAACCTTGCAACAGTGCCACCTTCACACACCTGTAAACACAGTCTCTTGCCCTCCCCTCAACATGTTAACTTAAAGCAATTAACTTGAATGGTTGTTTCAAGTTGAAGAGCTCGATTCCTCAGATACAAATAGTAAATACAAAATAGTAAACAGAGACAGGAGCGCCCGCGCGCCCGCACACCAACATTACACAATATGACATCGATTTCCCCGTCTCTTCTAATGTCAATTTAGAAGAGACGGGGGAATCTCTTCCGCCCCCCAACCCACTTGGGCTGGATGGTAGAGCGACGGTCTCGCTTCATGCAGGTCGGCGTTCAATCCCCCGACCGTCCAAGTGGTTGGACACCATTCCTTCCCCTCGTCCCAACCCAAATCCTTATCCTGACCTCTTCCAAGTGCTTTATAGTCTTAATGGCTTGGAGCTTTTCCTTGATAGTTCCCTTTCCCTTTCCCCCCCCCCGCCCCCCCACCCCCGGGGGGGGGGGCTCTAAGCATTTAACCACAGCATATTGTCCTTCTTTGTTGTTGTTGTTGTTATTGTTGTTGTTGTTTAAGATTCGCTACCTGGAACAAAAGTTGCAAGTAGCACGGACTATGGTGAGCCCGTAGTGGACTTTTTGTCCTTGTTGCCGGAGCCGCGCGTGAGTGTGTGTGTTTGTGTGTTCTTGCTAATGTGGTTTGTTGGCTGCCTTTTTTTTATTATTTTATTTACCCTGATTTTGACTTTTTTTGTCATGTTTTTTGTTACTCGATTTTTGTTCGTAGGATTTTTCTGATATTTGATTACACTGTTTTTCACTATTGGGGGGGGGGGGGGGGGTTAGGGTTATATATATATATATATATATATATATATATATATATATATATATATATATATATATATATATATATATATATATATATATATATATTATTTAATTTTTTATTAAGACACGAAAGCAAATCAAAGTTTTCCACTGAAATGTTAACATTTTAAAACTTTTTATTTTTTTTTGGGAGGAAGGGTTACTTTCTCCAAAGCCGTCAAAGATAAAACTTGTGCCAGGTTGCACAGGGCCAACTCCGCTATAATCGATTATCAATAATGGCACCACCCCGGCCCCCCCCCCTGCAGGACGTCACCCCCAGTGGGCCTGACCCCTCACGCCCGCACACACACGCTGTATCACCTAACTTCATCCTACGTAACTGAACATCTTCTTGTATATGACCTGGCTCTGCCCTTGCAACTTGTCAAACTCATTGTTAAAAATGAGCTACGCCTGTTTTGCTAAGTTGTATCGCAATGCCTAGAGAAGTAGACGTTTCTACGGATCATTACGCCTCGATATTCCATGTCTTGTTGCATCATTGCTGTGTGGGTGTTGCACAGGCTCCCTGAAGACGTTTGCTTTCATCAACCTCCTGTGCACTTCTTGACCTCATTAAAAAAAAAGCGTCAACAAATCGTGGTGGAGGTGGGAACGTGACCTCTCTCACCCCCCCCCCCCCCTTGGCCAGCTGGTCCCATCTGAATTCCGGCGGGCCCCACAGAGCCTCTTTAGAATGTGTAAATAAGGTCTTCTTAATCTCTCTTCACGTGAAAAGTTTCTAACTCTTGGGACACAAAGTTTTTTCCTCTTTTTTCTGAACACGTTCAAGTGAAGGCATGTTGGCCCCACACGAGGCAGGTTCTATTTATATTCAGCCAAACGCATTCTAACTTTGAATTGCAACGATCTATCGATCACATGTCTATTAAGTTAACCATTAAGTTTGGTCCGTAAATCATTAACGATGTTTCCAACTCAGTATTTACCCAGGATTTTCCCTAAAACAAATCTTATCCAATTTATATCGATCGTTTCGAGTTGTATTTTGGATAGATATATCTAAAATCTTATTTATATATATCTTTTAGTATATCAATTCAGCCATTTATCTACTCCAGTCATGTCCAGTATTTACCCCGGTACATAGACCACTCTGGGGCCCGGGAGCTGGCACAGTACTCACCCGGGTACTACAAAGCAAGCTACATAGTGTCTACCTAAATTTAAACATAAAATAAACAATATTATCTAACATTTATTTAACAGCAGCAATACTGACATTCTATGTTCCTCCAATATGTCTCTTATCAACATTTATCTGTTCTCAATGTCTCCCATTCGGACATGTCTGTCTCTGGGAAAGTCTCTTGATTTCTGTTTGTCTCTCCTCTCCTGTTCGTCCCTGGAACCAATAACGACGGTTCACGTGAAATCTGTCTTTTCCACTACTCGAAATGCACTTCAGCCGATCCCTAGTTCATCTCGTCGTTCAATCGTCTCAGTCTTCAAAGACTATTCCCGCCTACTCCATGTTCAATATAGGCCTCTCACCCGCCTGTGTCCAGAATATTGTGAACGTGTCTGCCTTTAATTCCTAAGTGCCTCAAGTCCGTCCTCGACCAGAATACATATTTGTATATATATATATACAAAACTTAACATTTCTGACAACACGTGCTGCTCGCCAGGTATGTATACAACATACATAAACATAAAAACATAAAATACAGCATAAAATTATTAATAAACATGTATCCCAATTCATCCTCCTGAAATTG